TTTTTTTATCGTATATAAAAAGTTCCTTTTTTTTTTTTTTTATTTAATTTTTTTTTTTTTTTTTTTTTTTTTTTTTTTTTTTTTTATTTCTTCATCACATCGTATAGGTTTCCGTAGGACCATGACAGCTGATATAGAATCATCCAACTTGGAGCAGCTAAGAGACATCCTTGTTAACAAAAGTAGGGATGAAAAGTTGGCTCATAGGTTTAGAGCATTGTTCACTTTGAAGTCCATAGGGTCCGAAGATACAGATTTGGACAGAGCTCACAAAGCGATAGATTATATCGCTGAAACATTTGCAGACAATTCAGAATTGTTGAAGCATGAGGTTGCGTATGTCTTGGGACAAACCAAGAATATGCACGCGGCTTCTTATTTGCGAGATGCTTTGGTTGACGAGAACCAACAAGTAATGGTGAGACACGAGGCCGCTGAGGCATTGGGCGCATTAGGAGACGAGAGTTCTCTTGACTTGTTACAAAAATATTACGATACAGACCCTTCGTTAGAGATTAGACAAACTTGTGAATTAGCTATAGAAAGAATCAAGTGGGAGAATTCAACACAATCTAAAAGCGAAGTATTAGAGAAATCGTTATACCTGTCGATAGATCCTGCGCCTCCCTTGGCTAAGGACAACAGCACCTCCAAAATAGACAAGTTACAATCCATACTAAACGATCAGGAAAAACCCTTGTTTGAAAGATACAGAGCTATGTTTAGATTGAGGGATATAGGGACAGACGAAGCATGTTTGGCCTTGGCAACAGGGTTTGATGACCCTAGTGCGTTGTTCAAACATGAGGTGGCATATGTATTTGGACAATTGTCTAACCCAGTAACGGTACCAGCATTAGTTAAAGTTTTAAAGGACGAGACAGAACAGGGAATGGTAAGACACGAAGCCGCCGAGGCGCTTGGAAGTATTGCTACCGACGATTGTTTACCTGTTTTGCAATCATTCTTGAATGATAAAGTAGATGTCGTTCGGGATTCAGCGGTTGTCGCTTTGGATATGTACGAGTATGAAAATTCAAACGAATTAGAGTATGTTACAGTAGAATAAGTATACCAAAAAAAAAAAGACATTTCTTATTATTTCTCATTTTTCATACTCTAGTTATTTGTTCTAAATCGATATGCACAGTTGGTACATGTATAAAACACAGTAGCACCCTCATCGGCGGATCTTAGCTGTAGTGTGTGGTACTGCATTTCCTCATTACCACATTTCGGACATTTTTCCTTTATAGTGGCACCTTCATCTAGTTCGTCTTTCTTTAAACTAGTCTTTACCACAGACCTTGCCAGTTTAAGTTTTGAAGGAAACGCATCATCGGAACTTTTTGTAACAACCTGCAAATTTACAAAATCGGACTTGGGGTACGATGCCAGACAAATTTGGCACTCAATATTTGAAGTGGAGCTGTGTGAGTCAAGCAAATTACCACAATAAGTACAAAATATTAGCGAGCCTACTACCGACATTACAGTGTATAAGAAAATGGTTTTATATAAACTTGTGTTTAGTAATGATCTCAAGAGATGAGATATGCTTCAATTTTCATTTTTTTTTTTTTTCCGCATTTTTCATTTTTTTTTTTTCACTTCTCATTAATCAACACAACACCAATGGGGGTTTCAAGACACCATGGCAAACGGCAAAGCCTTGGCTATGAAAAGAAACTGGTGTGAAAAAGTACAGTGCTTTAAACACAGGTTAGATTTAGTATCTCTCTCTATATATTTTCCGTTTTTACATCTAGGCAACAATAGCAGTTTGAAATTTATGCTTGTAGAAAAAAGAGAAATCGTTTAAGATTATTATCACCATTTTCACTCCATCTCGTAATCACGAGTGTTTACTGTAAATTTCTCTGTCAATGCGTTAACCATCGCATTTGAAAAAAGAAAATTCCATAAGTTTTTCATTTTTTCATCATTTTTTTCTTCTTCCTTTTGGGTTAAAAGAAAAAAAAAAAGGCAAGGAAAAGAGGTTGATCAAAGTTTGAAAGCTTTCTCTTTTGGATATATCTTATTAAATTGTTATCAAAAAGGATGGCAGCAGCACCAGGAGCAGCACCAGGAGCTTCAAAGGGCATGCCTGACTTGTCCAATGCGATTGTGGCACAAGATGAAATGGGTAGACCTTTTATTATAGTCAGGGACCAAGGTAAGAAACAGAGGAAGCATGGAGTTGAAGCGACGAAATCGCACATTTTAGCAGCAAGATCTGTTGCCAGCATTGTTAAAACTTCTTTGGGACCCCGGGGTCTTGATAAGATATTAGTTAGTCCCGATGGAGATATCACTATTACAAACGATGGTGCAACTATATTATCCCAGATGGATTTGGAGAACCCAATTGCCAAATTATTAGTTGAGTTATCCAAATCCCAAGACGACGAGATTGGAGATGGTACTACGGGAGTAGTCGTGCTAGCAAGTGCGCTTTTGGATCAAGCGTTGGAGTTGATCGAAAAGGGAATCCATCCAATAAAAATTGCCAATGGATTTGATCAAGCTTGTAAAATAGCCGTTGCACAATTGGAGAAGGTAGCTGATGAGGTACAAATCTCAGATAAATCAACTCTTTTCAAAGCAGCAAAGACTTGTTTGGGTTCCAAAATCGTTTCCAAGGCTCACGATCATTTTGCGCAAATGGCGGTAGATGCAGTTACCGATGTTGCCGATTTCGAGAGAAAAGATGTTGACTTTGAGTTGATCAAAGTCGAAAAGAAAGTTGGTGGATCCGTTGAAGACTCTGAGCTAATCAAAGGAGTTTTGTTGGAGAAGGACTGGAGTCATCCACAAATGCCAAAGGAAATAAGAGACTGTAAAATTGCTATTTTGACATGTCCCTTTGAGCCACCAAAACCAAAAACAAAACACAAATTAGATATTTCAAGTGTAGAGGAATTCAAAGTTTTGCAAGAGTATGAGCAGAAGAAGTTCCAAGAGATGATTGATTTAGTCAAGGCTTCAGGAGCAAATGTTGTTGCATGCCAATGGGGATTCGACGATGAGGCAAACCACTTGCTACTAGCTAACGGATTGAATGCCATAAGATGGATTGGTGGTTCAGAATTGGAACTTCTCGCTATAGCCACCAACGGGCGCATTGTCCCCAGATTTGAAGACTTGAGCAAGGAGAAATTAGGAACAGCAGGAGTCATTAGGGAGTTGGAGTTTGGCACTACGAAAGATCGCATGTTGGTAATCGAGGAATGCTCCAATAGCAAAGCAGTTACTTGTTTTATCAGAGGGTCAAATGAAATGATTGCAGCAGAGGGTGTCAGAGCGCTACACGATTCATTATGTGTTGTGCGTAATTTGATAAGAGATGATAGAATAGTATATGGTGGAGGAGCCGCTGAATTGACAAGCTCGTTAGCAGTATCTGAAGCAGCCGATAAGCAAACGGGAATAGACCAGTATGCATTTAGGGCATTTGCAGCTGCTTTGGATACAATTCCCTTAACTTTAGCGGGAAATTCAGGGTTGGATCCAATTGAAACATTGAGTAGGTTGAAAGCAAAGCAGATTAATGAGAATAATTCTCACTTGGGAATAGATTGTCTTGGTAAAGGTACAAACGATATGAGGGATTTATTTGTTATTGATCCATTGATAGGGAAGACACAACAATTGAACTTGGCGACTCAATTAACAAGAATGATACTAAAAATCAACAATGTCATTATCAGTGGTACAGATGATTACTAAGTCACTACATTGTACCACATATCTCTTTCTGTATATCTAGCAATACAATATACACCTATCTATCTATCTATCTATCCATATATCTATCTATCTATCCATCCATATATCTATATAATTGACTTTTACAAGGTAGTGCACTTTTTGTTAAAGAAAAAAAGGTGAATACCAATAGAGAGGGAGAACCATAGCTTTTACCCATAAGACTAGTTGTTGGAACCAGGCCACTTCCACTTCCACTTCCACTATTAACAATTGATAGTCTAAAAGACGCCTTTTAGAATACAGAAAGTAAAAAAAAAAACGAGATAAGGAAGGGATAGAAAATGAGTACGGGAACACCAGCAGTTGTCATGGACAACGGTACCGGATTGACCAAATTAGGATTTGCCGGAAACGATTCACCTTCCTTTGTATTCCCCACGGCCATTGCGACGTCCTCTGTGTCCTCGAAAGCGGGCAAAGGCCCTACAAACAGAGCTTCTAACTTGTCATCCAAAAGAGGTTTGGAAGATTTGGATTTTTTTATTGGTGACGAAGCAATAGAAGCTGCGAGCGGTCTGCAATATAGCTTACACTACCCTATCAAGCATGGCCAGGTTGAAGACTGGGACCAAATGGAAAGATTTTGGGAAAGCTCCATTTTCCAGTACTTGCGATGTGAGCCTGAGGACCATTATTTTTTATTGACCGAGCCACCATTAAATCCTCCCGAGAATCGAGAAAGTACTGCTGAGATTATGTTTGAAAGTTTCAACTGTGCAGGGTTGTACATTGCTGTTCAAGCAGTGTTGGCGTTAGCTGCATCGTGGACGTCACCAAAGGTGCAAGATAGATCTTTGAGTGGAACAGTGATAGATTCTGGTGACGGTGTAACGCACATTATACCGGTTGCCGAGGGATACGTTGTTGGAGCTGCGATAAAAAATATCCCATTGGCTGGTAGAGATATAACATTGTTTATCCAGCAATTATTGAGAGATAGAGGCGAGCTTGATACTAGTTTGCAAACTGCTGAAAAGATTAAACAAAAGTTTTGTTATGTATGTCCCGATATGGTGCAGGAATTTACCAGATTTGATCAATATCCAAAGGAGAAGTTTGCTCAATATATAGTTGAGTATGCTGACAAGAACAAGAACAGAGTTGTTGATGTAGGATACGAAAGATTTTTGGCACCTGAGATTTTTTTCAACCCGGAAATCTGCTCCTCGGACTTCTTGACCCCCTTGCCGATTGTTGTTGATCAAGTAATCCAAGCTTCTCCCATTGATGTACGAAAGAAGCTTTATAAAAACATAGTTTTATCTGGTGGGTCTACCATGTTCAAAGATTTTGGAAAAAGGTTGCAAAGGGATTTGAAGGCTATTACTAAGGAGAGAGTCTCTTTGAGTGAAAGACTTAGTGGCGCTCAAAGTAGCGGTGTAGAAGTTCAAGTGATTTCTCACAAGAAGCAAAGAAACGCCGTTTGGTTCGGAGGATCATTATTGGCACAAACTTCCGAGTTCAAAAGCTTTTGTTACACGAAAAAAGACTATGACGAATATGGACCAAGCATTGTAAGAAACTTTTCATTATTCGCAGTCCCTTGAACAAGAGAAAAAAAAAAGATTGAGTGAGAACCCTTTTCTTATGTAGAATTTTGCGAGGTTTATAGATTCAATGGCTATATCATCGGTTCGTCTTCTCTTTTATTGGTGATAAATAAAAATATACAAAGAAAATACAAAGAAAAAAAATCCCTACAATTAAATTGCATTGATAAGTGAGAGAGGAAGAAGAGAGGAAGGAGAGAGAGATAGAGACACACAGAGAGAAACGCAGAGAGAGAGAGTGAGAGAGAGAGAGAGATAGAAACACACACGCAGAGAGAGACGCAGAGAGAGACGCAGAGAGAGGCGCAGAGAGAGACAGAGACAGACAGACAGAGAGACAGAGAGACAGAGAGACAGAGAGACAGAGTGTGTGTGTGCGATAGAGAGACAGAGAAATGTCTGCTACGGCAACAGCAACTACTACTACCACACTCACACAACCGCAGGTGGTTGATGGACTATCGTTAGATGAGATATTTAAAGGGTTGACCTCCTCTACAGAAGAAGAAAGATTGAGGTATGCACAGGAGCTTCTCAACTATTTATCATCAATTGCAAGAGACTTATCGACAGAGCATTTCAACAGGTATAATAATGATATCAACAAAACCATCTTTGATCTACTTCATGGGGAGAAAACATCTGAAATCTTGGGTGGGATTGCGGCATTAAATGCGTTGATTGAGTTTGATTCAGGTGTAGGCAAAGAGAATGCTAGCAAGACAGCGAGATTTTCCAATTATTTGGGGTCACTCATTTTATCCAGTGACTTGGTTATTATGAAACAGGCGACGAGGACCTTGGGGAGACTCGCTACGCTTGGAGGAAACTTGACCGGCGACTTTGTAGACTATGAAGCTAAGCGAGCTATCGAGTGGCTACAGAGTGATAGCAGACAGCACGAAAATCGTCGACATGCTGCTATTCTCATTTTAACTGCACTAGCGGATTATGCGCCAACACTATTATTCCCCCTTAGTAACCAAATATTCGAAAACCTTTGGCCGTCGCTACGTGACTACAAATTGGCCATTAGGAAAGACGCCGCCATCGTGTTACAGAAATGCATTGATATTATATACAACAGGGATCCCAATGCTCGACTGTTTTGGATCAAGAAAATGATTGAGCTGGCGTCTCAGATTTTAAATGAAAACGATTCAAACTCCGTTTTTGGAGAAGGAATCCCACTTGTACCATCAACATCTCAACTGGGCGAAAACATTCATGGCTCGCTCTTGGTGTATGAGGTTTTGTTGAGATACAACAAAGATCCATACATCAACTCAAAGCTCGATTCTATTTATGAAAATACCATGTTGTACAAGAACCACAAGTTGGCAGTCATTCGACAAGAGTTGACAAGAATCTTCCCTCTAGTATGCAAAGTCAACACCGAGCTTTTTGTGGAAAAGTATTTACACAGAACATTTTATTACTACTTATCGCAACTTAAAAGATATAAAGGACAACATAATGATACAGCAAATGCAGATAAAAGTACAATTTTCTTGAGTATAGGCCTCATAGCATTGGAAGTTGGGAACCAAACAGCAACGTATTTAGACGCAATTTTAGAAAACATTAGAGAAGGCTTAGCATACAATTCAAATTCAGGAGTTCAGCTGTTATTGACAAATGCAGCTAACCAAAATGATAATGCAAATATTATTAATGCCAATATGGCAGCATATACTTTGACATCCAAATACAACATTAGTAAGAAAGAAACTGAACCTGCCATTTTTGATTGCATTGGGAAATTATCTACGGCGGTGGGACCTGCATTAACAAAACACCTTCAACGAGACATTTTGGATATGATGTTTGCAAATTGCTCGTTGTCGGAACACATGCAGAATGTTTTACTAACATTGACTCAAAACATCCCTACGTTGACTAGTCTCATAAACGAAAAGCTATTGAACCTTTTAAGTTTAGTGCTTTCAGGAAAGGGGTTTCAGCCACCAGGTTCACCGTATGGGACCATAAAAGTGAGAAAGAATTTAGCGAGAGATTGCCGATTAATCATGATCTCTCGTGATACAGGACTCAGCATACAAAGCATAAGATCTGACCAAGAGAGATATGAAAGGCTCGATGGTATGATAACGGTACAAGCATTGGAAATGCTAACAGCATTTAAATTTGAAAACTATCAATTGAATGAATTTGTGCGCTTTTGTACAATCACTTACCTTGAAAGCAGCGATCCAAAGGTTAGACTTACGGCAACGCGGACTTCCTGTGAGATCTTTGCAAAAGATCCTATTTGTCAGCAAGTTAGCGTGAATGCTTTAAACGCAGTGAATGATGTATTGGGAAAGTTATTGGCAATTTCAATAACCGATCCTTTGCCTGACATTAGATTAACCGGGTTGAAAGCACTAGCAAAAGCTGGTAATTTTGATTCTCAGTTGTCGCAAGCGGAGAACGTACGCCTCTTGTTTATTGCTTTGAATGATGAGGTATTTGAAGTAAGGAAAGTGGCGATCCAAATCTTGGGCCGTTTGTCATCAATAAATCCAGCTTATATAGTGCCTTCTTTACGAAAGACGCTAATTCAGTTATTGTCAAAGCTTGAATACTCAGTAACCAGTCGGAAAAAAGAAGAAAGTGCAATTTTATTATCACTTTTAATAGCAAATTCAAAGGAGTTAACTAGATCATACGTAAAGCCTATTGTTGAGTCATTATTACCAAAGGCAAAAGACCCGAGTTCTTCAGTTGCCTCAAACGCAATCAAATGTTTAGGGGAACTAGCAGTGGTAGGTGGAGAAGATTTGAAACCCTTCATACCAGATTTGATGCCTTTAATTCTTGATACTTTTCAAGATCAAAGTTCATCTTATAAACGAGATGCTGCTTTGAAAACACTTGGACAATTATCGTCATCTTCTGGTTATGTTATTCAACCTTTGCTAGACTATCCGCAACTACTTGGAATGTTAGTGGCAATTTTGAAATCAGATAACTCGGTTCAAATAAGAAGGGAAACTGTTCGATTATTGGGCATACTAGGGGCATTAGATCCTTACAAACATAGAGAAGTTGAGCAAACCTCTAAAAGTATACCAGCGGAGCAGAACGCGCCTCCCGTAGATGTGGCTTTGCTAATGCAGGGTATGTCTCCTGCCAACGAGGAGTACTACCCAACTGTGGCGATAACCAATTTGATGAAAATCTTAAAGGACCAGTCATTGAGTTTACATCATACAAAAGTAATACAGGCTATTATGTATATATTCCAAACCATTGGATTGAGATGTGTCACATTTTTGCCTCAGATAATTCCTGGAATCATCAATGTGATGCACACTTGTCAACAGAATATGCTCAAATTTTATTTTCAACAATTGGGCGATATCATTGTTATTGTCAAGCAGCATATACGTCCATACCTAGATGATATTTTCAAGGCCATCAAGGAGTTTTTTTATGTAAACACTCAGTTGAATATTCAAGTGACGGTTATTAACGTCATTCAAGCAGTCTCGAGAGCGCTAGACGGCGAGTTTAAACTATACTTATCCCAAGTTTTGAAACTTTTGCTTGGCGTGTTTGAAGAGGACACTTCAGCCAAAAGGGTATCTTCCTTCCATGTTTTGAAAAGCTTTGTTGTGTTTGGAAGTAATATTGAGGAGTTTGTTGATATTATCATACCAACTATTGTTCGCATGTTTGAAAGTGGACCCACGGATTTGAGGAGAGCGGCAATTGAAACAATTGGGCGATTATCGAAAAACGTAATGTTGAATGACATGGCTTCGCGTATTATTCATCCTATATTGAGAGTGTTAAGCCTGGGTCCAGAGGAATTAAAAGAGTCATGTATGAACACCTTAAACTACATGCTCCTTCAATTGGGTGCTGAATTTACCGTTTTTCTTCCAGTTATCACAAAGACAATGGTCCAGCACAATATCAATTGTCCCAAATTCGAGCAGCTTGTAGGAAAGCTTTTGAGTGGAGACCCTTTGCCACTTCATTTGGATATATATGCGGATTACGATCAGGGTGTTGGTGATTCGGCTGGTTCTGATATGCCATCTAAGAAATTACCCGTCAATCAGGTTGCTTTGAAAGCTGCATGGGATGCAAGTCAGCGACATACAAAGGAAGATTGGCAAGAATGGATCAGTCGCTTGAGTAAGGAATTGTTGTTGCAAAGCCCTTCGCATCCAATACGTGCATGTGCCGGACTAGCATCTGATTATTATCCATTGGCAAAAGATTTATTTAATGCAAGTTTTGCTAGTTGCTGGAGTGAATTGTATTCACAGCATAAAGAAGAATTGGTGCAATCATTTTGCATTGCTCTTTCTTCACCTACAAATCCTCCTGAAATACACCAGACATTATTGAACTTGGCAGAGTTTATGGAACACGATGACAAATCGTTGCCAATTGCAATCAGCACATTAGGGCAGTACGCACAACGTTGCCATGCCTTTGCAAAAGCATTGCATTACAAAGAGTTGGAGTTTTACGAAGAGGCAACAACGCCTACTATCGAGTCCTTAATCAGTATTAATAATCAACTACAGCAGTCTGATGCAGCCATCGGAATTTTGAAACATGCTCAATTGCATCACAATTTGCAATTAAAAGAAACATGGTATGAAAAATTGCATAGATGGGATGATGCCCTAGAGGCATATAACGAGAGAGAAAAAGCCGAACCAGATAATATGGAAATAACGATGGGTAAAATGAGATGTTTCCATGCTTTGGGTGAATGGGAGCAGCTATCCGAATTAGCACGCAGTAAATGGGATAATGCTTCCAGTGACACCAAAAGAAGTGTCGCTCCATTGGCGGCAGCTGCGGCTTGGGGTTTGGGTCAATGGGATCGAATGGATGCTTGTATTAAGGTCATGAAGGCTGCATCTCCCGATAAGGCCTTTTTCAATGCTATTTTGAGTCTTCATAGAAATAATTTTGAAGATGCTTCTGACCATATATTAAAAGCAAGGGATCTATTGGTGACAGAGATTACGGCATTGGTGAGCGAGAGTTACAATAGAGCTTACGGGGTGGTCGTTAGGGTTCAGATGTTGGCAGAGTTGGAAGAAATTATCAAGTATAAGTGCTTGCCTCAAGGGTCTGAAAAAAGAGCCGTGATGAGGAAAACATGGAATACAAGGTTGCTTGGGTGTCAAAGGAACGTTGACATTTGGCAACGAATGTTGAAAGTTAGGGCATTGGTTATAAAGCCGAAACAGGATATGGATATGTGGATTAAATTTGCAAATCTTTGTCGTAAATCAGGAAGATTGAACTTGGCTGAGAAATCTTTGAACTTGTTGCTCGAGGAAGGGTCCGCTGAAAATCCGTCGCGTGCTCCTCCACAAGTGGTGTATGCACAATTAAAGTATATGTGGGCAAAGGGACAGAGACCAGAAGCTTTGAGGCATTTAGTAGATTTTACCACAAGAATGTCGCAAGACCTTGGTTTAAATCCAAACGATTTGATAACCCAACCATTGCCATCGGAAGGTCCGGGAATACCAAAACATGTTGAGGAGTATACAAAATTATTGGCAAGATGTTTTTTGAAACAAGGTGAATGGCAGATTGCCTTAAACAGCAACTGGAGGTCAGAGACCTCCGAGATAATCTTGGGTGCATATTTGTTGGCCACCCATTTTGACAACAAATGGTACAAAGCGTGGCACAATTGGGCTTTGGCAAACTTTGAAGTTATTTTGCTCTTCACTAGTCAGAATCAAAATAGTGGTAGAATTGAGTATCTCGATGAGAATCGTGCAAATGCGCATGATGACTCTGTTGCTGCTTCTGGCCAAGTTCCGGGAAAACCATTAAAAGAAGACCTACCATTACAGTCTCCACAACAACAACAACAACAACAACAACATACTGGGAACAAGACAAATGTGATCCTGATGGAAACAGTGCAACGTCACGTTATTCCATCGATAAAAGGATTTTTCCACTCGATTGCGCTTTCAAATTCCAACTCTCTTCAAGATATGCTACGATTGTTGACGCTATGGTTCAAGTTTGGTGGAATACCAGAGGCTGCACAAGCTATGACTGAGGGGTTCAGTATGGTCAAGATAGATAACTGGTTGGAAGTTGTACCTCAGTTGATATCTCGAATCCATCAACCAAATGAAATTGTCAGTAGATCGCTTTTTGGATTGTTGGCAGATTTAGGAAAAGCGCACCCACAAGCACTTGTTTATCCTTTGGCGGTAGCTATAACGTCTGAATCTGCTAGCAGAAAGAAAGCAGCTCAATCCATAATTGAGAAAATGAGAGTCCATTCTGCAAACTTGGTTGATCAAGCTGAGCTAGTAAGCCGGGAGTTAATTAGAGTTGCTGTATTATGGCACGAGCAGTGGTACGAAGGTCTCGAAGATGCATCGAGATTATTCTTTGGTGAGAAAAACACAGACAAAATGTTTGAGGTATTGGAACCTTTACATCAAATGCTTCAAAGAGGACCCGAAACTATGCGGGAACAAGCTTTTGCAAATGCGTTTGGTAGAGAGTTGGCAGATGCGTTTGAATGGGTGATGAATTTCAGAAAAACCAAGGATATCACGAATTTGAATCAAGCATGGGATATTTACTACAATGTGTTTCGGAGGATTACTAGGCAACTCCCACAGTTGGTGAGTTTGGAGTTACAATTTGTGTCACCAATGTTGGAAAAAGCGCATAATTTAGAACTAGCGGTGCCAGGTACCTACGAAGCAGGTAAGCCCGTTATTCGGATTATCAAATTTGATCCTACATTCTCTGTTATATCCTCGAAGCAAAGGCCAAGAAAGCTATCATGTAGGGGCAGTAATGGGAAAGATTACCAGTATGCGCTCAAAGGTCACGAAGATATTAGACAAGATAATTTGGTGATGCAGCTATTTGGATTGGTCAATACATTATTGGTCAATGATCCAGAGTGTTTCAAGCGTCATTTAGATATTCAACAATATGCTGCAATACCACTTTCTCCAAAAGTGGGTTTACTTGGTTGGGTTCCAAACAGTGATACCTTCCATATGTTAATTAAAGGCTATCGAGAGTCAAGGAGTATCATGTTGAATATAGAGCATCGTTTGTTGTTGCAGATGGCACCAGATTATGATATTCTTACATTACTCCAAAAGGTTGAAGTTTTCACAAGTGCGCTTGATAATACGAGAGGACAAGATTTGTACAAAGTTTTGTGGCTAAAATCCAAATCCTCAGAAGCCTGGTTAGATCGAAGAACCACTTACACCCGCTCTCTAGCGGTTATGTCAATGGTGGGTTATATTTTGGGTTTGGGTGATAGGCACCCTTCGAATTTGATGTTGAATAGAACCACCGGGAAGGTTGTGCATATAGATTTTGGAGATTGCTTTGAGGCTGCGATATTGAGAGAAAAATATCCTGAAAAAGTACCTTTTAGGCTAACGAGAATGTTGAACTTCGCGATGGAAGTTAGTGGTATTGAGGGCTCATTTAGAATCACTTGCGAACACGTGATGAGAGTCTTGAGGGACAATAAAGAGTCCTTGATGGCGATTTTGGAAGCTTTTGCTTATGATCCTTTGATAAATTGGGGATTTGATTTTCCTACAAAAGTACTAGCGGAAGCCACGGGGATTAGAGTAAACTTGGTAAATGTTACAGAGTTATTGCGTTCAGGGCAGATTGACGAGAAAGAAGCTGCTAGATTGCAGAAACAGAACGGATTGGAAATTAGAAATGCGCGTGCCGGTTTGGTTTTGAAGAGAATCACAGATAAGTTGACAGGAAATGATATTAAACGGTTAAAAGGGTTGGATGTACCCACTCAAGTTGATAAATTGATTCAACAAGCAACTAGTGTGGAGAATTTATGTCAGCACTATATTGGTTGGTGTTCTTTCTGGTAAATCTAAATTAGAAAGACCTTTCTTTTCTAGAAATAAGTTTTAGAAGTAATGAAACATGTAGAATGCAATGAAAAAAAAAAAAAAGAAGATGCAATATAATTAAGCTACTTTTTTGGAAATATTTGTAAAACCACTTCCTTTTAATGAAAGGGTGATAAATTCTCCGTTATTGGTATCATCAGGCTGAAGAAACGCCTCAGTTCCAAAAAACTCTTTGATATCTCTGAGAGCATAAAGCAAGTTTTCATCAACCTCGCTTTCATGTATTTTGATTCTTCCCAAATCCTCTTTACCAATAGCCATAAAAACAAGACTGAAGACCAATTGGATGCGTCCAATACTCCCACTCTTTGTTACCTCATTCATTAGTTGATATGCGGTCAATTCGCCCAAATCTTCAGGTAATGACTGTGCTCCACCAACGTTATCTGCAACTATTCTCCAGCCTTTTTTAGATTCTGCTATCAAAGTGATCCCAAAACCGGGCGAATTACCCGAATTTGCTCCTTTCCAAACATCAGCTGTAATGTTAACTTCACAGCCGGTGTTTTTTAGTACTGTTCGTGCACCATCAATCATTCGGTTGACAATGGAGGGACTTACCCTAGTGCAATAAGCGACTCCTCTAATTGCCGAAAATTTTGGAACATCGATCGCGTGAATAGTCAAAGGAACTGTTAATAGCGAGTTACATATTAGGTGTACCTCGCCTCCTCCAAGTGGAGGAGAGCCTCTTTTCAAGATATGTAACAAGCAATCACGTACACCAAACTTTTCCATAATAGGTAAAAACCCCCATTTTATAGCATCAATACCAGTCTCATTTAAGTTATTGGTCAATCCTTTAAAAATGATACTAAACTTGTTTTTTGAAAATGGCGCCAACATCAACATAGGTTCAATAAAGTAACTAACAGATTTCGAGGTTGGGCAAGTATGTGTGATTTCACCACCAACAATGATCCCCGGCCTATATATGACAGTTGTACCAGTATAGGATATTTCAATATGCGAGCCATTTGTAACTGATTCAATGAGTCTGAGAAAGGAAACCTCGTAATCTTTTAACCCAGGGTTCAAATCATTCGACTTGATCTTTGTGATTTTTATAGACTTTGCTGCAAGCGTAGCCAATACGATTCGAAGACGAAAGTTACGGTAACCTTCAAAAACTAGCAAATTATTATTCAGCAGCATCTGTACATATACAACTTGACAAATAAATACAAATAGCCACTATTATCAGACTATCCAGCCTACCTATCCAGCCCTTTATTTCCCTATCGATCTATCTATCTATCCATCTCTTCTCATTTCAATCCCAATGCTTTATTTTTCACCTTGCGATGATCATCGCAGCACGCTACCAACTGTTTATCTCTGCTCGGGATGCAAAAGTTTGTTCAAACAAAACTTTTGTTTTTTTTTCGCTTGTGCAAATGTACACTACCTCTTTACTCTCCAACTTTTGTTTTTTTCGCTTGTGCAAACGCACACTACCTCTCTATTCTTTTTTTTGTTTGTTTTTGGAAAATTTCAAACATTGAACAAATGATACCCACCAAGAGGGGCATTTATTTGATTGAAAGGGCTAGTTAAAAAGTGAATATTTGAAGTTAAAACCATGTCGACTTCTTCCCAGGGACTCGATCTCAAACGCTCGGCATCTCAATTGGACGCTAGTAGTGAACCTGTTAAAAGATTGAGGTTTGACGAGACGCTAAGTTCTAACCCCAGCACGCCTATTGACAATGATTTGCAAAAGACTATAAATATACTACAGAATGTACCTGGTGCCAATGTCTTGGGCAGTTTGGACACAAACATTTCCTCAAACGATATGAGCGATACTCCTTCTTTAAATGCGGTAAATGGCGGCGGTGATAATAGCAGCAGCAACAACAACAACAACAACAACAACAAGTTGTCGTTTGAGGCCAAGTCAGGTCCATTGCTGGACATTTCAATGTCGACTTTGAAATATGACCAACAAGACTCGTCAAAGCTTAATGATGCCATTGCAGCTGCTGGTGTTGATATCCAGAAAGAAGAAGAGCTTTTGTTACAAAAACAAATCAATAGAAGAGCTGACGGAATGATTGAGGGATTAGAGATGTCTGTAAAGTCCACTGCGTCAACACCGTTTTTGAATCCCTATCATCTTTCTTCGTTTCTCGGCAAGGTTTCTCGCACTCACCAAATTAATCAGAATTTTTTAGAAAATGGAGACATACTCAACTTGATATCAAATGCTTGTGAAGAATGGATATCTCACCTTGCGAGTAAGGCACTCATACTATCCAGACACCGAAGAAGAGGAATACTATTTCCTTCAAAGAAGGGCCAGTCTCTGTCTTCAGTACAGAGGTCCGCTGTATCTAAGGAGTTGCGGAATATTGCTCTAAGGCAGAAGGAGATGGAAGAAAAGAGGGTGCAGAAGAGGATTATGCTAGGGTTGGAGAAAAGTGCTAGCGAACTGGTTGGAGGTGAAAATGGTGATGGTAAAGCAGGTTCAGAGGAAACACTACATCGGGCTGCTAATGCTACAGCAGCAATGATGTCGACAGGTAAGAAGAAGTATAGCTGGATGAATTCCAGCAGCAATGGCGGTGGCGCTTTAGGTGGCGGCATCGATTCGGGAACAAGAGGGAGCTTTGACTCTAAGAGTAAACAAAGTCCAATCATATCTGTGAGAGGTGATAATGGTTTGCGATTTAGAGAAATACGTTCAGCTAATGCAATAGTTTTAAGGGATTTAATAAGTGCTTTGGAAGGTGAGAAGAAAGGAACGCAACAAATTGTAACAAAAGGGTACGCAAAATTAAGAGACTAGGAAATGAATCCCAAGAAATGCAATTCTCAACAAATGAGTCACAAGAAATGCAATTCTCAACAAATGAATCGTTATACATAGAAATGAATCGTTCTACATAGAAAATGACTCTTTATCAATGTCATTTTTATCATCAAATTTCCCATTGGGGATTTTTTTTTTTCTTCACTAGACGCGCGACTAATCTCTTTGATATCTCCCTCTTACTTTCACAACTCTTCTTGTTGTTTCTCCAAGATTATATCCACCAGTCTTAGTGGGACTGGTAGTAAGGTTGTGCGTTGTGCTTTTATCCGTTTCGGTTTTTGCCCTTAAGATGGAGTTTAATCTTCAATTCTACTTCAATGATTTTGACGTTGACAAAGATTACAAGGTTCAGTTTGATGATTTGAATGGTAAGCTAGGCTCGATTATTGATTTGTTGGCACACGATCCACAATCTATTGCAACTGATACTGAGTTGCTTGAGGATGTGATAGAAATTACAAATGGGTTCAAGACTCTTGAACCGAAACAACAAAAACAGCTATCGTATCTGCTAATATCTTCATTTAATACAATTGGACAACAGGTGCAGCAGGCGTTGAGAGATGACGATTTTCAAGATAATTTGGAGTTCATGAAGACTGTTATGGAGAGGTATGGTTATTTGATTTTTGTCCTTTTAAAGCATTTGGGGAACGAAGACTTTCTGCAAATTAGTGCCGCTAGATCTCAAAAACGGGTGTCAAAGGAACTCTTGGCCAAATGGAGATCCAACTGTACCGAGGTTGAAAACGCGTTGATCACAATCAGAACAATCATGAACATTGATTTGGAGAAAATCTTTCTAACAACGCCTGAAAAGGACTCTTATATAGAGCTTTTCTCAAGACCGATGATCAATTTGATGGAAAGTCACGAAAGAATGAAAATTGTTGGAATCAAAATGGTTATGTTTGAGGTTTTGGCCTTGGCAGTTACAAAACATGCTCATGGAAAGATAATACAACACTCCATCATTCAATGTCTAACGTATTATGCACATCTCCCGCCATTTATGGCCTCGTTTCTCAATCTTTTGTCAGAAAAGTACGATCATGTGCATTTAACCGAAGCGATTTTGCGAGAGATTGCACAAACAAACTTCAACTCCAACGATACCAATGGACCTAAAGCTATATCTGCATTTTTGGTTAAACTTTCCGAGTTGAATCCAATCCAAATCTTGAGACAAATGACGAGTCTCTCGCAGTTACTAGCGAACACAAATACAACATTGAGATGCGCCGTAGTGGAAACATGTGGTAATGTGGTTGTTGATCTAATAAAAAATGCCAATCGGAGCGATGCAGACGAGGATATACATCGTGCAAATCAGCAGGTGGAAAAATTACTAAATTTGTTAGCGGAGAGGTTTCTTGATCAAAGTACATTTGTTAGAGCTAAGGCTATACAGGCTTTCACGAGGGTAGCAGATTTGAAGTACAAATTGACCGAACAACGACAAAAGATGATAGGACTTGCGGCAAATTCTTTAGACGACAAAAGCACTTTGGTACGACGCAATGCAATCAAACTCATGGGTAAGCTCATTTTGAATCATCAGTTTCAAGGTGTGCATGGGACCCAGCTTACCCTCGAATTTTGGGAAACACGATTGGCGGAGGCAGAGAATAATTTAGTCAAGTATATGCCATTAGCGCAGGTAAAAAAAGGTAGTAATGACATAGAAGAAGAGGAAGAGGAGAATATTCCCGTACGTGACTCCGACTCTGGTTCCGACTCCGACTCGGGCTCTGGATCAGACTCTGGTTCCGATTCTGACTCCGACTCTGGCTCTGACAAATCAATGGAAGTGCCAGAAACAAAAAAGGAGCTTGGTAATAATGACGATCAACAGAATGATAACAACAAATGCGATGAAAATGATCGTATGGAAACTGATGAACAAGATGCAACAAACATTAATGACAACCTACCCGACTCAACTACTCTAGCCCGAGCCAAACTCAAGTTTGATTTTTATAAAGATGCAGTGGACTTTATAAAAAGTGTTGAAAAGGGCACAGATAAGGTGTGCCTGCTTCTATTTTCTAAAAATAGAAACGAAGCAATAGACTCAATGGACTTTCTCGTGCTTGCTGACGCTTATGGGATTAGAAATGCTGGCATTGGAATTCGAAAAATGCTTCATTTGGTGTGGATTAAAGGAACTTCGGAGGAAGGTAAATCGGTGTCTGCCCATTTGGTTGATTGTTATAAAACCCTTTTCTTGTTGGCACCAGAGGGCACACCAGCAGAGAAGTCGGCTTATATTGCTAAAAATTTACTAAGCTTGACTTGCGATGCATCTATAGCAGATTTAGCTTCTTTGGAAAAGCTACTATGTATGATGTACACTATGCATATGATAAACAGTGAGGTCGTTAAAGTATTGTGGCAAGTGTTTAGAGCTGTTGATATGGAAGAGAACAAAGAAGTGCAAGAGAAAAGAAGAGCAGCAATTATAGTGCTAGGCATGCTTGGCAACGAGGATCCGAAAGTTGTTTTTCAAGGTTTATCCTTCTTATTGAATATTGGCTTGGGTGATGTAGGCCAAAAGGATTTAGTTCTTTGTCGTTACTCGTGTATTGCCCTACAAAAGCTACATTCTAGACAACTTGCAACTTCCACCACCGCGGAGTTTGGGTTAGAAGAAGAGGCTACTGAAAAACTTGGAAATGTAATACTTTACTATAGCGATGATTCGGAGTGGTTCACTGTTGCAGAGCAAGCAATCAATGGTATCTTTCAGATATCCTCCGATCCAATAAATATCTGTTCCAGGTTGGTTCAAAAAAAGTCTGACAGTGTCTTTAAGTCTAAATCTCAGCATGGACGCAAAGCTGTGGCATTATCGCAATTGCTTTTCATTATAGGACATGTTGCAATTAAGACTATTGTATATCTTGAAACTATGGAAGCTCAATTCAAGAAAAAAAAGCAAGCTGCTGAAAGCAGCAGCAGCAAGAATCAAGCAGAAAAAGATTCTACTGGCGATAAGGAGCTCGAGATGATTGGAGGTACGTCTGAGGATGACTTTGCCGATGCCGTGATACACGTCAAGGAAAGAGAGATCCTTTTTGGAGAGCAATCACTACTTACGGGATTTGGGTCCTTGGTCAAACATATTTGCTCTTCTCCACTAAAGTACAAGAACACTCAGCTTCAGCGACATGCCGTTCTATGTCTTGTTAAGCTAATGTGTGTTTCTTCAATATATTGTGAAGACAACCTACCGCTATTGCTAAATATTATGGAAAATTCAAAGGATCCAATTATTAGGTGCAATTGTATTTTAGGCCTTGGGGACTTGGCTGTGAGCTTCAATCGGTTGATAGATGAAAACACGGATTTTATATATCGACGCCTTACTGATGAAAACATTATGGTGCAAAGAACTTGTTTGATGACAGTGACTTTTCTAATTCTAGCTGGGCAAGTTAAAGTGAAGGGACAACTATCATCAATGGCCAAGTGTTTGGAACATTCCGATCAAAGTATAAGCGACATGTGTCGTTTGTTCTTTGCTGAGTTGGCTACAAAGGATAATGCGATTTACAATGGATTTATTGACATTTTCAGTGGATTGTCATTTGATGCAACCTTGAGCAAGGATGCTTTTAAACGAATCTTGAAATTTTTGATTGGATTCGTTGATAAAGAACGGCATCAGAAACAATTGAGTGAAAAGTTACTCGCAAGATTGGCAAGGGCCAAAGATGAAGAGGAATGGAAGGATATTGCCTATGCTTTGGAAACAATTCCATTTACCAATGATACAATTACTACTGTTCTTAAGGACGGATACCAAGTCGTACTGGCTAAGGATTAGTAGCGTGGATATATCTACCAATATCCGCCCACTCTCAAAAAACCACAGATTCTCATTTTCTCATCTTCTCATCTTCTCATCTTTTCATCTTTTCATCTTCTCATCTTCTCATCTTCTCCTTCTACACTGTGTATTGGTGAAGCCCAACTGTCAAACTTTGAATTGAACTCTTGGAAATTTTCCCGCTACCAACTAGACTTTGTTTTTTGAACCAAACAGGCTTTAATATTTGTGATAATTTTTCAACATTCTAGTACAACACCGTGCTTCTTCCTTCACTCCTTCCCCCTCCTCACCCTAGCAATTGCTAGTTTGTTGCTATAAATGATAAGTGCTATACAAATCTTGATCAATTCACTACTGGACATTACCGGTTTGGACCAGGCAAGTATTAAGATATTAACATGCACTTTGCTTTCATTTGGGTTTAGCATCATTTTTAAAAGATTACCCGATCAGAATTACACGTTGAAGAATATATACAATGTTCTAGTTTCTGCATTTTACGTTTTTGGAATATGTGATTTACGAAGCGGATTAGGCACACTTCTCATATCTTCATTGGGCACATATTTCATAACAAGGTACTTGAGAACATCGAAGATGCCGTGGGTCAATTTCTTATTCCTAATGATACATATGGCCTATAGTCATGTTCATCTTCAGTTTTTTGATGATTACGACCCTACTGTTATAGATATAACTGGAGCCCAAATGATACTAGTTATGAAATTGTCTGCGTTTGGATGGAGTGTCCATGATGGGAAGCAGCCACGAACTAGTTTGAACGAGTACAACAAGTCTAGAGCTATATACAAGCATCCAAATATTTTGCCATATATTGGGTACCTGTTTTTCTATGCGTCATTGTTAACAGGACCAGCTTTTGACTATGTAGACTACGATAAGTTTATGCACTCGACTTTGTTTGATGATGTGCCCGAGGAAAAAAGACCGGGTAGACGTGTTAAAAGAAGAATACCAAGAAGCGGGAAGCAAGCTTTTGTGAAACTTTTGCAGGGTTTCTTTTGGGCATTTTTGTTATTTCAAGTACCAAAGTTTGCTGATTTAAAGTATGTGTTTAAAAATGAGTTTGTCACGGATCATGGATTTGTCTACAGAATTTTCTACATGTGGGTTTTGGGATTCTCATACAGATTAAAGTACTATGCAATCTGGACTATTGCAGAAGGGGCCTGTATACTTTGTGGGATTGGATACAATGGTTTTGATTCTGAAACTGGGGAGTTCAAATGGAATCGAGTACAAAATATTGACCCTGTTGCATTTGAAACCGGCCAAAGTGTTCATGCTTGTTTAGAGGCATGGAACCAAAATACCAACAAATGGTTAAAATATTATGTGTACTTGCGGGTTGCCAAGCCTGGTAAGAAACCGGGTTTTAAAAGCACTGTTTTTACATTTGCCACAAGCGCATTTTGGCACGGAACCAGACCTGGCTACTATTTAACTTTTGTTTTGGGCGCGTTGCTCCAAACAGTTGGCAAGTATTATAGAAGAAATATAAGGCCCTTTTTCTTGAAAAGTGACGGAAGTTCGAAACCGACAAAAGTTATCTACGATTTTGTTTGTTGGATCAATACACAGTTGGCATTTGGGTTTATTGTTCAACCTTTTGTCATTTTGGACTTTAAGAATTCATTATTGTGTTGGAAAACAGTCAATTATTGGCTTGTTTGGGTAATTGGGGTTTCCTTTTTTATTTACAATGGTCCGCTCGCAAGATATTTCAAGGTCAAAGCTCCTTCTCCTCCTAAAAAGAAACCGGTTTCTGACAATCCTGCTGAGAATGCGCCGTCAACTTTTGAGTCGGTACTATTATCCAATGAAGAAAACCGACACGTGTCGCATGCTGTAAAGAAGAAGTTGGAGAAAGATTATGATGCGCCAACTTTGGGTTTACCATCGTTTGACGTGTTTCAAGATATGGATAGAGAAGAGATTGACGATGACATCAAACACTTGCATGATGCTTGGGTATCCTTTAAACAGCGCAAGTTTTTGAATGGTAAAGATAATGATAAAAATGATGATAAAAATGATGATTTTGAAGGTTTAAAAGATGCATACAAAAACTTTATTGACGAGATTAACCGCATCTTCCAAAGTGAAAAAAAAGAGGTTTACAATATGAAAGAGAAGATTTTGACTCAACTATGAGAACAAAGAGACACATATTCTAAAGATTATATCGAAATTTCACCACAGACTTTTAGTTGTTGTTGTTGTTGTTGTTGATTTTTTTTTTTTTTTTTTTGTTTGTTTCTTTCTTTCTCTACAAGTATAGATTGTTTTTATAAAAGACTTGTTTCTTACTTCTTTCTTAGAACACATTTTAGCCAAAAGTCTGGTTAACGTAACAATAGACCATATTAACCCAATCTTTCTTCCAGTAAACTTCTCCTCTCTTTGTTATCAAAATGTCTAATGACAGGAGATTTTAAATTGAGTTTATTTGATTGGTCTAGTTTGCTCTATAAATTAAAATAGCAATAACTAAATTCTGGGGGAGGGCTCGGTAAACGAGAGAGCGTTTATTTCCTTGTCACGCGATGAGCTTCGAGTTAGCATAGCAAGCTTAGTACAAAAGGTTCCACAAAGGGCTTTGTATTATCATTCCAGCACGTGTGAATTGCCCTAGCATACATACATACACACACACACGCCTCGGCGTTCCTCTGCCCTAGCAACTAAAACGCTTACTGTTTAAAGGTCAATTTTTCATTAGTAAATGGATGATCAAACTTTGGTTTTCTCTCTTTGTTTCATAGTAATTGCACTATTCAAATTGTACCAATAATGCTAATAAAGCCGCTTAAACAACAGGTATTCTTAACGACGTGGAAGGTTTCTACAAGGTTCAATTCAACCGCCAATGCTGCTTCAACTTTGGTAGCAAAGTCGTCGCTGTCGCTGTTGTTGTCGCTGCTGATGTTGCCCACGGGGAGAGTTTCTACAAGGTTCAATTCAACTTTGGTAGCAAAGTCCTCGTTGTCGCTGCTGTCGCTGCTGTCGCCCACGGGGATAGTGTTTATGAATATGGGTGGTCCTTCGAAAAAGGAAGAAACCTACGATTTTCTTTTACGATTATTTCAGGATGGCGATTTGATTCCATTTGGTATATTCCAAAAACCCTTGGGTAAATTTATCGCCAAAAGACGTACTCCTAAAATTGAAGCGCACTACGAAGAGATTGGCGGTGGTTCTCCTATTAGAAAATGGTCAGAGTATCAGTGTCAAAAGGTATGTGAAATCTTGGATAAAACAAATCCGGAAACGGCACCCCATTTGCCTTATGTCGCGTTTAGATATGCAAAGCCATTAACTGAGGAAACTTTGGCGGTAATGCTAAAGGATGGAGTTAAACGAGCCGTGGCTTTTTCGCAGTACCCGCAATTTTCATATTCGACTACTGGATCTTCAATCAATGAATTATATAGACAGACATTAAAGCACGATCCAGAAAGATCAATTGAATGGTCCATCATTGATAGATGGCCCCAGCAAACAGGATTGGTGCAAGCATTTGCAAACAATATTAAAGAGAAACTAGCAGAGTTTCCACCTCAAGTCAGAAATGAGGTCATTATACTATTTTCCGCACATTCATTACCTATGGATATCGTCAATTTGGGCGATTCGTACCCCGCTGAAGTTGCTGCAACCGTTTACAAAGTTATGGAATTGTTGAAATTCTCCAACCCATATAGGTTAGTGTGGCAATCTCAAGTTGGTCCAAAGCCATGGTTGGGAGCCCAAACTGCAAAAATCATTGACAAGTTAGAGAAACGAGAAGATACTAAGGGGATCATTTTAGTACCAATAGCATTCACTTCCGACCATATTGAGACTCTTCATGAATTGGATATTGAAATTATGGAAGAGGCTAAGAACCCACATAAAATCAAAAGGGCAGAATCAATGAACCAAAACGAGTTATTTATCTCTGGATTGGCTGACCTCGTTAAGGATCATTTACAAAGCGGTAAAAAGTACTCAAATCAACTTGAATTGGATTGTATTTTGGGAGGTGAAAGGGCCACTGACACTTTCAAGCACCCAAGTGAATTGTTTGGAAAACACTAAAGCAAAAACAAAAAACAAAAACCAAAAACCAAAAACCAAAAGCAAAAAGCAAAAAGCAAAAAGCAAAAGCAAAAAGCAAAAAGTATAAAGCATAAAGCATAAAGTATTAAAAGCATTTCTTTTTTATCTGGTTTTTTTTATCTTATTTCTCTGTATATTAATCTGAATACTCGTCGTCGGGATCAAATAAATCTAGATCTAAATCAACAGTCTCAACTGGCTCTGTTTTCTTTGGCTCGTCATTATGCTGATCAGGTGTATATGATGATGATGATGATGATGACTTTGTCTCCTTTGCCAATACCTTTTCTTCTGATGTTTCTTCATCTGCACTTGGCTTTTTCTTCATCTCTTCAACTATTTCTTCCTCGTCATTTTGCGCAACGCTGCTGTCAGTGGTAGTGGTGGTACCTAGTATACTTTGCACTATTTCATCTCCTTGAAGAGAGCTCATTGCAAGCACCCCTCGTCTCAATGAATCTTCTGCGGGCCATATATAATTATTAGGATGGATTTGAAATGGCATATTCCCCATTGCTGCTGGAGCTTTTGTAAATTTGGCCAATTTCATGGAGTACTCCAATATGTTTTTAGTAGTAACTTGCGTATTGGAGGCACTATTCTTCTTGGTGTAATTTTCTTTATAACTTGGCGCCGTTGGAAGTTTCTTTAACTCGTTCCTATACTTCAATAACTCCTTCAAATTGCTTTTCAACCTGTCATCAAGATTCTTATTTTTGGACAGCAAATTTTTCACAGCCCTTTTCCTTTGCTCGTGCTTACTTAGATCGGCAATGTCCTGCTCCAATGTATTATTTACCTTGGTAATCTCCTCAATTGTGGAATAAAAGGTATCCTCTTTAAACAGCGAAATATCTTCACTTAATTTGTCCAACAAATTTCTAAACTCGTCCAAATGTTGGACTATAGGCAACCGATTAAATGCTTCAAGTTCCTCATTTGTTCGTATCTTACTATTTGGCGGTAGATGCGTAGTGGAAACCAGCGTCTTTAATGGGTTCAAAGATGAAGTCACATATCCCGATGGTGTTGATGGCACTGTTCCATGATTGCTAGCTCCTGCAACTTTTGAATCTTGTTGAGGTTGATTTAACCTGGTAAATGAGCCAACTCGAGATACAGAAGTCGACTTAAGGGGGGAATCCGCTCTTCTGTGTGGAAGCATTATAACATTGATCCCACAATATACAACAAATGGGTCCTTGTTACCTTTTGTGAAAAATTACTCTTCACGTATTTTTTCCTTTTTCCATTTTTTCCTTTTTCCATTTTTCCATTTTCCATTTTCCATTTTCCGTCTACAGGATAAAGGCCATTGAGTATCTCTTATTCTATGGTTATCAAAGAGACTAACCCCTTTGATGAATCTGATAGTGATGATGAGGATTGCAACTTGAAGAAAAGTGTCGCTTTCAAGAAGAAGCCGTTTACCCCCGTTTCGACGAGTTGTTTGGAACAAGTTTCAGAGCATTTACATAGGTGCTCATTTCAAGTCGAGGAGAAAGAAGACTATAAAGACTATAATAGCTATGATGAGTATGAGATCTTGGGCAGCGGTAATGATGAAGACATTGAAGCAAACTGTATGGATAAATCCTTGTTTGAAACAAGCCCTCACTCCATAGGATTCAAAATAATGCGCAAATTTGGCTTTACAGTTGGTGATTCTTTAGGATTGCATTCAAATTCAAATGCACTAAAAGAACCATTGGGAGTTGATCAACTATCCGGCTACCGGCGACGAGGGCTAGGTATGCACGTGGGCATGGCTGATCTTGCCGATTGGGATATTGAAGAGCGGAAAATGGAAAGGATCAACTTGGCAAAGAAAAATGCTAATTTACTAGATATTTCTAATAAAATGAAGTTGTGCTTTGAGCTTAGTGGCGAATTTGAAGAGTTTCTTGATCACGGAGACTTGAACAATATCAATCCTCTATGGCGACCTTATGCCGAGTTCTACAAGTCACTAAAAAATCCCAGTCATAGCAAGTCAAAGAAAACATTTGCAAATTTTTGTAGATACACAAGGGCCCGTAATGACAGCTTGGATAAGTATCTAAGAGATATCCATCGTTATTGTTGGTATTGTTGTTATTATTTGGAGTCGCAAGATGACCATTTGCAAGATTGCCCTTTAAAAACAGATGATGAAACCAAATCTGCGTGTCTGTAAAGAATGGGTATATGTAGTTGAGCACAACTTTATCAACTATTGCTACATAACACGGCCTTTCTCTCAATATTTCATTTTTTGTTTTGTTAGTTACTTTCTATTTAGCCAAGATATCAACTACAATAATGGGAACTTTACATATGTGTGTACTTTAATCCTATGTTGGACCAAATACTCCTGCTTCGTTTTCTTCGTAAGGCAATTACAAACTCCCACAAATTTTGCCCTTATTTTAACTAGCAATTTAACATGTTTGTTTGTTTCTTTTCCTCTTCTTTGCAATGCACATTGAAAATAATATCATGATAAAAGTGCCTCGCGTGCTAATTTTTTATCTAGGTATAGAGCATTGATTTGCCTAGTCGCTGACACTTGGCTGCTATCCTTTCTATGAATAAACTCACTAATTTGCTCTTCATCTAACTGGTCCAATCTCTGAGCTGGGTAATCTCGTGAAAAATATACTAAAGGTATTGGTTCGCTCTTTTCATAAGCAACATTGGTGTTTGCCTCAAAATTTATTGGGCCTCCTTCAACTTGTGTACTATTTCCCCAGTTTAATTTAACACGACATTCATTTATAGTCATACCATTCAAGTGTGTCATAGCAGCATTTGCTGATGAACGGAGAAGAAACTTAATGTGTGCTGTTCGCAAATCATTAGAAAGCCGACAGTAAACAATATCGCCAAAGCAGATAAAGTATTGTTCTAGCTCCTTCTCTGTAAACTTAGAAGACAACCCCGTTATCTTTATCGTAGTGTTGTTTTCATCAGTATTTGGATTGATATCGGGATAACTTTGAGGAATATGGATACGCTGATATTCATTTCTAGCTTCTGAACTTACAGGATGTGTCACTTCAGATCCCGCGGCAATCCCAACTCTGATAGCCTTCGAGCCAATCATTTGCCCCTGCATTTCTGTCAACGCTTTGTTCATCACATCAGCGGCAAAAAACTTAACAAACCCGAATCCTCTTCCCTTTTTAGTTGTCGGATCTATAATAACTCTTGCATTTCTGATTTGTTTTGGATACTTTGAATCGAATTTGGAAAACAATACAGCTTCTGTTACCTCAGGTGCCAAGTCTCCAATAAACAAGGAATACTCACCGGTATTGCTGTTGGTACCGGTATTGGAACTGAAATTTGTATTGACGTTGTTTTTGCTAGTGGCAAAATTTAGCTTGAATCTTTGCTGGGAGTTGGGTACCAATTGACCGTTCCTTTGTACTGCCAAGTCGAGCGCCTCTCGGGAGTTAAAAGTGACAAAGGCATAAGAAGGTTTCAGCGGGTTTATTCTGTCTCGCATTATTTTAACAGAACTAGGAGGGCCCACCAAAGTACTCCACATATCTCCAATAATTTGTTCTGTCCAGTTGGGATCCAAATCTCCCATCCACATTTGATACTGCTGGTCATACAGCAGCCTTGATACGTTCTGCTGCTGATACAAGTCCTGTCTAGAGCGATATGTCAAAGATGACGAGGATCCAGACGGGTTGTAGGCAGCATTAGTATTGGTATTAGTAGTGGTATAGTTTCTATTGCTGAAGTTGTGATTTTTCTGTAAATGGTAAGATTTGCGGGTATCGTACTTGTTGGAATAGCCGCCACTCGGTCGCTGTCCATCGTACCCCCTGGAACGGGCTCTATATGACCCCTGAGGACCTGACGGGTACATCTTTTGCTATTATAACTATTGCTTCGGGTACAACCTTTTTCTGGTAGCAGTAGCAGTAGTAGTAGTAGTAGTAGTAGCAGTAGTAGCAGTAACAGTAGCAGTAGGTTTTTTTTCACTTTTGTTAATGGGATATTTTTTCGCGATAAAAGCTTTCCAATTTTGGTCTATTATTTTTAATCCATTCATGTTCAAAGCAGCCATCGATATCCAACCTATCGCTTGCGTTTACTTTCAACAAAGCGGAAATGAAACCCTTTGCCGGCTTTGACACTTTGAGAAACTGTTTTTTATTGAAGTTGAGTATACCTTCTCTACTAGCTCTCAAAATGGATTCCTTCAGTTGTGAGTAAAAAGGTGAGATTCCCGACAAAAGTATATGGGTAATTATTCCGAGGGACCATGCATCACATTTGAAGCTATATGGGGTTACTGCTTTCCCCCTTAAGTCACACTTGAACACTTCTGGAGCGCTGTACTCGATCGTTCCAACACAGGTATTTGTACGTGTCTGTGTCATTAGCTTTGCAATGCCAAAGTCGCATATGAATATCTTAGACTTTGGTAATGGGAGTTGCATCAATATATTGTCCAATTTTAAATCTCGATGGACAATGTGTAAAGATTTATGTAAAAATTGAAGTGCTTTCATTAGTTGAAATACAATAAAAATTGTTTCTTTTTCTGGAATAGCCCTGAGATAATTTTCATGAACAAGGTAGGAAAACAAGTCACCCCCGCATATAAGATCTTGGAAGATATATATCGAGTTTTCATCAGCAATAGCTTCATATACTTTGATAATGTTTGGCTAAAATAAAAGGAACCATTGTTAATAAATTTGGCTGCGAAAGGAACCAAAAAAAAAAAAATAAAATAAAATAAAAACGTCGAGTGCAACATACGTGAGATGCTTTACTTAAAAGATGCACCTCTCGAAAGTGTATATCATCGTATTCGAATTTTCCAGTTTGCCTTTTAGGAATGATCTTTACGGCAAATGGTGGTGATTTTCTCTTTGTGAATTTGGCAACGTAGACTGAACCAAAGGAACCAGAACCTATTTTTGTATTTGTAATTTGCCAATCTTTCAACTTTGTGACTATTTGTTCGTGAGGAGAAGAAATGAAAACTAGCGGTATAGCTTCAAAGGAAATGAAAGCAGCGGTTTTGATTTCCAAATGGTCACCGTCGGTCAATATTCTTGTTTCACCTTTAAACATGTTTTCGGTATTGCACACTGTACCATTTCTTGAGTTATCGTTTATGTATACTATGGGCGAAGTAGTTGGATCGAACTGAATTGACCATATTGTAGCATGATGAAGCGACACTGACGGGTTCTCAATACGAATATCACAATTTTTGCCTCTACCAATTTTGATAACCTCCAGATTAAAGATGGGAAGTGAAGTTGTTGAATGAGCCAGAAATTCAAGGGATTTCTGAGTTTTACCACTAAAGATGATACTTGAGTTATTCAAAGCCTTGATCTTGAGTATACCTAGAAAATCCATACCTGATGGGGTAATACAATAGCCGATAAGAGTATTTCAATGACTGATGGGTGAATTGTAGAATGCTTGCAAAGGTCTGGTTTTTTGCAACATTTTAAAGAAAAACAGTGTTACTGAAGAGCGAAGCGCCACTATCGAGCGAAGCGAGATAGTGGAGAAGCATTGACTAGTGACACTCTCGAGCAGGGCGACCGACACTATCGAGCAGGGCGAGATAATGTCACTATTCAACGCTTCTCCACTATCTCGCCTCGCTCGATAGTGTCGGTCGCCCTGCTCGATGGTGGAACATACTAGCTGTCACTGACGCTATCTTGCCCTGCTCGATAGTAAAACAACACTGTGTCTAAGAGTAGAGGTGTTTTTCTATCACTCTGGAGGAAATACAGAGTATCATATCTATATGGTATATATAAGCCAAAAACTATTAAAAGTGGTGTAGCAAGTCTAAAGAGTAGCTTCATATACTGATGAAACTCAATCAGTTAAATTTAACTGATTTGATTTACTGATTATAATCGATTGTGTGCTCATCCTATATTCACCAACTAGCAGTATCTCCGCTCTGCTCTCAGCTCTCAGGTCTCTCCTTTCTCCTTTCTCCTTTTTCCTCTCTTTCGGCTAGACTCGCTTTGCTAGTCTAGTCTCTAAAGCTAGTCAGTATGCTCAATCTGCTCGATAGTGTCTAATTTGTCATGGCGTCATTAGTATCTACAATGTGTCAATGCTACAACAATTGGCTACAGCAATTGAGCAGTAATCACTTTAGTAGATAGGAGCATGCTCTAACTCAATTGCCCTCTTGTTTTACAATCGTGAAAGCGACATTAATGACATGACGAGAGAAACGCAGATACTATTGAGCAGAGCTAGACACTATTGATAGACACTATCGAGCAGAGCGAGATAGTGTCAATAGTATGGCCACAAAGTATTGTTCGATAGTGTTTAGCTCTGCTCAATAGTGGACCACACTAGCTGCCACCGACATTATTGACCGACACTATTTCGCTCCGCTCGATAATGTCGTGTCTCTTTTACGACATTGACGACATAAAAAAGTGAGATTTTGTTCAAATTATTCAATCTTTATTCAATACCAATCTCTCCCCTCCCCCCCCCCCCATCTCCTTTAAAATCAGTGTTGAATCAGGCTACTACAATGTTTAGAAAGTTATCTACGGGAATAATATCGAAACGGTGTCTACATGGCACAACGAGGAAATTTGCTGGAGCCGAGGCTTTTAGCAATAAGTTCAATTTCAATTTGAACCCACCACAGGTTCACGAATACTGGAATATTTACAACTCTAGTGTCTTGTTTGCCTTTGTGCCGGTGTTTTTGGGTATCGCCTATGTAGCCAAGTATGTTGGTGTTAATTTAGAAGGAAATGCTGGGTTTTTGCAGTATGCCAATAGTGAAAGCTCGCCTTTAAAATCAATAAAATTTGGAGAAACACAAAAGAGAAAACCCCTTGATGAATAGGGAATTGGCTCAAGAAGAAGAGAAAACATTGGATGAATAGGGAATAAGAGAAGTTCCACTCAATCGTGTGGTGGGGAATCTCAACATCTACTGGTTGATAAAAGTTTGTATATTAAATGCATAGATGAGAAACTCACTTTTGAAAAAGAGCGTTTTTCCCCGACAAAGTTGCCTCTATTGAAAACAGGCTTCTTCATCATACTCCTTAATCAAACCTCTACCTCTGTACCATCTTATATCCAAAGAGATCTTCTCTTGCCAATATTTTCGTAATCACAATAAATTTTATTGGCTGAAGTGAAAAATTGAACCACAGAGAGAGAGAGAAAAAAAAACCCAATCATTGATTGAACCCCCATAGAGAAGCAATTTCTTAGGCTTTAGGGTTTAGATTCTAGAGGTTTGAAGATAAGATTCTAGAGGATTGAAGATGATATCAAGGCTTGGTTTAAGGTCATCGAGGCTATCTATTTCTTTAGTGGCACATAAGCCTGTGCAAGTGCCCGTTTTTGCTCAATTGAGGAGCGTATATGGAACGAGAGCTTATTCAGCAAAGGCTACAATTTTCGACCACACTACTGGCAAGACTATAGTGTTACCAGATCCCGAACATCCTGAATATGGGGATTATATCAACCCCAAGCCTGTATTGGCGCAATCGAAAGATCCCTACTTGAAGTATGATGATCAGCAAAATAGAAGGAATTTTAACGATCCAGTGAATATGGACGAAGATATGCTAGACATTTGGTCTCCTGATTATTTTAACTTTGTTTCAGATTCAACTGCTTTGAAGCAGAATGTCATATTTTTTGGCGCAATCTTTGCTGTTGCTGGTATCATTACGTTTTTCCAATTGAACCCTGAAAAACCAGCAATGATTAGATCGTTTCCATATAACGGTATGGCAGACGCCTTGGGTGCTACGTCAGAGGAAACAGCTCATCTTTACCAAGTCAAACCGGATCTCACTGCAGAAGCTGAATGCGGCATTTTGCCGGAGGACTCAGATGTCGAATTGAATAGAAAAACTTATATAAGCGCAAATGGAAACTACATTAATTGACCCTATCGACACTATCGACACTATCGAGCAGAGCGAGATAGTGGAGCACATTGACTCCTTTCGACACTAACTTGGTTCTACTATTATCTGCATGCTTTCACTAAAAACTGCAAAAAAGAGAAATACTTGAAACTGACATCTACAACAAAGCCCTACTCTTTCTCAACTCTCTCAACTTGACTACATCGCCCTTGATCTTGCTCTTCCCCTGTATCTGCCTCTTCATTCCACCTTCTTCTTCAATGGCTCTTCAACACACCTTCTTCAACAGCTCTAGCACTCAAGTGCCAAAAGAGAAATGCTTCAAACTGACATCTACAACAAAGCCCTACTCTTTCTCAACTCTCTCAACTTGACTACATCGCCCTTGATCTTGCTCTTCCCCCATATCTGCCTCTTTAACTTACCTTCTTCTTCGATGGCTCTTCAATTTTTGCTTTTGGTGAATTTTTTTTTTGTTAAAATGAAAAATTTCAGTGCCATTTTCAAAGTTTGTTTCTTGTTGAATAACCAAGAGGTGATATAGATTGTTTATTGGTGGATATATATATTGGTGAGCAGAGGTATAGTATCCTGGGATAGACAAAGAACAACAAGATGCCTATGGTTAATAATAATGGGCGTCGAATAAGGGCGCTGGCTAGACTCAGTGCCAATGAATTGCGGTCTCATGGTGTTTGTAGAGGCAGGCAAGAAATAGAAGCGCCTTGTAAAAAAAGGAAAATATCGAGCAAGACGCAACAAGATCGACTAGCTATTATAATGACGGAATTTTCCGAAGCGGTTAATGAACTTTACCAGCTACAAGAGTACCGAAGCTTAGTTGACTGGAAACCAAGCGACTTTTCAAAAAGTTGCAATAAACTAGTGCCAATGGCGTTTTCGGAGTTTTGTGAAAATGGAGATTACAAGTTGAAATGGAGTCAAGAGATTGAAAATGACAAGGAGTTGAAAAGTTTGCCGTTTCGATTTCAAAAAAAGAGGCTAGCGGAGAGAGAAGAGCTACTAGATGCCCATTTTCCATTTCGAAAACAAGTTTATGAAAAGCATTGTCAAATGGAAAGAGAAAAGTTTTTGATTCAAACAGATATTCCAAAACAACAAGGTAAAAAGATTGTGAAACCAAAAGCAAAACCAGTGAAGAGACTTGGTTTACAGTGGAGCAGCAAAGATGATGATGAAGAAAAGAAACAGGATAAAGAAAAAGAAGAAAAGAAACAGAATGAAGATGAAGAAAAAGAGGATGAAGAAAAAGAGGATAAAGATGAAGAAAAAGAGGATAAAGATGAAGAGAAAGAGGACAAAGCAAAAGAGGATAAAGATGTAGACCTAAATACTTTAGGAACCAACGAGACTTTGGATGAGAGTGGGAACAAAAGTCGAAATGCTATTGATCATAAAATTGGTGGCTCGTTCAATAAAAGGATAAAACGAATTTCATATAGTGTGCCTAGTCTATTGATAACGCATCCAACACATATTCCTGGGTTTAAACCTGAATCGCAAGAGGAAATGCAGAATCCAGGACTAATAGATTCTAGACAAGCTGAAAGCGAAGTAGTGAAATTCAGTCCTCTACCGATTCAAATCACCTGGACCAAAGATGGTTTGGATGTTGCGTCTGCAGTAGCGAAAAAGCTTGATGAATTTTTAAACAACAATTTTAAGACCCCAATTATCGATGAAACAACTTTTTTGGAGTATGGCTACTCGAAAATCGAATACGATAAAATCAACCGTCAACAGCAAGCAATGTTTCGAAAAATTTACCAAAAGATTAATGTCGAGAACACATTAGAGTTTAACGAAAATAAAATCGAAAGACGCAAAATAATACTTCCGCCAACCTCGAATGTCAAGCTCAGCGATCCGTTTAGAGATACAACCTCAGTTTTCCCCAAGTTGCAAGGATCAGCCAATAACATGACCCACCAGGATCATTTGCTAGCTCAAGGTATGACTTTTTCCAGAATCCACCAACAGATGAGAAGACAACATATAAATAGATCCCGAAAAGTAGCATTGATAGTTGATCAACATTTTAAGAAGAAAAAAGGTGAAAAAGATCGTCTCAATAGAGAAAGGGACATGAATTTGAAAAAGATGAGTCGCATAATGATGCAAGCTATAAAAAAGAGGTGGAATGAAGCATTTAAGGTGTATCAAATTATACAAAATGAAAAGGAGGAAGAGCTTAAGAAGATAAAGGGACGAGAACATTTGAGTCAGATGTTAGAGCATTCAACACAGCTTCTTGAAGCACAATTGACATCTTCAAAAGAAGCTACAGCAGAGAGCGAGAATATAGCGAGTGATCTGGAACAATCGAGAAGCTATGACTCTGCTGATTTTTCATCTGAGGATGAGGAGGAGGAGGAGGAGGAGGAGGAGGAGGAGAAGGAGAAGGAGAAGAAGTTGCATACAGCTGCCGCCGCTGATGCTGTTACCAGTGACGATGAGCAGCATACAGAACAAACACGCAATAGCCTTGGTTTCTCAAAAACAGATGAGGATGATATAAACCTATCAGTCGAGGAACTAAGAAGAAAATATGCTAATATAGAAAGCTCTGTTGACCCCACTTCGGAAATGTCAAGGGATGATGATGATAATGATGATGATAATGATGGTGATGATGATGATGATGATGATGATGATGATGATGAAGAAGATGATGATGGTAATGATGGTAATGATGGTAATGATGATGATGAAAATGATGACGCTTCCAGTGGAAAAGAGGAAGAAAAAAAGGAAAACCACAGTCCAGAAGTTTTGAATGGAGAGGAATCGATTACGAATGAAATTTCAAATGGATTTTCTAAAATACACAAAGAAATGGAAGATTCAAATAAAGATAGTTCTGATCATGAGACACTGAATGATGAAACTCTGACCAATCTGGACACTTCAATTCAGCAAAATGGCGGATTAGCGAGTTTGTTTACAGAGCTTGATGATGAGAACTCAGAGAGCGACCAAGATGTCAAGATGGAATCATCAAGTGCCGATAGTGATGATGAATCGATATTCTCAGATGAAGAGGATGCGCAATTGAATGGTAGAACCAGGGAAAATGGCGCCCATGAAACCAATTCTGACGACGAGGAAGAAGCTGTTGAGATAGTTAATGGAGCCAAAGTTAGAGATGTTCCGGTACCTAGCTTGCTCAGGGGTACTTTGAGGCCATATCAAAAGCAAGGTCTTAATTGGTTGGCTAGTCTTTACAATAATAACACGAATGGAATATTAGCAGATGAAATGGGTTTGGGAAAAACGATACAAACCATATCACTTTTGTCATACTTGGCATGCGAGCACCATATATGGGGACCACACCTTATCATTGTTCCCACCTCAGTTATGTTAAATTGGGATATGGAATTTAAGAAGTTTGCTCCCGGGTTTAAAGTGATGACGTATTACGGGTCTCCACAACAAAGGGCGCAGAAAAGAAAAGGCTGGTTCAAGCCAGATGCATTTCATGTTTGCATTACATCTTATCAATTAGTAGTCCAAGATCAACAAGCGTTCAAAAGGCGCAGATGGAGATATATGATTCTTGATGAGGCTCACAACATAAAGAATTTTCGATCAACTAGATGGAGGGCGCTACTAAACTTCAATACCGAGAACCGATTGCTTCTTACTGGTACTCCATTGCAAAATAGCTTAATGGAATTATGGTCTTTGCTTTATTTCTTGATGCCATCTTCTAAGACAAATTTGGCTATGCCAGACGGATTTGCGAATTTGGAAGATTTCCAGCAATGGTTTGGTAAACCAGTTGATAAGATTTTAGAGCAAGCAACGTTAAGTACCAACTCTGACTTGATAGATGAAAATGAGAAAACTACCCAAAAGATGGACAAAGAGACGAGAAATACTGTATCCAGATTACACCAAGTTTTGCGTCCATATATATTGCGACGCTTAAAGAAGGATGTTGAAAAACAAATGCCAGGTAAATATGAACACATTGTTTACTGTCGGTTATCCAAGCGACAACGGTTTTTATACGATGATTTTATGTCGCGAGCAAAGACAAAGGAGACTTTAGCTTCAGGAAATTTTTTGTCGATTATCAACTGTTTAATGCAATTGAGAAAAGTCTGTAATCATCCAGATCTATTTGAAGTCCGACCAATAGTGACTTCATTTTCAATGCCGAAAGCAGTCTCATGTAACTATCAATCGACAAGTCAAAGGATACGTAGTATGTTCAACAACAAGGAAGAATTTGTTGACTTTAATGTGTTAAATTTGGACATCACTATGAACGAAAATCTAAATCACTTTGTTTCTGAATCAACAGCAAGGTTGCAATCCCTGAACCAGTTGCAAAAGCAAATAGATCAGTTAGCCCAATCATTGGTTGATAAAAATAAATCCATCACAGATTATGTTGACTATTACCAAAATTTGATGCTTGAAGAGCAGATTGAAACCAAGAGTAAATTGGAGCAAGTGCGGTACATCAATTCCTTTCGTTGTAACAAGAAACCTTTGTATGGCAACTCCTTGATTGGAATGTTAACGTTGAAAAAACGAAACTACAATGAGGATCCGTTTGAGAAGTATTGTATGTCGATCAATAAAAGGGTTGAGAGCATTTTTGATGAAATTGAACAATTTTCAATTGTGACGCCGCCAGTAGTTGCCTTGGACATGAAGGACCAACTAATACCCAAGTCAACGCAGTACTTGATACAAAAAGAAGTGGAGAGCCAAAAAATCACCAATCCTTTTCACATGTCACAGGTGAAATTGTCGATTGCATTTCCAGATAAAACATTGTTACAATTTGATTGTGGAAAACTACAGCGATTGGCTGTTCTTCTTAGAGATTTGACTGCTGAAGGTCACCGAGCATTGATATTTACACAAATGACAAAAGTATTGGATATATTGGAGCAGTTCTTAAACATCCACGGGTACAGGTACATGAGGTTAGATGGTGCAACTAAAATTGAAGATAGACAGTTACTAACGGAGAAATTTAATCGAGATTCAAAAATCCCCGTTTTTATCTTATCAACTAGGTCAGGTGGTCTTGGTATCAATTTGACTGGAGCGGATACAGTCATCTTTTATGATTCTGATTGGAACCCTGCAATGGACAAGCAATGTCAAGATCGATGTCATCGTATTGGTCAAGTTCGCGATGTGCACATCTATCGGTTTGTTTCAGAATACACAATCGAATCCAATATTCTTAGAAAAGCTAATCAAAAGCGACATTTGGATAACGTTGTTATACAAGAGGGAGAGTTTACTACAGATTATTTCGGGAAATTTTCTGTACGTGATTTGGTCAATGATCCAAATATACCAGAGGCTACAGAAGGTATAACTGATCGAACTATTGACTTTTCTGGTGATGCAAAAATGGGATCTGCGCTTGCTCAAGCCGAGGACGAAGAAGATAGAGTTGCTGCAGGTGCGGCTTTGAAAGAAGTTGCAGTGGATGATGAGGACTTTAGCGAAGAAAATAACAAAGATTCGTCAAAAAAATTTGTTCCAAATAATGACGACTTGACTAACGATGGAGATGTTGACTTTGATTATGATAAAGGAATTGGGCATATTGATGAGTACATGTTACGATTTATTGCAGACGGATACTACTAAGCATAAAGTACGACTTTACTGCTATTCCACACCCTACACCCTACACCCTTGCAATATATCTTGCTTTAACTGAGAATGGCTAGAGAATGATGCTGAAAAAATGGAAAAGAAAAGAGAGTTGAACAAGGAAAAGAAAAGAGAGTTGAACAAGGATTTCATTTCCGCGTTGACCAACGCAAGATAAAAATATACTCACTTGTTTATAGTTTTTGTTTGGGTGAGAATATAGTAGATAGTGCCGTTGAGTTTAGCCCAAGTTGGAATTGTAAGGAGATGGGAGAGACAGGAAGAGCCAAGAAAAGAAGTAAAAAGAAGGAATTTCTATCAAAACCATAGCAAATGGTAGAAAGTTTATGAAGGAAACTTTTCTTCCTGTAAGATTTGGCCCTATTGGTTTTGTTTGGAAACAAAGTGATTAGTTGTACCTCTACGTTTATGAACCTTGTCTCTATATTAGCAACTTCGATGCTGAGCCACGGAAAGAGAAAGAGAAAGAGAGAACTAAGGGGAAAGTTTACTTTTGAGGACAACTGTGGGGGGAGTGAATGAACAACAAGTCAGCCATATTGAGACATCAGGTAATTGGCTGTGGGGGGAGTGAATGAACAACAAGTCAGCCATATTGAGACACAAGGTAATTGGCTGTGGTGGAGGTACACATTATGATTGCACCACCGACTAATATACCGACTCTACAGAAAGCCATAGCAGCGAGCAGCGTGGTCGCTAGTTTCTTGAAAGGGAATGAAATCATTTTGATTACCACTGTTTGATGTTGTGCTATTTTGTCTATGGGCCATTTAATAGCTCCCGATTTAGAGACTCAAACTTAAAATGTTGCTACAAAGGTTCTCTAAGAAATCTTATGGGGCTACTATATTGTAAATAGAGCTTTCTACATTAATGACAAAGTTTTCCGCCAAGCAAGTGTAGCATATATATATTAAAGAACAAGTATCCTTCATCCCCTATAGTATCTCCTGGCAATAGTCATACAAAATTAACAACTACTGCAAATAGTACCAATTGGTAACTAGTCAATGTGCTCCACTATTGAGCAGAGCGACACTATCGAGCAGAGCGAGATAGTGTCGGTGACAGCTAGTGTTGCCGATAGTGTCGGTGACAGCTAGTCAATGAGCCCCACTGTCGAGCAGAGCGACATAGTCATGGTCACAGTTAGTCAATTTACTGCTCCACTATCTCGCTCTGCTCGATAGTGTTGGTGACAGCTAGTCGCTCAGCTCTACTATCTCGTTCTGCTCGATAGTGTCGCCGCTCTGCAACGGGGGGGGGGGGGGGGGGGGTTGGCGCTTAACGACCTGGCAAATTTTGCACTTCGTACACGACTATCCATTTCTATTGAAACGCAAATTTCCAAAAGGACAATTCAAACTATAAGGGACGGGGACTTTAGTAAGATTTACCGAGTTATAAGTAGCCAAACAGCTGCATTTGTTGGTTTATTTTGGAAAGAAAAGAAGAGATAATGTCATCAGGAATCCAGTCATTGTTGAAGACTGAAAAAGAGGCGGCGGAAATAGTCAATGAAGCCAGGAAATACCGAACCAATAGGTTGAAGACGGCTAAACAAGATGCTCAGCAGGAGATTGAAGATTACAAGAAACTGAAGGAAAAAGAACTACAAAAGTATGAAAAAGAGCACGAAGGAATTAATGAGCAGATTGACAAGGACGCAGATGTCGAGGTAGAAACTGAATTGAAACATTTAAAAGAGCAATTTGAAAAGAAAAAACTGGACGTTGTTAAATTATTAGTTGAAGCTACAATCACGTCGCATCCACTGTTACACATCAATGCAACTAAGTAATCTTTGCTCGCTAGTGTTGCTAGCAAGTGTTGCTAGTAAGTGTTGTGCTCCACTATCTCGCTCTGCTCGATAGTGTCATAGATGTAGAAAACACACAATACCTTTTAATTTTCATCAAGGATGCCACAAATGATGCTCTATATACATTTATACAAAAGTGATACAGCATGCAAAGTAATATAGTCTTTTTTTTTTTTTTTCACTGATTTTTTTAATCAATAATCTTTGCTACTTAATGTCCCATTGTTAGGCACCTCCTTTGGCGAGACTCTTGAACGCCTTTACTTTAGCCCAAATTCTTCCATCGTAACCTGCGATATTTAAGCTCCGTACAAACCCCCATGCTTTCTTGTCGTCTTTTATCGGATAGTCAATTGGTTTTGGAATCGATGTGGCAACTCCCAACATCCTGAAAAAGGGTTTATCCATAACCACAGATTTGGCATTGCACAACCCAAGCAAACCTTCCTCGCCTCCAAATTTCCCGTATCCGGATTTCTTAACTCCACCAAATGGCAATTGTGCAACATAATACGTGGCAAAGTCATTAATAGCAACATTTCCACTTTTCAATTCATTAGCCAATTGGTTCAATTGCTTATAATTCGAGCCAAATATTGAATTTCCCAAACCATATTCTGAAGCGTTAGCTAACTCAATTGCATTGTTGATGCTCTCGGCTTTAATCATGGTCAATATTGGGCCAAACACTTCTTGGTTGAACACATCCATTGATGGATCCACATCAATAAGTAATGTTGGTTCAAAAAAATGACCCTGAGGATAGTTGGGATGTTGGTATGGTTTGCCTCCACATACAAGTTTAGCGCCTTTTTTAACTGCATCTTGTATGAGGTCTTCAAAATACTTGAATCTATTATCGGAAATCATTGCTCCCATATCTATTTCATCCAATTGATCAATATCGGAACCTACCCTGAGTTGCGGTACACGTTCCGTCAACAATGTTACCATCTTATCATAAGTCCGAGGCATACAAATAACCCTTTCAATTCCTATACAGTTTTGTCCCGCACTTTGAAATGTACCTCTAAGGATAATCGAAGATATGGCATCGATATCTTCGACATCGTCTAAAACAATGAATGCATCCTTGCCACCCAATTCAACAACACAAGGTGTAAGTTCCTTTGCAGCATTGGTGACTACATGGTGCGCAATGGGTTTGGAGCCGATGAATGTAATATGGCGTATGCCCGGATGAGATGTGAAATAGTCTGCATCTTTAGGAAAACAACAACATAATTGAATCAAGTCTTGGTCTATATCCAAGCTCCTTAAAGCAGTGCGGCACATTTCAATAAACCATTTACTCGACCATACAACATTTTCTGAACATTTCACAATTATAGCATTACCAGTAAATAAAGCTGCAATTACAGGACCCATCAAATTGTGGAAAGGATAGTTCCAAGAGATGATTGACGAAACAACACCCATTGGTTCGTATCTTACTTCTGCATTTTTCAACAACCCCAAGAGAAAATTAGAAGGTCCGGGTCTTTGGCTCGGCTTCAAGACTTTTTCTCCGTGAGCTACTATCCAATTGAGTTTCTCCAAAGTAACCATTATTTCACCCATGGATGCGTCCAATTTTGTTTTCCCTGAATCTCTACATGCAATGCGGGCAATGTTCTCCTGGTTTTCAAGGATGAACTTGGCTAAACTTTTAAGCAACTTTCTTCTTATGGAAAACAGACTCTTGCTCCATTTTTCCTGTGCTTTCGCTGCGTTTGCAATCATCTCATCCATTTCTGTTCTACTTGTGGCATTAAACACTCCTAAATTCTGGCCAGTCGCAGGACAATAACTTCGTATCTTTGTATCGTCATTTTCAATCGCAACACTGGGCTTGGGATATAGTCTTTTGCCCTTCCAATTCGGTCTAGCCTCCTCGGGAATCGAAATTGTGAAATTAACAGGCGATTCCAACTTGTTATACGCGTTGGGAGATGAAGTTACATACTTACAGTACAAATAGTACAAAGTCGGCGTAATTACAAGTAAAAGAAACGTGGTAGATATCTGATACTGTAATTGCCATTGGTGAAACTCCAAGTCAATTGCAATCATCTCATCCTTTTGAAACAAGTGAACAAAGTGAACCAAGATGGACATCATCAATTGACTATTGAAAAATTTTGTACAGCGATGAAAAATAGGAGCGAGATGCTACCATGTGATGGGCTTTCTTCAACAACAACTCGAAAACTGGGTCCCCCTCTCCCCCTTCCACCTCCTCGCCCTCTGGTTGAATAGAAGTCAGACTGTTTTGCTAGAAATAGTTTACTCCATCAATAGTTATACCCCTGTATTGGCGGTACGGTGAATGGGTCTTGGTTTCTCTAATAACACTAGTAAAAAAAAAGTCTCAAACTATTAATGGGTGCAAAAAGCTAAAATAAAAAAGGGAAAAGAAAGGGCCTTATGAGATACTATACAGCATCACCTTGATCTCTCCATTTGCTTGTTGCAAGCGGTTGATCTCTTCAGAAAAGGGCCTTCTACTATACAGCATCACCTTGATTGATCTCGCCATTTGCTTGTTGCAAGCGGTTGATCAACAAGTTAATCTCTTCTTCACTTAAAGTGTCTTCTACACCTCTGGTATTTTGCTGCACAATAGCGCTTAACAAATTCTCATCAACATAATCCAATAGCGAATCGCAGATTTTAGTTTTTGATTTCAGAAAAGCATCGACTACCAGTTCAGCTGGTTGTTGTTCTTTTGGTGGCAACACGTCATATTCAAGTATATCATCACGATCCCATATAGTGCTTGGAAGTTTTCCCATGATCTTGTTTTCGCCCGACAAAATCGCAAATCTAATCAAGTTCAAAGGAACTTCTTTCGACAACAGCGTATCATTGGTAAAAACTCCCATCAATGATTTTGCAAAACCAAACTTGCTACTTGGCTTTGAATATTTGTTGAAAAAGGATCTTAAATGCTCATTTAAAAAGTCCAAATGTGATTGCCACAAAACCTTGGCCCTGATTAGATACGTTTCTGCACTAACAAGTGTTTCGCAACTCGCTTCGAAACTGGATTCCTTTATGTTTGAAACCGTCCCCGAAAGACAAATTTCAGTGAGTAGTCTATAGGCAACAAAGGGGTGGGCTTCGGCAGCTTTTTGTAACTCCCGTTCAGCTTGATCTAGTTTCCCCAATTTCAAACAAGCAAGAGCAGTCGAAAACGATATTCCAGGAGTACACCAACGAGTATAGCATGTTACCAATGGAGATTGCTTCAATTGCATTAAATATTCGTACTCCTCGCTCATTATGCAATAAAAATCAATAAAGTATCTAACGCCCATAGGGTCTTCACATGGGGAACAGCTGAGTAGGAATTTACAATACGACAAAGCCGTTGAGAATAGTGACCTTTCTCCAAGGGAAACAATGTATCGAAATATGTTTAAATAAAACTGTCGATTTGAAAAAAATTCAAATGGTAATCTGATCAATCCATTTTCGGCTGACGACATTAGTTCATGGAAATTTTTATGAAAGCTCCGGTCAAATGTAAATAATGCTCTTTCGATCAATGCATTTGATGTTGCTTTGTTGTCTCCCTGACGAAGCAATACCATTGCTACTTGCAATAGCGTCTCCTGATGATATGGGTTTAGTTGCAAAAGCTGCATAAGTGACTGTGGATCAGGCGTCAACACCGTTGATGCATAAAACTTTGTGTTTGCGGCACGATTCTTCATGTCATTGACTTTATTGAACTTGAAGTATCGTACGCCCAATTTTTTTTCATTGCAAAGCTTGGGGACAAAATCTTGCTCTTCTAAATCTTCCTCTTTATAAAGAAAGAGTCTTAATATATCGTCATCGTTTATTTCTTCCATAGTAACACTCTTCAACTGTGTTGGAAGCCAATCATCTCTAATTTTTGACAAGAGTAATTTTCTAGAAGTTCCAGGAATGCCCCTTCGATCCTTACCACCCCAGTTTCTTATCATTTTCGCCATTTTCTTGAATTGCTGTAAGACTTCAGGCGAAATAGCTAGGGAAGTGGTTGAGTTTGCGTCCTCGATCAATTCAATAGACAAAGAATTGCCAAATAAATTCTTATACTCTTGATCAGGATCTAGATTTTTTATCGATTTAAAAGAAAGCAAAGGCAAGCACTTGTTCAATCTTTCTGTAGTGAAATTTTTAAAGTTGGAATCGCTGTATGTTAGTGGATCGTTTAGTTCGTTATATTCATCTTCAAAATTGTATGTCTCGAGGGAGATATTTGTACTCTTTTGTTTTTGTTGTAGCTTCTCTTCTTTCTGTTTTATTTCCGCTAGAATCTTGTCTAGATCATCTTCATCTTCATTTGCTTTCTCTTCTTCACAATCTTTGTTTTTGCTCAGCTCAAGTTGGGAAACTTGTTTTGCCCTTGTTTTCTTTTTTTTCTTTTTCAGCTTTCCACTAGTGCTTGCAAAAACAGGTTTCTCTGGTTTACTTTTAGCCTTGTATTCTTTTTCTTTATTTGTTTCATCCTCACCCAGATCCTCACCCTCACCCAGATCCTCATCCTCATTCAAAAATGCAAATGCATTAGATTTTGAAAATTGCTTTTTAGCTTCCTCGCCTGTTTTCCTCTCCAGCGCTCTATTCAACTCTAGTTTCTTAAGCTCGTCTTCCAAACTCTGCCCTCCGAGTTTTCTCAAAGCCCTCGTACTCATTTCTCACCTAGCTTCCTCTTCAACCCGAGTGCTTTCAATCAATAATTTTTCAATATCGGCTCTTTCCAAAAGGTCCAAAGAAACAAAACAAAAAAAAAAAAAAAAAAAAAAAAAAAAAATTAATTAAAATTTTTAANAAAAAAAAAAAAAAAAAAAAAAAAAAAAAAAAAAAAAAAAAAAAAAAAAAAAAAAAAAAAATTCATCAAATGTATTATGTAATCAACCATGCCCATCTAGTGTTTTATTATATAATCTGTTGCAATATCATTACATAACTTTTCGCATGTTGTACATCAATTATTATGCTCTCTGTTATATAATTTATTACATAATCGGTTCCTTTTTACCAAATGGGTGCAAAATTTTATACCGTTTTCTTAAACATGTCAAAAATATCAAATAAACCTTGCAAACTAAAAAATGTATTGTGTTTGCCAGAAAGGGTCCCCTTTCTTCCTCCCCTAGTTCCTTTGTAACGATAATTTTATGAGTAATAGTTCTACAATGATTGTGAATTTGTCAATCAATGATGTTACTCAGATAATGCCTAATCCATCACCACCGGTTTACAAGAATTTTAGTCCTCAAGCTGCTGCTGCAAATGCTGCTGCTGCTGCTAACAAACAGACTTCTACTTCAATAAATCTTCCTGGCCTTATCAATATGGATTTTTTTTCTCCACGGGCTTTTGGTCCGTCATCGGAGAGTAATAACAAGTTGTCTCGCAATGTACTCAAGTTTCCACCCTCACTTCGAAATAATAACAATGGGAAACTTAGTTCGTCTGCATTCACCGTATCAAGTGAATCAACCATTGATGAAAAATCTCCCCATGCGGAAAACATCTTTTCAGCGAGAAAAGATGAAAACTTTATGGCCCTACATCATTTGCAAATGACTTTGACGGAAATAGTAGATACAGAAAGGCAGTTTATTGAAAATACTCGTGAGTTAAGAAACATGTACCTCGAGAATCTCCAAAATTTGAATGTTGAGCTCCCGATTCCCGTAAGAATCACTAAGCTTTGTTTAGAGAAGATGATTGAGATACATAGTGGTATCTTGACCAAATTGGAAACCATTCGACTAAATAGATCATTGAATTACGGAGAGCAAGCCAATCGCATATCTCAAGTGATTTCACAAGCTGGTATTTGTTGTTTTTGGTACTCTTGGTATTGTTCACAACATAAGGCAGTGGGGAAAATGTACAATAAAGCATTGTTCCCGCTCGAATTTAGTAAGCACTGTGAAACAACCAACTATTATATAGGTGGTGGTGGTGAACAATATCAACAGCTGCTGCCGCTGCCGCTGCAACTTCTGGTGCAACTGCAACGGCAACAAAAGTATGCCACAATCAAGACATACCAGTCATTTTCAGCAATAAGGCATTTATTCACAGGAGTGCAGAATCTAGTGGAAAGTCAGCAGCCACAACATGCAAGAAAAGACTTGTCAATTAGATCCTTGAGTCAACAGCCAATTGACCGAATTGTTAAATACCCACTTTTTGTTGACAGTCTATGTGTCAACTGCGGTTTATTGAACTATAACACGGATTTGTTGAACACAAGTGTTGACAAGATACGACGTCAATTATTTTCAGTAAATGAAGCAACAAAGCAAATTGAACAGCTTAACGAACTTCGAATATCTCGGCTTAACCAACTAATTGATTGGACCCAGGTTTTCAATAATAAAAACAGCCGGTTCAATTGTTCAGATTTCTGCAATATTGATGTAGATTGTTACTTTTTTGGCAATCCATTGTTGATTGGGTTTGCTTCAGTCATATATGTAAATAACAATTGTCCCAAACTACAACATTGTCCAGTGATACTTTTCAAGAGTCACTTGGTAATTCTTCAACACAATAACATCTTCAAAAGAACATTCAAGTCGAGTGCAAACAACTTTAATAGAAAATATATTCCAAACTTCATTATCCCCTTGGTTAATACTTCATTATTTGTTGATGAAAAAAACTGTCGGGGTTTGTACTTGAACTATTTAAATTGCTTAAAGTTGGTATTTCGAGTAGAAAACTTTCAATTTGAAGTTGTACTCTTATTCCTAGACCAAAAGGAGTTTGATATATGGAAAGAGCATCTCCATGTAAGCCTCAATGAGGTAAATGGAGGAAGTTGTGATTTCAAAACTACAAATAACCACGCAATTGCCTATCTCAATTATGTCCCTCAAGGAGCTTCTATATATGCTACAAACTTTGAAAGTGGCAGAAGCAGTAGCAGTAGCAGTAGTGATCGAAATTTGTACAAACAAGAGGTATTCTTTGTCAAATTCCAACTTGACTTGTTGTTGCACAATATGATATCTTTACATTACGATATTCTAGAGTATGCTTCATGCAAGATCCTCACGTTGAAATTTTACGATGTATGGTATAATGAAAGAAATTTTAGAGATTTGATTTTGGAAAAATTACCATTGTATACCATAAATGAGTATTGAAACTATGTAATTTGACACTATCGAGGGACACTATCGAGCGAAGCGAGATAGTGTCAATAACCAATGGCAGTCAGTGCTCCACTATCGAGCAAAGCGAGATAGTGTCAATAACCAATGGCAGTCAGTGCTCCACTATCGAGCAAAGCGAGATAGTGTCAATAACCAATGGCAGTCAGTGCTCCACTATCGAGCAAAGCGAGATAGTGTCAATAACCAATGGCAGTCAGTGCTCCACTATCTCGCTTCGCTCGATAGTTTCGCTTCGCTCGATAGAATGCATACAAGCAAGCTGCTAATTGGATATCAATTTTTTATTAGTTTCCAGTGTTACCAGCACCAAGCGAATCATTTCGTGAATTTTCTTGTGTAGCGAAATCCGAACTACTCTTATCTGAACCTTTATCTAAAATAATCTTGATAACTTGATCGATATTTGAAGTACCGAAATTGTTATTCAAGTCCTGTTTTGAAGCTTCGTCTAATATACCATCAACACCTCCTTGTCTATTTATAAAGACCTTGAATATGGATACTATATCAATAAGCGGAATTGTTTTATCTCCTTTCTTGTACCTAGCAAATAAGTTTGCATCATCAACAAATATAACAAAATCGTTATCTGTACCTTTGTAGAACAATTTGTGAGGTGAATTACCCATTATGAAAACTACCTAAATACTACAAGTAAAAAGAGGAAATATTACAAAAGAAGATGTCTCTCTAGTCTTTATATACCAAGACTTGCCATAAATAGGAGTACCCACCACTAGGAGGTGTAGCAAGTGTCATTAAAAAAAAAGCTTTTATACCTTTTATACCTTTATAGAGTATAATTAAATGTACAATGACGAAGTTTAGCTACTACAATTTTTGTTTTGCTATATAAATCATAGTAGTCTAATAAGAAATGTTAATTGCTACAAGAGCTACAAAAACAAATCAAAATGGTCCAATCACAATTGTCCAATCGGAATTCAATTTGTTACAATTGCTATTGAAAAACAGTATCGAGCGACCTATCCAACCACACTATCGAGCGAAGCGAGATAGTGGAAAAACACTGTAGAAAAGAAGGAGAAATGGGGGTGTTACATCAAACACTATCGAGCGACACTATCGAGCGACACTATCGAGCGAAGCGAGATAGTGAAAGACACTTTGTAGACACTTTGTAGAAAAGAAGGAGAAATGGGGGTGTTACATTAAACACTATCGAGCAAAGCGAGATAGTGGAGAAAATCTTTGTAGAAAAAAAATAGAGTAATGGGGGTGTTACATATAAGGAACTATTAGATTACTTGTAGACTTGTATAAAAAAATTATTTATAGACTTGTTTAGAGGAGTTACTTATAGACTTTCTAGAGGAGCTACTTATAGACCTTTTTGCATAGTCATAGTCACTTTATAATTCATTACCATTACGAACAATGCCATTCCAACAAACACTAGATGGGATGACCTAATCCCTGGATACGAATTTGGCAGCGAAAAAAAAAAAAAAAAAAGGTAAAAAAGAAATTAAAAAATTGGTTAGTCACGTGCCTATGATGAAAAGTTGAAAGCGTTTATCAAGTGATGTAATCAACGTTACTACCAATTTGGCAGCAAAGAAAAGAAAAGAAAATATACTAGAGACACTAGAGACACGATAGACACTATCGAGCAGAGCGAGATAGACACTATCGAGCAGAGCGAGATAGACACTATCGAGCAGAGCGAGATAGTGTTGTAACAGCTAGTTAGTGTTATAACAGCTAGTTAGTTGTAACAGCTAGTTAGTGTTATAACAGCTAGTTAGTTGTAACAGCTAGTTAGTGTTATAACAGCTAGTTAGTTGTAACAGCTAGTTAGTGTTATAACAGCTAGTTAGTTGTAACAGCTAGTTAGTGTTGCTCTACTATCGACACTATCTCGCTCTGCTCGATAGTGTTATAACAAGCTACTGAGTGTTCCTCCACTATCTCGCTTTGCTCGATAGTGTCGGTTGATAGTGTTATAACAAGCTACTAAGTATTGCTCCACTATCTCGGGCTGTTCGATAGTGGAGCACACTATTAATCAAGTATATCACGTGATATTTGACATTTGACATTTGACATTTTTCATGTTTGACATTTGACATTTGATTTGAGTTTGGTTCTGATTTGGTCTGGTCACGTGATCATTAAAAAAAGAAGTAGTTGAAACCATTAAACAAACCTGTGTGTTTGTGTGTGTGGGTGGGAATCCACGTAAATGCAAGCTGTTTTTGACGTTTTTGACGTTTTGACGTTATGACGTTTTTAACGTTTTTGATGTTTTTGGCCTTTCATGATTATTCCTGGTCACGTGATGAGACGCAACCTCATCTCGTTTGGTCCGGTCACGTGTTATCATCATATATTTTTTCAATGAGATGGTCCCGGTAGCGTTGAACAATTGGTAGCGATAATCATTCATTCTTTTCGGTCGGTTTTTTCCCCGTTTGATGACTTTTATATCCGAGATAACCCTACCCTTTATACCCTTTATACCCTTTATACCCTTCCCCCCTTCTCCTCTTCATACCTAACTGTTGCTACAGCTGTGGTTGCTCTTCTTTTTCTTCTTCTTCAAAGGTATAAACTCTCGAAAAAACTCCCGAAAGAGCTCTCAAAAGAAGTTTTTCAAAGATGGTTGTTGACACGTTCAAGACAATTTCAAGTAATGTTGGTGCTCATATCAAGGATGTTTACAAGACGACTGAATCTGAAGTTCTGCATTTTTCTCACAATTTGAAAGATACAATTACGTTCCACCATCGTGATTTTGATAAGGATGATCTATTGATAAAGGAGTACCAGCACGATATAAAGCAGGCGCGACAAGGGTTAAATCATTTGCAAGCACAAAATAACCAATTGTACAAGAAGCTATTTCCTGGTGTATTGGCTATGAATTTGAGAATTGCTAGAGAGTTTATTAAACTAATAGGTCCAGGATCTTTGGAATTTGAAAACATAGAGGAATACTATCATGAATTTGACGTTTACGAAGCTTCTCTGGAAATACCTCATGTCCACCCCAAGGAGAAACAATTTTTGATTGAAAGTGTAAATGATGAGTTATTTCAGTATATACAATCGATTGAAAACTTGAAAATCAACTTGAAACAAGATTGTGAGTATTTCGCAAACTCCCTAGCTCCAAAGATCAACAGTATGCGAAAACAATTGCATGAAATCTTGAAACTAATAAAGCGAAGGAATAGGAAAAGAGAAGAACAGGATAGACTAGGTAGAAAGATTGCAAAGTTGAATCAAAAGCAACCACCATTGAGTGAGAAGGATCAAGAACACTTGAATAAACTTCAAGTGGAATTCACCCAAGTAGATAAGGATTTCGATGCTCTCAACTCCAAAACAACTGCCCTTTTGCCAAATGCAATGGCTTTTTTAGATGAATTTATTGAAAACGTTACCAAATTGCTCATTTGTCATCAAACAAACACTTGTAAAAATATTGTGGAAACACTAGAATATTTCAACATTTTCTATGGTTTTATTGGTGACAATATTCCTGATTATGAAACCATTTCAAGTCAATGGGAACAAGATATCACAACCACAAGGTTACAAATTGAGTCATTTTTGACCCTAATTAAAAACAAAAACCCGGAAATCATTGACAAGGAAATCGACGATCAGGATAAAGCTTCAAAGACATACAAATTCTGGGTCAGTATGACAACAAAATTAAAGGAGAAAAAGCATTTGGTGAAACCTAGTAACCCTTTGTATGGTATGTTTAACGATACAGAAGCAATTGATCCAATCAAAGCTTATGAGAAATACCAAAACCCTCAGGCTAATCAGCTAGAAACCTATCATCCACGCAAAATATTGGATTTAGAGGATGTAGTTGTAGTTGAAAATAGGGAGCAATCAGCATTACCGCCACCACCGCCATTACCACCAAGACACAATACAAACATCACCATACTGAGACCATCACTTTCTAGTGGAATGCCAGCTGGTCAACAACCATATTCAATCTATTCACAAGCACAAAATGATTCAATGGAGTCACTTTCTCTAGATGATGACGACGATGATGATGACAACGACGTATCTTCTATAATGTCCGGTTCCTCCGCTACTAGTTCATTATCCAGTACCTCTGTACCAAAACATACTAATTTCACCAAGTCACTATCGATAGATCAAAATTTGGGAAGAATTTACAATATGGCCAAGAATGAAATTAAAAAAAGTCCAATAACAGCTCATACATGGTGGCAGTTGCCTATACTTGACACAAGATACTCAAAGATCCCAATGACAGATGCCTATAAGCTTATATTATGGGAGAGTTTTTTCAAAAAGCTAAATAAACCTAAATCGATTAAAAAAATTGCAAAATATGATTTCAAAGGTGAAGAAGTGGGGGATTTGTCATTTAATAAAGGTGATGTTATTGAAATTATATTTGATTTTCAAAATATCGACAGTTTGTACATGCAAGACAATTTGAATTGGTATATTGGTAAAATCGATACTGGTTCAAGTGACTATAGAATTGGACTTGTACCTAATAACTATCTAGAATAAAAAACTGGTATTATTCACAAATCCCAAGCTCAACTCCAATCTTTACGTATTTATACTTTAGCTTTAGTATATAAAGGAAATATAAAAAACATCAATTAAAGGAAAATAAAGAATGATAATCAGCTTTTTTTTACTCGTAATACCTATATGCCAAAATAAGTAGTAAAAACAATAGATGAAAAAAATAGAGTTTCCCCTTTTACCTCTAATACAATCCGCCAGTCCGTTGCTTTCTCAAAGCATTCTGTTTCTCTTCAGCTTCGGAATCCCATAAAATAAAATCGTCCAATGCTTTTCCAGCAGGAACCATTGGCAAAACAGGTACTTTCTTTTCAACCAAAACCTCCATTAAAACAGGCACCTTGCAATCTAAAAATTCCTTTACACTCAGTTCTAATTGATCTTGAGTTTCCACTCTTATTCCCTTAACACCCATACTTTCTGCTAATTTCATAAAGTCGGGATTCGACTGATGAGTGTGAGAATATCTATGTTCGTAAAATAATGATTGCCATTGAGTAACCATACCTTGTTCTTCATTGTTCAATACACATATCTTCACTGGTGCACCAGCTTGAACAGCCGATGATAACTCAGTTAAAGTCATATTGAAGGATGCGTCTCCATCAATATCAATCACAATAGCGTCAGGTTTAGCAACTTGAACTCCAATTGCTGCTGGTAATCCATAACCCATAGTTCCTAACCCTCCGGAAGTGATCATCGTTCTAGGCTGTGTCCATGTAAAGTGTTGAGCTGCCCACATTTGGTGTTGTCCAACACCAGTAGTAACATAAACTTCTTTATCGTAGGTCATGGATTGTTTGGAAATCTCCTTGATCAAAGTTTGTGGTTTTATTTTGGAGCCAGGGGTTTCTAATTGATAAGCATATGGGTATTTTTCTTTCCATTCATTAATTGATTTAAACCACTCTGGTCTTGATTCGACTGAATCTACTAGTGGAATAAACTTGCGTAAATTAGAAGTAACATCACCTTCAATGGCTTCAGTAGCTTCAACAACTTTATTTATATTTTTAGGGGAGATTTCAAAGTGCAAGATACCTCCACGGTTTTCATTTGCTGCTAATTTGGCCTCGGGAGCGAATTTGGCAATATTTCCGGTTACTCGATCATCAAATCTTGCACCAAGAGCAATTATACAATCGGCTTTTTGCATTGCGGTATTTGCAGCTGCCGAACCATGCATTCCCAACATATCTAATGATTTTGGATCCCTTTGATCAAATGCACCCAATGCTTGTAAAGTAGTAGTTACTGGAATATTAGCTTTATTGGCCAATTCTTTCAACAATTTAGGCCCATCTTCATGGTTCAATATACCTGCACCGCAATAAATAATTGGCTTTTTGGCTTTATTCAAAATAATAGCTGATCTCCTTATAGCTTCGGTGGTAAATTCATTTACGGCTTTTTTGGTTATCAAACTCAATGCATTTGAAGGTAAAGTGGTATTGATTGGGATGCTTTCTTTCAAGGTTGCTGCAGTCACGTCTTTTGGCAAGTCCACCAAAACAGGGCCTGGTCTTCCGGTAGTGGCGATTTCAAAAGCTTCATTTATACGCCTTGGTAATTCAGCTACATTTTTAACCATCACGTTCCATTTGGAGCACGACCTCGAAATACCAACAACGTCGGCTTCTTGGAAAGCGTCGGTACCAATAGCCGTTGTAGGCACTTGTCCTGTAAATACAACCAATGGAACACCATCCATCAACGCATCGGCCATAGGTGTAATGATATTAGTAGCGCCTGGTCCCGAAGTAACCAAAACAACGCCTGGCTTGCCACTTGCCCTAGCGTATCCTTCGGCCATATGGCCGGCACCTTGTTCGTGTCTGGGTAAAACAAATTTGAACTTGTCAGAGTTATAAATTGCATCAAAAACGGGTAAAATAGCACCACCAGCGTACCCAAATACAGTATCAACATTGTGTCTAATCATCATTTCGTGAAAAATTTCACCTCCTGTCAAGCCAATAAATGAGTCATCCATAGCGATTTCCTTTTTAGGAAAGACGCCTCGGTGATTTTTATTCAATGAATGCTTCGATGAGGGCTGGTTCAGCGATAGTTGAGGATCGACAGTGTTGAAGGAAGGAGACGGTTGTGGTCTCGAAGTAGCCTGAGCAGCATTTTGTTGGCTTACCTTTGAAATAGACCTCGTTTGAGACCTATATGCGGTATATAGTCTTTGAGATGACCTCTTTTCGATCTGAATATAAAACCTCGATGAAACTCTACGAGATAGCATTATGTGACTTCCAAAATATGAGCCGTAAACTAGAAGAAAGAGGAATAGATAACCACTTGGTTTGAGTTGGGAATAACGTGCCAGCAAATCAGTTGTCACTGGGACCAAAAGAGTAAAAGAGCAAAAGAGGAAAAGAAAACTCGATTCAAGTAAAATGCTTTTTCATCTCATGGGTATATAGACATTTGGGTGAAAAATTTATATAGAGGAAAAAAAAAAAAAAAAAAAAAAAAAAAAAAAAAAAAACTGGAGAAATTCACCCTGGCACGACCCAAAATATAGAGTGATTAGATAATCAAAAAGGTTATAGCTCATGTAATGATTACACCCATATGTATGGCAACCGTTATATAATCAATGACTAATAACATCTTTTTTCCCAAACTTTTCAGGACGAACGGAGAAAAGAAAAAAGAAAATAAAAATAAAAATAAAATAAAATAAAATAAAATAAAATAAAATAAAATAAAAATAAAAAGAACAAAAAGAACAAAAAGAAATAAATAAGAATTGGAAAAGCAATATAGTGTATGGTCACGTGGAATAAGCAGTAATTGCCGTTGTTCTGTTTTGTTTTTTTTTTTTTCTAATAGTAGTAAAGCCATGAAATTTATTAGTATGGTCACGTGATATAAGTAGTAAATGCCGTTGCTCTGTTCAGTTGTTTTTTTTCTAGTAGTAGTAAAGCGGTAAAGCGAATCAATCTGCATAGTGTTTAATTCTTTTCTCTCTCTCTCTCTCTCTCTCTAAGAGAAGATACAGAGGCTTTCTAATAAGGACCAGGTTTTTTTTTCTTTTTTCTTCCTTTCTTTCTATATCTATAAACCATTTATTTTAAATACTTATAGTCTACGTTATCTTGGTTTTCGGTATTGTACTACTTTTGCTGATATTACTTTCAGTGTTGTTTTTCGGTATACTACTTTTGCTGATATTACTTTCAGTGCTGTTTTTCGGGTGATATGGAGCTATCGAAGCAGCATCTTCTGTTCCTGAAATACTATTATAATGACTATGCTGATTAGATGTTTCTTTATTATCTTTTGATTTCTCATCTGATATACTTTCAAAAGTGTTAATCCCCAGCAGTAACGGATTTTCAATACCATTGTATACCTTGGGAACCTGCATTTTATGGCATCTTTTTCCACCTGCACCCACACCCAAATTACTCTCGTCAACCGGCTTTTCAAAAGTTTCTACTTCTTCAGTCTCCTCGGGCTTCCTATCCAGCGGTGTGCCCCAGTCTAAGAAATCTCTTCTTACTTCAACATAATCATACGCAAATTCCCCAATTTGATCTTCATCAATGCCCATCTCCTCACCATTGTAGTCGACTCTCAAATGTAATCCGGGGATCTTGTTGATAACAAAACACAAAATGGCGGTAACTACACAAGAATATCCCAATGTTGCCAAAATATAGGCAATTTGAATATACAACTGCTTCCAATTATGATCTATCCATCCGCCTTGATGTTCAGTCACACCGTCATAACCAATCACGGTGGCAGAACCAAAAAGAGCATTGAACAATAATCCAATAACTCCAGCAACACCGTGCTCTGCCCAAACATCCAAAGAATCATCAACACGACATAAATATTTAATCTTGGTCGATAAATTACAAATTATGCCGGAAACTATTCCCAATATAACACTTGCCCAAAGTGGAATCATACCCGAGCTTGGAGTGGCCGCAACTAAGCCAGAAATACATCCAGAACAAACTGCAACCATCGACCATTTATTTTCCAACCTGAAATCTAATAAGCACCATGATATGGCACCAAAAGCTCCACACAAATGTGTGTTCATCATTGAATAAGCAACCCTTAAACTTGGATTAGCACAGCTAAAACCATTGAAGAACAACCAACCAAGGTACAACAAAGCTGTGCCTAGAAAGATTGTGCTAATATTGTGTGGTCTATAATTTATCATTAAAGTTTCATTTCTTCTTCCAAGAAAAGCCGAATAAACAAACGCTGAAGCACCACTTAGTATTTCAACTGGTCCTCCTCCAGCATAATCTAAAGCTCCTGACCTGTAGTTCATGGCCCATCCGCCGCCCCAGATCCAATAAACAACGGGGCAATATACAATTGTAGCCCAACAAAACAAGAAAACCATTGCTGGTAAGAAACGGCCTCTTTCACCAATACATCCTCCAGCCAATATAGCTAGTGTCACTAGTAAAAACTGCAATTGGAACAAAGCAAATGCCAATTGTGGATAATCGCTATTGCTGGCCAGCGCGCCTAACAAGTTTTTGAAGCCAAAAAAATGTAAATCACCAATAAATGGATTACTCAGCTTATCGCTAAATGCTAAAGAATAGCCCCAAAAATACCATTGGAATATACCTATAAAGCTTGACATAATGACTATCCAAATCATAGAAAGGGCACTTTTCCTTCTTGCTAACCCACTATAAAGAAATGCTAAACCTGGAACCATTATCCAGATCATCGAAGATGCAATAGTGAATAAGAGAACAAAACTTTCATTATATTCGGCATTTTGTGTGAAGAGTTTTCTTCTGGAGAGGTGGTTAATAACTTCTTCATTCATAGTGAAGTAGAAACCCGTTTGAAAACCCAATATCGATCAACAAACCAATACAGAGTAACCAATATAGTTAACGTGGGATTCTATAATCGATATGTATATATATATATATATATATATATATATGTGAAAATAATCTTATGTATTATGGGTGTGAAAAAAAAAATGAAAAAAAAAGAAAAAAAAGGGAATATGACAAAAAGGGTAAAACGAAATAGAAAATATAGTGAGACTAAATTACAGAGAGGGAAAGAGGGAAAGAGAAGTTTGGGCCATGGTCACCTAGAATACGAGTGACTCAAGTCAGGCGGGTTTGTTGTGTGTGTAGCGGGTGATTATAAATTCATCTTAAACTGCTAAACTCTTTTCTTTGCTCATCTCTATATCTAGCGTCCTGCATCTGCGACCGCCCCTTAAGTAGTAGAGTAGTAGTTTTACTATCCACCAAGCTTTAAGGTCGACTATGCCTATACATCACTATGTTTTGCTCTCTTTTCCCCTCTCGTCACACGCACACACATACAGAGACACGTAAGTCACCTTCCTAATTTGCTGATATCACCAAGCTTTTTGATTTTCATCTTGTTGGTTTCAATTTGCATCTTTCTTATCAACTGCGAATCAATTCAAGGCCCCGGAAAAAAAAGTTTATTTTCTTTTTTTTCCCTTGCTGCAACAGCACCTTAATAAATGTTTATCCGAGAAAAAACGGCAAAAAATAGAGACTGAGACAAGTAGAAGGAGGGGCCAATAATAGACAGGTAAAAGGAGGAGAGGGGGGGCGCAATGAAAGACAAGTAAAAGGATGGGGGCAATGAGATACTCACGGTATTGCAGCTAAGGATAAAGAAGAGGCTATCACTATCATTAAGAGTTTATCTCAGTTTGTCAAGTCTCTCATCTGTATATTTAGCAAAAAGGCCCTTATAGATTAAATTTGTCCTTGTACACTACCTATTTCATTAAATCCATATATCTAACCAATCATACAAAGTTATTCTTATCAGTAGTGGCAAAGTTGCAAAAAACCAATTCAACTTATCAAAAAACCACCCACTTGTTTTAAAACCAATCCCCGTGTGTAGAAACACAAAATCTGCGCAACCCGATAAAAATAGTAAAGTATATAGTTGGCTGAGTTGAGCAGCATTACACATTTTTGACTCTGTGAAAGGTTTGCTTTCATTACCCCAGGTTCTTTTTAGGGGGGACAAAAGACCCTAACGATGTCTATCAAGCAGAGCGAGATCTGCTCGATAGTGGGAGCACACACGGTAGCTGCTACCGACTCTAGTTTAGTGCGCTACCGTGTGTGTTGAAATACCTTTAGAGTGGCATTAGCAAGTCTAACCTAATAAAATAGATAAAATCTGTACAATTGGTAGCAAAGAGGGTAATAAGAATGAAATCAAAAGAATGTAAAAGAGTAATGGTAAAAGAGTAATAGTAATGAGAATGTAAAAGAGTATTGGTAAAAGAGTAATAGTAATGAGAATGTAAAAGAGTAATAGTATGAAATTCTTAGAGAGCAATAAAACTAGAGACTAGACGAGTGAAGCTTTTGAGAGAAGAGTAGTAGGTAGTAGGTAGTTAGTGTTGTAACAAGCTGCAAAGTGCTGCTTCGCTCGATAGTGTCGCGGAACCAAAGGTGATCTCTATTTCATCAAAGCTATAGAAATCTACATTCTACATACTGCTCCACTAGCTCGCTTCGCTCCCCAGTGTCGTGGAACCAAAGGTGATCTCTATTTCATCAAAGCTATAGAAATCTACATTCTACATACTGCTCCACTAGCTCGCTTCGCTCCCCAGTGTCGCTCGATAGTGTTACATGGAAAGTCACTTTATGCAGCTATCAACATTCAATAGATACAACAAAGTTGTAATAAATCGTGTCATTTTATTTTTAATTTACATTACCCCATATAAGTGTGACTAAAAAATGTAGGATAAAGCAGCAATGTAAAATTAGTAATGTAATTCCTATAACTAGAGACTAGACGAGTGAGACTAGACGAGTGAAATAAGTCTAGTCGAGACAAGAGTAGAGAGTAGTAGGTTGTAGGTTGTATGTTGTAGGTTGTAGGTTATGTAATTATAATTCATGTATGTAGTAGTCACGTGATGAGTCATACTCTCTACTTTCTACATATTGCTCTAGGACCAAGCCCTTTTCTTGTGTGTCACATCAATAATGATTTGATTTGATATGAAAGCACGAGTATTTTTATCATCCTTGTTTCCATGGAAAAGCTTCTGTTTGGTATCAATTATTATTTATTATTTTGACTCTTTTCATTTTAAAATTTTCTTTTATTTACCGTTAACTCTTATTACTTTACTACTTACTCTCTTTAAAGCTTATTTTCACTACTTCACCACTTACTTTCACTACTTCACCATTTACTCTCTTTAACACTTACTTTCACTACTTCACCATTTACTCTCTTTAACATTTATTTTCACTACTTCACCACTTACTCTCATTACCACTCACACACCACTTTATCATTCGTCTCCACCACTTATTCCTTCCGGCTTTTCGGAGTTTTCCTACCAATTTATTTTCTTTTTTTCTTTTTTTTCTTCACTATTATTATTTTTATTTGAAACTCCGAAAATGAAAGTGTCAGAATTTCTTGGGATTTTGATTGAGTTTCTTGCCGAGGGTAATGTAATTGAACTAGCGAGTAAAGCGAGGTAGTTAGTAGTAGAGAACTAGAAAAGTAGAGATCTAGTGGAGCAGTGGAGAACCAGTAGAGCAGTAGCCAAGGCAAAGGTAACATCTATTTACAAAGCTACAAAGTGCTGCTCCACTAGAAGAGATGCATTAGTGAAAAAGAGATGGCACTAGAATGAAACTGTTAATTTCAATCTGTCAATAAAGGGTCAAAAGTTGAGAAATCTTTACCCCACAAAATCATAACCAAGGAACATCTTTAATAGCAGCGCGGAAAGCATTAAAAGGCGTCAAACGTATATAATTACTATTACATTAGATTTTCTCAAAGCAACGCCTGGAAAATAAACTTTGCAAAATAATCTTGAATCAAGCAAATCAATAATCATTTAGTCAATTTCTAATTAAAACATGGTAATTTTGTTTTTGGGAGGTAGAGACTTTAACAAAGTCACAAAAGTATGATATGGATCTGACCAAAACAAATAAAAAAATAAACCCGTTTCAAGACTCTTGATAAAAGTGGCCCTTTTTTTACAGGTAATTTTTCTATTAAATTTTTGTGGGGTTTTTGTCGTCTCATTTTTCAAGAAAAATAAAATACTGACACTAACATTATCGAGCGAAGCGAGATAGTGGAATGGTCCTTACTGGCTTGCTATAGCACTATCACACTATCGAGCAGAACGAGATAGTGTTATAACAAGCTAGTATGGATAACAAGCTAGTATGGACTATTAGTATTGACTGTTAGTATGGACTATTCCACTATCTCGCTCTGCTCGATAGTGGAATAGCGATTGTGTTTTTGCGTCATCGAAATTCAAAGTAAAACAATAAGATCTTTCTTTTAAGCCCAACATTTGAGTTTCAATAATGACGATGACATGTTTGGACACAAAATTGATACATGATATTACCGCTGGGTTTTTCACTCGAGTGGTGCAGATTGCCGGACTTGGCACCTCACCCACAAACCACCACAATTACTATATTTGTGTTTACCCACATTAGTTTACACTAATTGTCATGTGTAGTAATTGTATGTAGTATAGAAATGTGGTATATAGAAATGTGGTATACAGAAATGTGGTATACAACATATGTGGTATGACATATGTGGTATGTGGTATATGCATATGTGGTATGTGGTATATGGTATATGGTATATAATACATGGTATATGATACATGGTATGATACATGGTATATCAATATTTACCCATCTTCTCCTCTCCTTCTTCAGCCTTATTACTACAAAGAGTTTTTTTTTACTAAAAAGGTCTAATTTTTTTTAAATGTTGCATCATAGATACATCTTCAATAGCAATTCTTTCTTCTTGGTGTAAGAACCACCTCTCCTCCTCCTCACCCCTAATAGCTTAATTAACTTACCAGCTATTGGCTAATTATACTGTTACCTTTATTACATATTTCCTGTTGGCTAATTTCCTGTTGGTTAATCTCCTAATTTCTGAAATCTGGGGTTTTGTTTTCCCTAATAATAATTTTTGTTGGTGCATTGGAAATTTTTTTTTTTTGTTGTTCTTCTTATACGGAGAGAGAATATAAAAGGGTAATAATTTTCCAATAACTTTTTCTAAACTTCTTTTTCAAACCCCCCCTCCCCCATTCATTTCCCTTCTTTTCCTTCCCTCCCTCCTTTCTCCTTTCTTCCTGATACTAGGAAGTAGTTTCTCTAAATACTTGAAGCAAAAAAAAAAAATGCCTGAGGCTCTTAACGGAAAACACGCACATGTCTTTATTGGGCATGAAGGTATGCATCTACCCCCTAAAGGGTTTTTTGAACGGTGTCCCGCTAATCAAGAACCCAACTTGAAGAATTTCCAAACATATGAAACGTTGTATAACCAGTCTATTGAGAATCCTAGTGAGTTTTGGTCAAACCAGGCTAGAGAAAATTTGAGCTGGTACAAGGAGTTTGATTTGGCGAGATTTCCTTCAGACCCAAAAAACGATTTCAAAAATGGAGATTTGCCTGCTTGGTTTATCAATGGTGAGTTGAATGCCTGCTACAATGCCGTTGATCGATGGGCTATGAAAAACCCCGATAAACCAGCAATTATTTATGAAGCTGATGAAGTCAATCAAGGTAGAATTATCACTTATGGAGAATTATTGAAGCAAGTTTCTAAACTATCTCAAACTTTGGTCAAGTTGGGTGTCAAAAAGGGTGACTCGGTTGCAGTTTATTTGCCAATGATTCCAGAAGCAATTGTTGCTTTGTTGGCAATTGTTCGTATTGGTGCTATGCACTCTGTGGTGTTTGCTGGATTTTCAAGTGCTTCACTTAGAGATCGGATCTTGGATGCTGATTCAAGAATCGTTATCACTGCTGACGAGTCAAAACGTGGTGGTAAAACAATTGAAACAAAAAAAATTGTCGATGATGCTTTAGAAGAATGCCCCAATGTGCGTAATGTTATTGTTGTGAAGAGAACCGGTAATGTTCATGTACCATTTAACAATAAAAATGGTAGAGATTTGTGGTGGCACGAAGAAATGGTTAAAAATGGTTGTTACTACCCTCCAACACCAATGAATTCCGAGGATCCTTTATTCTTGTTGTATACTTCGGGCTCAACAGGAAAACCAAAAGGTGTTCAACATACAACTGCCGGCTACTTGTTGGGTGCAATGTTGACCACAAAATATGTATTTGATGTACACCAAGATGATATTTTGTTCACAGCTGGAGATATTGGCTGGATTACTGGTCACACTTATTGTGTTTATGGACCATTGTTAAATGGAGCAACAACTGTTGTATTTGAAGGTACTCCGGCATACCCTAATTTCTCGAGATATTGGGAAATTGTTGACAAGTACAAGGTTAATCAATTTTACGTGGCTCCAACGGCTTTGAGGTTATTGAAAAGAGCAGGTACAAAGTTTGTTGAACCTTATGATTTGAGCTCGCTTCGTGTTCTTGGCTCTGTTGGTGAACCAATTGCAGCTGAAGTATGGCATTGGTATAATGATAATGTCGGTCGTGGTAAAGCCCATATTGTTGATACTTATTGGCAAACCGAATCAGGGTCACATTTATTAACCCCATTGGCTGGTATAACACCAACAAAACCTGGTTCTGCCTCGTTGCCATTTTTCGGAGTTGAGCCAAAAATATTGGATCCAACAACAGGCGAGGAATTGAAGAACAATGACGTTGAGGGAGTTTTGGCTATAAAACAATCGTGGCCTTCAATTACAAGAGGTATATATAATGACTATAATCGGTTCATTGATACATATTTGGCACCTTATCCAGACCATTATTTCACTGGGGATGGAGCAACAAGAGATGAAGATGGATTTTACTGGATATTGGGTAGAGTAGATGACGTTGTTAATGTTTCAGGTCACAGATTGTCTACAGCAGAGATTGAAGCTGCATTAATCGAACATCCATTGGTTGCTGAAAGTGCAGTTGTTGGTTATGCAGATGATTTGACCGGCCAAGCAGTTGCCGCTTATGTTGCTTTGAAGAAGGATAAAATGGATTCATCCAATGATTTGGATATCATCAAAAAGGATTTGATTTTAACTGTACGTAAAGAAATTGGACCTTTTGCCGCACCAAAATTAATCTTGTTGATTGATGATTTACCAAAGACAAGGTCTGGAAAAATCATGAGACGTATTTTGAGAAAAGTGTTGGCTGGTGAAGAAGATCAATTGGGAGACATTTCAACATTATCTAATCCACAAGTTGTTGAACAGATAATTGATATTGTTCATAAAAGTAAAAAGTAGAATACAACTGGATAGAGAAGTGATAAAAAAGAGTGGGTTGAATAGAAAAGGAAAAACGAAAATGAAGAAAAATTTATAAAAAAATACTGCAAAGAACTAGTTATGTTATTTATATAAAAATTAAGAATAAAGGATAGTTATGTTATTTATACAAAATTAAGAATAAAGGATAGCTATGCTATAAGAATAAAGGACAGCTATGTCATCAGAATAAAGGATAGTTATGCTATCAGAATAAAGGATAGCTATGCTATTTATATTGATACAAGATACGTTTGGACTAGGAGGGGGAAGGGTATATAGTGTTTCTTCGGTGGCGACTCTAACTGTTCTTCTCTTGGTATAATTTCTTCTCCTTCTCTCTCCTTTTGTCGAACTCAACTATGCCAGCAACCAAACTAGTTGGATCAGGCTTTGCCGCAATCACATCGGGGGCCAATCCATTTTCTACTAGGTATTCCTCAGTAGTTGGTCCAATACAAGCCAACTTAAAACCACCACCACCATTGTCATTCTTTTTCAAATATTGAACAATGTCCTTTGTACCCTGCGGACTAAAAAACACAATCCATCCAAGCTCCTTTTCCCCGTGCCCGCTTTCCACACTGATCAAATTTTCAAATCTTTTGATAATATCATTTCTTTCCATAGTCTTATAAATGACAAACTCTTCAAACTGACGAAAGCCGCCACCATTCTCACCAGCTAGTCGTTTCGGTATAATATCTTTCCTGATTTCGCCAGTGAAAAAGACAATTTTCTCACCATTGTCGACTTCACTGAGTATCAACTCTGCTAGTTTCATTCCGTTCCCAGCACTTTCGCCTCCCCTAACATTATTAAAACCTTGCTTTTGTAGTATCTTAAACGTAGCAGGCCCCACAGTATACCCCACTTTACCTAATATTTTCTTCACAGCGTCTTCATCATTAATTTCATCAATACATTCCTGGAACATTTCAACTGCTCGTTGCGAAGTAATTATAAAATAACCCACTTCATTAAGAAAATGCGGCGAAGTGAGAAACTTCTTGGTTAATGACTTATCTCTATGTGTATGCGTTAGCAACGGAACAAATTGGGGGGTGTAAGCATGATCCAATTGAGATTGGAAAAGTTTGGCATATGGGTCAATCGGTATACTTGGGTTTTTTAATAAAATTACTAAAGAATTAGATTGATAGTGCTGGTGCTGGTGCTCATGCTCATGCTCCCGATGATGCATAGTCGAGTCTGTGGCACTCATTGGAGACTCACTGGGCATTAGTCCTCAAAATAGGCGTACCTTAAACCCTGATCAGATAATGCAATGTGCCATATCCACTCATCATCTAACAAATAAAAATCAAAGAATTACAAATGTGAAAAAAAAATTAAAGAAATTTCATTAAAAAGAAACCATACACTGTATAAAAGAAAAAATTAAAATATAAAGTGGCCTAACCTTTGTTAGTTCATTTGTTTTGTGGGTCCGTCCCATTCCTCCGTTATCTTTGTTCGTTTGCTATAAAGATTCGTCAAGATTCTCTAAACCTAGTAGCAGTAACTGCACGCGTTGTAGCAAAAACTTTGCCAATTCGTTCATTTCCTCCAAGCATAATGCGTCCAAGTACATCTCTCATACTTACCTTGACATTCTCAATCGTTTTGAAATTATACCCCATAACATAAATCATAAAAAATAGTGCAACAAGCAGCACGAGAATAGGAATCCAAAAGAATACCAACATTTTGTCGTGCAACACGGATTTTTGTGATTGGTTGATGTACGAAATGACCATGTCTATTGAAGAGTCGGAAGTTGCACCAGCATCAATATCCTGATCAGTGGAAGAAGAAGTAACTGCTGTAGTGTTGGCGGTGGTAGCGGCGACGGCGACGGCGGCTGTGTTGGCAGTAGACTCTCTGGTATGTAATTCCGCCGATGATGAACCTATTGTTTCCTCTCCAATTACGCCCATTTCTTTCACCAACGTTTCGGAACTCTTGGGTATATTCATCAATTGTTCAAACTCACTTTTAGGTTTAGCAGTAGCTGAAGAAGGTCCAAATGGGAACAAATCATCATAAGTGGGCAAATTATCACTCTCGTCATCCTTATTAAACACATTCTTGACTTTTTGCCACAATCCAGGAGATGAAGGTGCCTTGATTGAAGGGATAAAAGTCTCTTGTATTTCAGTAGCATCACCATCATCACTTTGGTCTTGTGTACTGTGCTCTATGGAGGTTGCCCTTAGCATATCCTCTCTTTTATCTAAAACACCAATCTTTCTGCCTTCTTTTCTTATTTCATTATCATCGTCATCATCGTCATCATCATCATCATCGTCATCGTCATCATCGCAATAATCTGCTTCCTCTTCATCATAATCATCTTCGGATTCGAATTCAGAATCAGCAAAGTCAGAAATATAGTTCCGATCATCATCAGTCCATAACCTGTTATCACCATTGCCATAATTGTTCAGATTATTGATCGCCATATCTCTATGCAACTCTTCATTAGCAACCATTTTTGAAATATGCCTTCCACCGCTATTGTTATTATCGAACATGCTATTCAATGAGTCAAACGACATAATTTTCCTCATGCTGTCTTCCTCCTCTTTTCCTCCTCCACCACCCTCTTCTTCTTCTTCTTCTTCTTCTTCTTCTTCCTTCTCCTTTTCCCGATGATCAACTATCGATGAGGCAATGCTCTCCTCTTCCAATACTCCAAACATATCGATTACATTCAAATCACAATAATCCTTGATATATAAATCATTCAGCAACTTTTGATTCCAGTTTGATTTACAATAATCAATATAAAACTCCATTAATTTCCTGTTACCATTCATCGATGCAAGAAATAGTGGGGTAATACCTTGATTATCTTTGATATCAATCTTACATCCATGAGTTACCAAAAACTTGATTAAATTCGAGTAACTCTTTAGTGTAGACAAATGCAACAACGTTTGACCTTGAGCATTGGCTAGTTGCCAATTGGGTATTATGATAGGACAATTGGGTAAATCAACAAGAGAAAGCAAACGCACAAGTACAGTTTGAATGCTAAGCCCAGAACTAGTCAATTTCACTAATGATTCGTGAGCTGAATTGAACCAATTGGAAACTTCACTGGCATTTGGCGCAGTGCTCGTTGGTGGAGTACTGGAGGTACTCGTACAAGTTCCATTGTTCAATTTATTTCCAGTTTTTCCGTTATTGTCGGTCCCAACAATCCTCCTAGCTATATTTTTTGCATCTTCCAATTTCCCATTCATTTTCAATCCAACAATCTGCAATGCCAACTCTATCAATTGTCGATCTGTATCATCTGTATACGTAAAAATTTGCAGTTGCTGATACGTCGATATAGGCTCAACTTGTTCATTTTCAAAAGAAACTAATACTTGCCCTGGTAGCTGCGCAGGGGGTAAATATGTAATTATTGTGGTCTCAGACCAACAATGTGTAGCAAGTGCTTGATTAGCTCCAAATTTAACAACCAATCCTGGCTTGAAATTGAATCCAAGAAGTGTAATCTCTATACCTCCTCTAATTGGACCCTGTGCAGGAATGATTTTTTGTATTGAAGGAACTTTCTGCTGCTGCTGTTGTATTTGTATTTGTTGCTGCTGCTGCAACTGATGTTGTTGTTGTTGTTGTTGCAATTGATGCTGTAATGGTTGTTGTCCCAGCAAATGGTACGATTGATGCTGTTGAGTGAGTGTAGATAATGGTGACATTGCTTGTAAATTTATTGGTAGTGGTTGTTGCTGTAATTGTTGAAGATGTTGTCGTTGTTGTGATTGCTGCTGCTGCTGCTGCTGCTGCTGCTGCTGTTGTTTAAGCGAAAGAACATTACTTGATGTATTAGTGTCACTATTACTCAAAGGTGAATGACCATTGATACTCCCGTTATACATTGGATTTGATGAGCTATTGTAAGAATCGTCCACAGATAGCTTCTTTCTCTTTATACCACGTCCATTAGATGATTCCAAATCGGTATTTGTATGAATTTCTGAATTCGATTCATCTAAGGAATTTGGAGATAATTGATGAATAAACCCTGTATCGCCACCATTCTTGTCATTTTCTGAATCCGAAGTTGAAAACTTCTTCTTCTTATTGTTGTTGTTATTTGTACTACAGGAGGGATTGCCAACTAATCCTTGGAGATTAACAGACGACCCTCTAACAGAGTTGGGTAATGAATCCTTTGTCAATGGGATGTTCTTCTTTCTATCCATAATCATAATAGTTGACGAAATCTGCTTAGCAACAACCTCACCTTTATTATTCTTTAATACAATCAATAATTTAAATCCCAACAGTTCCTTATGATGTCTACAATAGCAAATGATTCTTGCTGACAATTCAATGGATTTGGAATCCTGATTCAAAATGCCTGTAGGTGGTGGGAAAGAAACGATTTCTTTACAATTGAAAATTATCGCCTTTTTCATCATCTTATCATCTAACCAGCTAGTGGAGTTATTCTTTATGGAGTTCTTCTTTGATGAAACTGTTGACGGAGTGGTAGCCGTCGTGGTATTGGTGTTCACGGGAGAGATGCTGGCGGCATAATTTGGTTCATCAATTTCACTTCCTGCTGCTTTACCACGCGATGCTCTTTTCTGTTCCCTTCTAATACACCTTGAACAGATATTACATGACTTTTTTAAATCAGATGTCAACACATAAGCATCCAAGTATAATAAATTTTCCTTCAATTTTGGATTCAAAGTTTCCATCGGCTCGGATAAGCAGAATTTATTCTTCGAAATAAGATCTTGAGGTACATACAATAAATGGTATTCATTAGGTGCAGGACTTAGGGTGATTTCGCATTTGATTTGAGTTTCCACTCGTGAATGGCTTGGTAATCCTGTCAATGTTAGTTGATGAGGTAGCTTCTTCATAACTTCTGGGGAAAAATCCAAGTATGAACTATCGAGAACAGCAACACTTTGGGGCACTGCGTTCATTCTGTGACTTCCAAATTTCAATTTACTCAATTCTTCTCGTATGAACTCGTAATCAGATAGTTGTGAGGGGACAGCAGTTAAAGAGGGCAATGGCCTTGAATCTGGGGATGTTATGGAATTAGGGCTGTTGAAACTTGAGCCAAGCAACGAACTTTGATATGGATTTTTTTGTGAATTAAAGGAGTTGCTGTCAAATGGAAACTGCAAAGGTTGTTGCTGCTGTTGCTGTTGCTGCTGTTGCTGCTGCTGAGGCAAATGTGGAAAACTTGAATTATAATTAGAATCTTGGGGTAAATTCAAACACAAGTAATCGGTCTCATTTGGTGAAATCTCTTCGCTTCCATTATTATTATTGTTGTTGTTGCTGTTGCTGTTGTTGCTGTTGTTGTTGCTACTGCTGCTGCCGCTGCTGCTGTTGTTTGTAGCTGCTGAGTTTTGAAACAGCTCAAAATCATTCATACCATCGAGAGAGTTATCAGTATTGCCATTATTGTATTCATTACTAGTATTAGTCAAGGCGTACAAGGAAGTTAGCAAGTTATTTTGATCCTGCTCCTGTTCGTCTTGCTGTGTACTTTTATTTAGGGGATTTGGTGTATTGCTCCTCATGGAGTCATATACTCTTTGATCCAAAAACTCATCTAGTATATCATGTTCCTCTTCCAGAAACTTATTTTCGAAATCGACAATATTGGAAGGGGTTTTATGGAGATTTGACTCTGTATCTTCAAAGCTAGCTAGGAAATTATGAGACATGGGCTCTGCTTTAACAGCAAACGTCATAGCTCAAGATGTGATCAGCTCAAGATGTGATCAGCTCAAGATGTGATCAGCTCAAGATACGTGTATCTAATCCAGATGCAATCAGCTCAAGATGCGTGTACCTTACTCCAAATGCAATCAGGTGACTCAAAATGGATATTCAATTCTGTCGAAAAGCCCAACAAAAGCGTAAAAACCAAAGCAAAATATTAAGCACAACTTATACTATACTCCACTTAATCTAACCTAGTCCTATCCTTTAGCGTTACTGTCCAACAATGTGTGCTGGTGGCAATGCTTACTGGTTGTGAAGTTGATGATGCCAAAGAAAAAAAAAAAATTCAAATTGATTTTTTCTTTCCCTATGTCGTATTTTCCATTGTCTCTTTTTTTTGCGACAAAATACGAAAATCGGTGATGTCTTTTAAAGAGTCAATTGTATTGATAGATTTGGTTGACTAGACGAGCAGAGCGAGTCTAGTTGATAGAGTATATTGAAGTAGATAGGATTATTGTGTTGGTGTAATAAAGTGAGAGTAGATAGTTTAGCTTGGTGATGTGGTTTAGCTTGGTGAGGTGGATTTAAAAGTAGATGGGTTTTTGTTGCAAGATCATAAATAAAGGTTTATAGAATATTGTTGTAACAGTTTGGCTATCTAATAGTTGTAAGTTTTCATGTTATAGAAATGACGTGTTATTAAGATAATGATGGTTAGTATTGGTCACGTGATTAGGAGACTAAACGAGTAGACGACTAGACGAGCAACACTATCGAACAGAGCGAGAGAAGTGTTGCTCCACTATCGAGCAGAGCGAGATAGTGTCGATAGTGTTGAAAGTGTTGCTACTAAGTGCTGCTCCACTATCGAGTAGAGCGAGATAGTGTCGATAGTGTTGAAAGTGTTGCTACTAAGTGCTGCTCCACTATAGAGCAGAGCGAGATAATGTTGATAGTGTCGATAGTGTCGAAAGTGTTGCTACTAAGTGCTGCTCCACTATCGAGTAGAGCGAGATAGTGTCGATAGTGTTGAAAGTGTTGCTACTAAGTTCTGCTCCACTATCTCGCTTTGCTCGATAGTTGAGACAAGTGTAGAGCGAGTTTAATGGAGTAGACACTGTTAATAGTCTATGTTCAGTGCTGCTCCACTATCTCGCCTAGCCTAACCACGTCAGTGATGGTGCCACTTAGTGTACTCCACTATCAAACAGATTTCTAAAGAAAATATTAATATATGAAAACTATATATTGATAACTATAATAAAATAGTTTTATATCAACAACTATATTTATGCATTAACTCTATACTATGCATTAATGACTATACCTCTATAACTATGCATTATAACTATATATTTATAATTCTATATTGATACAGTATAACAATAGCTATATAACAATAGCTATATAATAATATTTATATGTTAAAAACTTTATATTGATAATTATAATCTAATATGTAATATTGACCGACACTATCGACCAAAGCGAGAAAGTGGAGCAGCATTGACTAATGACACAGGACTCTATTGTAGATACCTAGGGCTGTGCCCTGGGTAACCGACACTATCGAGTGAAGCGAGATAGTGGGGCAGCATTGACCGACACTATTGAACCTGTGTATATTTTAGAAAGTATGCATATACGTTATATGTAGTCCGACACTATCGAACAAAGCGAGATAGTGGGGCAGCACAGAACATAGACTATTAACAGTGTCTACTCCATTAAACTCGCTCTACACTTGTCTCAACTATCGAGCAAAGCGAGATAGTGGAGCAGCACTGTTTACATAAACATTGTTAACCGTCTCTACTCCATTGACTAAACTCCCTCTTATCTACGCTTGTCTGCGACACTATCGAGCGGAGCGAGATAGTGGAGCATACTGACATTATCTCGCTTTGCTCGATAGTGGAGTAACACTTTGTAGCTTGTTACAACACTATCGAGCAGAGCGAGATAGTGTTGCTCGATAGTGTTGTTCGATAGTAGAGCAACACTGTGTAGCTTGTTACAACACTATCGAGCAGAGCGAGATAGTGTTGCTCGATAGTGTTGCTCGATAGTGTTGCTCCTGTGTCTACTCCATCGACTAGACTCGCTCTTATCTACTCTTTTCTAGTCGGTATCAACCATGTCTATTCCATTGACTAGACTCGCTCTGCTCGTCTAGTAGCTCTACTCGTCTAGTAGCTCTACTCGCCTAGTCGCTATCACATCACGTGCACATTCGCACTTCTTCTATCAAGTAACATTCAGTAGCTCTTGGTCGAAACCCCATTTGATTCCATCCGCACACAGGTTTGCTTCATAGTATGATTAGTCATTATACTCCACCATCTCGCTTCGCTCAATAGCGGAGCACCATAGATGTCATCGACACCATCGACACTATCTCGCTTCGCTCGATAGTGTCACTCGATAGTGTTCCTCTAAAGGTAGTGTGAATGTTCCCAAAAACTTAATTTTTTTTTTTCCATTTTTCCGAAAACAAAATTGGAAAAATTTAACCCATTCATTGCTCCTTTCCTTCCTTTCCTTCCTTTCCTTCCCCTTTAACCTTGCTGGTTGTAGTAACTGAGAATGCCAAAGAATACATTGTATGTTACTGGATTCTCAAGAGATTCAAAAGCCGCGGATTTGGCTCCTGAGTTTGAAAAGTATGTATAATTCAAAGTTTGAAAGTCTATCATTTAGGTCATTCAAATTTACAAATCCATCATCACAAACATATATTCAATATCCAAGATTCAAGGAGATACAGATGAAATGAGATGATAATATGATGATTGCTAAGGATGTTTATGACTTTTCTTTTCAGTCTTTTTTTTTTTTTTATTTTTTTTTTTGGTTAAAGCGTAAGCCTTGATTCATATATTTGAAACCATTTGTCAAAGATGACCCGTTTACAACTCAAATGAACCTGTTTACAACTCGAATGAACCTGTTTACAATGCAATTTCGTTGTTCCTCATACATTGTCAGTTTCCTTTCTGTCAGTTTCCAATAGGTCCATCAGTTTGATTCCTCCTTTTTTATCAGTATGATCTCCCTCCCTCCTTCCTTCCTTCCTTCCTTCCATCCTATTTGGACATTTCAACTCATGACTTTTCAATTTTTATGCCGAATTTGCTTTGCCAGCATTTTGTCATTCAAATAATGACTTTTCAAAATCTGCCTTGCCATCATTTTGTTCTAGCAGGTTCAATTTAACCCCCGCCCCTTTCCCATGTCAGTCGTGTCGTCCTCCTCAATCAAGCCAACAAGTTGCATCTTCATGATCCTCCCCTTCACCTCCCCTTTTCCACCTTCAATGCTTCTTCCTTCATGCACCCTTTTTTTTTCTCCATTTCATCATGACCCCAATTCCCCAGTTTCCCAATTACTTCCGCCCCCTCCCCTCCATTTTTCATTCTCTACTCATTCTATTTCTATAACTTCTATTATCAAACTTTTTTACTTACCAAAAAAAATAGCTTTATCCAGCAACATTGAATATCAATCCAATCAAAATCATTCATTCATCCACTCCCCTTAGAAAGAATCATTCAATAAAGAAAAAGAAAAAACATGTATATATTTCATAATCATTTTCAATTGCTCACTCAAAGAATCAGCTCAACTAACAAAATTTCATCTTCCTTTTTCAAATCAGATATGGAGAATTAGTAAGATTAGACATTCCACCACCAAGAACGACAGATGGTGAAAAATATGCATTTGTAGAGTTTAAAGATGCTGAAAGTTGTGAACGTGCTTTGGATTTAGATGGTAAACAAGCACCGTTTACGATAGCAAGTGGATTGGTTGTACAAGTGGCCAGATCCGATCCTTATAGTGTTAGATCATCATATGGTGGACCAAGAGGTGGATATAGAGGTAGAGGCGGTGGCTATGGCGGTAGTTATGGTGATCGTGACGGATATGGTGGCTATGGCGGTCGTGGAGATGGTTACGGAAGAGGTGGCGGGTACGGAGGCAGTAGAGGTGGATATGGAGGTGGAAGGAATGGCGATTATAGAGGTGGACCTCGTGGTGATGACGGGTACGGGCCACCGCCACTGCGTACAGGATATGGAGGATATTCCCGTGGCGGTCGTGGTGGTGGTTACGACGATGGTTATCCCCCTAGAAGAGAAGGTTATGCTCGTGGTGGTGCTCCTCGTGGTGGGTATGGAGATTTCAGAGGAAGCGGCCGTGAAAGTGGTTCAGGAAGCAGTTGGTATGAAAGAGGTAGAGACGGTGCAGGAAGAGGAGGAGAAGGACGTGAGCGAGAACGTGAACGTGAACGCGAACGCGAACGCGACTATGAACACGGTGGACACATTGCTGGTGCAAATAACAGTGATCGCGAGCGTGAGCGCGATCTTGATCATGATCGTAATACAAGATATAGTAGATCGCCTTCGAGGTCTCCTGTGAGAAGAGAAAGATCAAGGTCTCCTGAGAGATTTTGAACAAAATAAGGAGGCAAGTGTTGGAGATGTTTTATTATTATCTTTGTGAACAGTATAGTTTGTGATTTTGTTATATAAAGCATCTACTCATACGAAAAAGGAACATTCAAATATTGTTGGATCATATCTAAGCAAACCTCTACAATTCTTTTCTCTCCCTATCATATTCAAATAGTAATTCCGGCAATTCCATTACCCCACATGCCCAACCCACCCATCCTACTTATACTCGTTCCGTGACTTCCAAATCCAGGGGTTGCATTTGATTTCCCACTATTTCTAATGTTAACCTCTCTCATTGTAGTCAAAATCACAGTCAATACCATTGTATCTGTATCTACAGAAAACGTACTGTTAACATCCAGTATCGATAATGCGTCCAGCGCATTATTGGAGTTGTTTGATAATATTGGATCAACTTGTGAATTTTGGCCTTGAATATCCTGGTACAAATCAATTTTACCAATCTCAGTATATTTTTTAGGTAGATTGAACATATCATTTGATAAATACATTGAAGAGTCCTTATAGATTCCAAATGGGGGTAAGTCAAATGGTATGGGTCCTTGCTTACTTGACTCTGGAGGATAATTGGGTCCAGATCTTGTGTATGCAAAATCATTCGTTTTCAGAGGCACGGGGTTAATGAAGCACGATGCATCATTGCAATCAAATTCAACAAGCTTTTCCTTTTTTGCATCTTTTTTCAAATGTAATAATGTTGATGCCGATGTAATTGGTTTATTGTATAGGTCGTCACATAATGAAACTTGATCGTTGTCAAGGATGAATAATTTCATTTGTGGACTATAGTGGCAAATAAGTCCATTCGCCATTGAAGTGCCTATCAATCTGAATCTAGTGTTTTTGTAAAGAAAATCCGTAAGTGGTAGTGAATAAGATTGGAATGAAACAACCTTGAAGCAATGAGGGGTATTAGGCATAAATTCATAAATGAATCTACGGAAATGTCGAAAGTACTTTGAATGAATATGACAATAATCATATAATTCAAATTCCTCAGTTGGTTGATGATTAGCTGTGGCAATATTGATGTTTGCGTTTGTTTGCAGCCTGTCTCCTTGTAAAGATGGTGGAATCTCGCGGTATTTCCTAAACGTTATAAATGGTGAATCCTTTCGAAAAGTAGAAAAGTAAGGAACACTCATTTTAAACAATGGCAATGCCAGCTTTTTGATGCTAGAGTCAACTGAAGATATAACTTTCCCCCTGAGTTTCTTGAACAACTCAAATGATTCCGATGTTGGAAATATAAAAGTATTCGACTTCAACGACATACCATTCACAATCACCAACAGTCTCTTATAATTAAAAGCAGTTAATTTCTTATCCATTATTTTATCGTGTTCGATAGCTTGCTGCTCCAAAGGAATATACTCCTCGTTAAATATGGTAGCTACATCTCCATCGTCAACGTTATCGATATTATATGAATCGTGGAAGGGGAAAAATTGTGCAACAGCAACTTCTCTTGAGACAGAAGCACCTCTTCTAGACCTACTTTGTTCTTCTCTTCTAGACCTACTTTGTTCTTCTCTTCTAGCCACTTCAGTAAGAAGCCACTGACGTATAATGAACGGTAAGTAAAATGCAAAATTATCAACAAATCTGGGCTGGAGCTCATAGCTATCGCTATATTTAGGAATCAAGGTATCTGTTTCCGATAAAACCGTGGAATATTGATCTTCAGCAGTAGCAGCAGCAGCAATATCAATCAGACTTCCTAGCTGTCCCTGTAAAGTGCCACTACCAATTTGACGGCAATTATCCTCAAGTACGTTTGACTCATGTCCAGCTCTTCTCCCAAGAGACTCTGAGTTCGATGGGGAAGAAGAAGAAAATAAAGATGACGATGGAGGTGGTGACGAAATAGAGTTATCGCCTGCTGGCGATGAGCCTGACCTCCCGCTTGAGGCACTCAAATCTTCATTTTTCCTCAGCAAACCAAGCGACGAGGTCAATTTATGTCTTTTGAACATATAGCCCGAGCTCAAGTGGATATTAAACACGGAAAGAAATCACTCGTGGTTATATCCACTGAGGTATATAAATTAACCCTTCCCTTCTGTCCTATCATATAGTCACGTGCCATACCTTAGAAAATGAAAGACGTTAGCTGCCTAATTTTTTTTTTTTTTTTTTTGACATATTTTAACACAAGGTACAGATGAAACGACGCATCTAATTAAGAACAGTGTCACGTGTTTATCACACTGAAGGGGGGTCAGATACTATAAACAGTAAGTGTAGCCGTCATATAGGTGGCTATTAATTCCGTATTCGGAAGGAGTCTCAGCACTATTGAACAGATCGAAATAGTGGAGCAATACTTAGTAGCTGCCCCTCCTTCCCCCCTTTTTGTTCCTTTCGTCCCCACTAGTATAGCCGGGTCTCCCTTAGGAGTCACGTGAACAAAGTAGATATATAGTAGCTTAGGAGGAGGGACCCCCCCCCCCCCCCCCCCCCCCCCCTACCCTGAGTCTACCCTGAATCTACTTTGAGTAATGAGGGTAGGTAGAGAGAGAATAAGAAGGTGCGTAAAGAGAAGGTGAAAAAGTGAGTATCTGCTCCACTATCTCGCTTTGCTCGATAGTGTCCGATAGAGAGACCCCGGATATCGGTTTCCATAGGTTTTACCCAATCTAGAATATAACCGGTTGAGAGGTTTCGGGAGGCACAAACATCATGTACACGTTATCTATTTCACAGAGTTGTTTGATATACGTCGAAACTGCTTTTTTGTTTCTTTGGACTTAGCTTAAAGTCAAACATCATAAGCTCGTGTTCATTCTCCTTATCGGGAGATCTACTACTATTACTACTCTCACTCCGTCGACTTTCCATAACGTTTTTCTTGGTAGAAGTAGTATATTCCCAATCCATTGAGGAATAACTATTTTTCATTGAATTCACTACCGTGCTGGAAGAGTCAACCAACTTTCTCAATCTTGATGTTTTGGTGAAACTGCGTATAATGTGATCTTTGTCCTTAATCATTTCTTTCAACTGCATTATTTCATCTTCTTGTTCTTTTAAAACCTCAAAAAGATCACTGTTTTGACTACTACTCGAATCTAACCTTTGCTGCTGCTGATGCTGCTGCTGCTGTTGTTGTTGTTGTTGTTGTTCTTGTTCTTGTTGTATGAAATTCGTCATATAATGCGTTTTGAGCTGATTTTCGAGGTGAGCAATATATTGCTTGTACTCCTCCAGTTCATGAATAGTTCTTCTGTAAAATTCTTCAATATTAGTCATCAATGTCTGCTGGTTTTCTGTTCCGCAGCCAATGATATCATTAATTGCAGTATCTTTGATAATTATGGTTTCCGTTTTCTGTAAATCAGCTAGTCTTGTTAAATGGTCGACTTTGTCGTTGAGTATTTTATTGGTGGCTTTCAATTCCAGCTCAATTAATGACGACGTTGGTAATTGGGACAGATCCGTAGGTAATGGGGGAGTAATACTACCTGACTTTAGTATCATCAACTCCTGTTTTTGCTGTTCAATTGTATTATACAACTCAATTATCTTTTTCTGCATTTCCACATCATTCCCCATGTCACTTGCCCTGCAAATATTCTTCTCGACATTCATAACAATGTCCTTTGCCCTAGCTGCAAACCTCAACGTCTTGTAGGTTTCTGCAGTGCTGGTTGTACCCCCCATATGAATTGTGCACAATATCAGTACAAGACTCTTCCCACTTAATGCCGGCTGTAACAACCTCGTTAATTTTGAGTCTCTATAACTAATATGAGTATCAACGATACCACACCCTCCTAAACTCGATGCTGAAGATAATTTATTGATAACATTACTCAAAGCAAGCAATGATTTATTGATGTACGAACCTTCTTTTCTTCTTTCTAAACTACTAGAGGCTCTTTCTGAACCAGCTAAATCGCAAAGCGATAATGTTGACCAAATCTCCAAATTTGTATCAAGAATAATCTTTTTCAATTTGATTTGTAAAATTGAATGAGAACGTGATGATCTGGCATTGAAGTCTGTGGCACTGGTTTTTCTATTGGTGTCACCTCGTTTTATAAGCGATAACAACTGATCTTTAGATGTTATCATTGGAGTAGTTAGGCCAATAACCTTGACCCCATGTTCGTGATCATCACGAATTTTCAAATCCGAAACCGCTGTATTTCCAACATCTAATAGATCAATGATTTTTTCGTTATATATCTCGAGATACGATACGTGCATTTCATATCCAACCTTATCACTTTGTTGCTCAACTTTTTCAAATAAATCGTTAATCGCCAATTCAACAAATCCTGTATTGACTGCACTGCTATCCAGTTCATCCCCTTTCATGCTGTATGTCTTGCCTGATCCAGTCATGCCATAAGCAAAAACAGTACCATTATACCCATCCTCTAAAAATTTCTCAACAATGGGTTTACAAGTCTTTAGATACACCTGATAGTTGTTGTTTATCGACAAGTCCAGCGGTGGGAACACATGGTCAAAAGTGAACAATGTTCCATCTACAATATTTGCAATTGTATTGTTGTGTTGGTTGATTATCCAATTTTGAGAAGAGGAATTGTCAGTAAATGTTCTTGGATTAGGTCTGATCGAGACTGCTATTGAACCTGTATATGGTTCCTGCTGCTGTTGCTTAGCAAAATAACCGCCAATACCACTATTTAGAGGCGTGGTTGGTCGACTCATTCCCATTGAAGAGCCAGGTCTTGATCTTGATCTTATTTCAGTCAGTACTTGTTTGAGATTGTGGTTCCTATAGTGCTGCTGTACGGGAGAAGATGTTCTATTAGTAACAGTTGGTCTAGAAGGCGGTCTAAAGCTTGTTCCAAAAGTAGCTGTTCCCGTAGTGTTTGCCCTTACTGGTGTTGAAACAGTCGACATTGACATAGAACTGTGGCCTAACGAAGACCTTGTTCTTAAGGGAGTATGTGACATAAAAGCTAGCTTCTTAATATACTTCAATAAGTGGTGGGGGAAGAGGGTATCGAAAAAGAAAAAAAAAAAAAAAAGGTCTCTAGAAAAGTAGAGGTTTCTTCTATTTGGTAGTTAGGGGGCTTACTACGAATTTCCAATAAAGTTATGGTAATATCCAAATACAATTTGCCATGGCATATTGGTAAAATAAAAATTATTTGAAAATTAATATTGTGACTGAGTGTTTACAATGTTGACCGATTAGGAAGTGTAACAAATTACATACAGAAAGAGGCTGCGAAAAAAAAAAAGAAAAAAAAAGAAAGAAATTTAATCTCATTTCTTAGACGATAAGGTGATACCTAGCATCGACACTATCGAGCGGAGCGAGATAGTGTTGATAGTGTTGGTGGAGTTAGTACTGCTCCACTATCGAGCAGAGCGAGGTAGTCCAGGAAGAGTAGATATAGTCAATAGTGTCGGTGAAGTCAGTACTGCTACACTATCTCGCTGCGCTCGATAGTGTTGAGATAGTGTTATAATAAGCTAGTAAGGATTGCTCCACTATCTCGCTTCGCTCAAAAGTGTCGATAGTGTTGTAACAAGCTACTAAGTGTTGCTCCACTATCTCGCTCCGCTCGATAGTGTCGATAGTGTCGATAATGTCGATAGTTTTTTATAATTTTATTACCAAGCTGAATATACCATCTACAAAATGAAGCATGCCCGATCAGTTATATCCTTACCATACCAGATACTCCAATCCTTATATTTTAAGCTCAATGGACTTCCTATAGTTTCAAACTCGCATTTAGCTCTAATAGCGCTTCTTATATCGTAAAAGAATACACTGAAACTCAATTTTCTTGAAATAACACTCCCAATATCGACTATAGGACCAAATGGTTCAAAATCCTGGCGAATTTGCAGAATTTGCAAATCTTGCGAATAGTGTATCTCAGGCTCAGGGTAAAACATCTTATCACCAGTTCTTATCTTTTTACCCATAACTATTCTTGAAACAATTAAACATCTTCTACATCCATTTGATAAAATCTCGTTGTAAAGTGATTTCGGTAATGTGTAGTACGCCGTAGGTGCTTGTTTTGTTGAATATGAAGGCGGGAAATTGCCATGAGTAAAATTCTCCACATCTTCTCTTGAATTTCCGTCATTGCCACCATCTCCAGCATCTCCTCCTACTGCTCCGTTTTCTTCTCCTACCTCTCCCCCTCCACCACCACCACTTCCTCCTCCTCCTCCTCCTTCTTCTCCTCGATTATTGTCCTTTATATCAAATTCTTGCTCCGACCAATTAACATTCAATCTCACTCCGTTAACTTTAAACAATCCAGTGCTTCGACCAAAATTGTAAAACTGTTTGGCTTGCTGAGGGAAAATGAAATATAGTTCAAGTCGATTATTGGGTAATTTAACTATTTTTTCCAAGGGGCCACCACAAACTTGCTGTAATATAGCCGTTATACTCATTGACTTGTCTATATTTGATAAAACAATGCATCTTCTATAAGTATCACTCACCTGTTGTTGCTGGTGATGTTTTCTTCGCCCAAAAACTCGGCCAAATTTTTCATTATAATTGAGTTTATTCTGTTGGTTATTATGGTGACCACCACCTATATTTTCCAAGCTTGGATTTCCTGTCAATGGACATTGCTGCTGCTGCTGCTGTTGCTGTTGATGATGATGGTGGTACAGTAGTTGTTGTTGTTGTTGCTGCTGCTGCTGTTGTTGTTGTTGTTGTTGTTGTTGTATTAATTTATGACAATGTAAATTCCGCTGGTCAAATGCTGCTATCGTAACATTTTTTGGAGTCATCTCAACTGCATCAACAAAGTGGGTGGTAGATGTATTATTACTGGCCAACTCTTTACTTATATTGTGTATCTCTTCCTTTTCACTCAAATTATCTATTTTGCCAAAGGGCCAAGAACAAACTTTCAAGAAATTGGACCGACGACTGGACAAAGAGTTTGAGCCCGTACCACCACCCACAGTATCTGAGCCTCGCGCATTGTGCATTGCTTGAAAGCGGTGATAATCTTGCGAAGCAGCACGAGTGAATGTAAAACTAGGAACTCTTTTAGCTGCTGCTGGTAATTGTTTCGGTGACGTTCTTTTGAATGAATTATCAAGAGTTGAGTTTGAGTTCGAAGGTGTATCTCCTTCGATCAAACCATTGGCGCTATCAACCAAAAAGGACTCGGCATGGATCAAATGTTTTAGCATTGTCTTATCAATAAGCAATCGAAAAGGGGGAAAAATAAAGAAGAAACAAAATTACTTGAATGAACTTGTTAATGGGAAAGAAAAAAAAGACTAGAATGATTTTCCTCAAGATTGCATAGCAATACTTATAGCCAAACTTTGATTAGCCTGATGATGGTACCTAGACTTGGGTATATGCTGTTTGGTATCGATTATTTTGAAATTTTTAAGATCAAGGAAAACTTGTTCTTTTTTGAAATGTAAAATCGTTATAGTTTTTTCTTGCTCTTTTTTTTTTGCAGCCTAATGTGATTCATATGCAGGACAAAATTGCAACCATTTCAAAGCTCATCTTGAAGTGAAAAAAAAAAATATATATGTATATATAGCGAATAAAGGAATAGAAGAAAAGTTGAAAAACGTTTCAGGTACTTTACCCCGGTGAAAACAACAGAGTAGAGTAGAGTAGGTTTTTGAAAGTGGTGGATGTATGCTTAGACGGTTTCCGTATTTTAGGATTTACAACATTATGTCAGAACAGCTCAAGAGAATTGTTTCGTCAGAAGAAATTGTTTCATCAGTCAAGAAACAAAAGAAAATCAGTACTAGTGGAGTAGCATCGGCTATTACTGAAGCAGATGTTGGTATTACCAGATTTGTCAACAGCCAAACAATTGGCTTTCAAGCAGCTATAAAGACATTATATTCAGACTTCCAAGTTAATGAGATCCAACCAAATGGAACGGTGGTACATTTGGTAGATGAGGGTTTAGAAACTGGGAAATCCAACCGGGAAAAAAGGTTAGAAAAAAGAGCTAAAGAACGCGAGGAACTCAAGGGGAAGTCACAAGAGGAAATAGCAAAGATTATGGAAGAGAGAGAAGCTTTGAAGGAAAATGAACCAAAGTATACCTTGTCTGAAGAAGATAAGACCGAGCTTCTTTCCTATATCACTAATGAAGAGCTACAGAATATTGAAGACTTGTTTTCCACAGGGAACAATACCGAGACAAAAACGCAATTCCACGATAAAGAACAAAGAACAAAGTTGCACCAATTATTTCGTAAAGCGTTTCAAGGTAAATTGGAGACAGTTACCTCGAGTGAAAATACATTTAGAATAGCAATTGCAAAAAGGAAAGGAGGGTTCAGCCGAGGAGACGCAAGAAACAGTAATGGCCAGGAGAGTATGCATCATATTGACGAAAATGGTGTTGTTAATTATGGCTTGGGTCCATTCAAGCCATATCTACATTTCACTGTTTTTAAAAAGAATCGCGACACAATGGATGTAGCAAATACTATTGCCAAGATGATACGTGTACCAAACAAATCCATTACATTTGCAGGTACAAAAGATCGTCGTGGCGTCACTTGTCAAAGATTTAGTATACATCGTGGCAAAGTACTAAGAGTAAATGCATTGAACAAGATGCCAAACTCAAACTTCAAACTAGGCTCGTTTACTTATGAGGATGAGCCTTTGAAATTGGGCGACTTGTTGGGAAATGAATTTCTTATTACTTTGAGAGATGTGAAACCTGTTTCATCGATTTCGACTTTGATTTCGGCTAATGATGATGTCAATATCAAGGACATTATCGAGCAATCATTTACAAGCTTAAAACAAAAGGGGTTTATAAATTATTTCGGTATGCAACGGTTTGGGTCCTTTTCTGTACAAACTCACGAACTTGGTGCAGCCTTGCTACAAGAAGACTGGCAAAAATGTGTTGATTTGCTATTATCTGAGCAAGAAATAACTGCTCCTGGAACTCTCGATGCAAGAAAAGTATGGGCAGACACTAAAGATGCAAGAAAAGCCATGAAGGTTCTCCCTAGACATTACGTTGCTGAGTATAGTATATTGAAAACTTTGGCTAACGAAAAGCAAAACCAAGATGGTTCATTTAATCGCCATTCTTATTTTCAGAGTATTTTAGCTATTCCGAAAAACTTACGAATGATGTACGTACATGCTTATCAATCGTACGTTTGGAACTTGGTAACGTCAAAAAGGATAGAAATGTTTGGACTACAAGTACAAGAAGGTGACTTGGTATTAGAGGAGGAGACTACTAGTTTGAACAAAAGTTGCGATCCTGTAAAAGATGAAGACGATTTTGAAGAGGATGTTGCCGAATCGAGAGAGGTGCCGGTAAGAGCAATAACTAAAGAGGATATTGAAAGTAACCGATACACTATTTTCGACGTTGTTTTACCTACACCAGGATACATGGTTCAGTATCCAACAAATGAAAAATTGGTACAGGTATATATAGACACGATGTCAAGGGATAATATAGATCCGTTCAACTTGACAAGGAAAAACAAGGAGTTTTCGTTAACTGGGACATATAGGAAAATAGTAACCAAGCCAATAGATTTATCCTATGACTTGATTAGTTATAGTGATGATTCTGCATTGTTGGTACGTACAGACGAGGAGATTTACGAAATGAAGAAAGAGGAATTAAAAGAGGGCAAGTCGGTGGAGGAAATTGGTAGACTCATACCACAATTAAAAGATGCTACTGCTGATGGTGATGCTGGTGATGCTGCTGGTGATGCTGCTACGGCTACTACGGCTACTGCTACTCCTGAGAAATTGGCTGTGGTGTTGAAAATGCAATTAGGTGTCAGCTCTTATGCTACAATGGCATTAAGAGAGTTTATGAAAATTGACACAACTAGAAATGAAGCTTTATAGAGCAACTATCGTATAAACTGTTTTTTTCTTTTTCATTTCCCTCCCCTCTAGTCAGTGGTGCTCCACTATCGAGGAGAGCGAGATAGTCACGGTGACAGCTAGTATCGCAATCAAACCCGTGTGTTTGCTGCCCCACTATCTCACTCCGCTCGATAGTGTTGATGTCACTATAGTTGCTGTTTCAAGGTCATTTTGCCCTCTCAATTCTTCTCTATTTGGTAAATGGGTGCGAAAAATACACAAGGCCATTTTCTTTAAGCACATCGGATAAAAGTTGCTTTTCGTTTAAGTTTCTTTTTTTTCAATCGTATAACAGTGAAAAATTTAGTATATATAGAGGTACCATTAGTATATACCATTCATATTTGCTAGCGTAGAGAGGTTGAGAGAGTGTGAAAGAGTGAGTGAGTCTGTATATATTCTGTCAAAGATTCTTTAGTAATGTCTAAATTGAATCCTCGTACCAAACATAAAGAATTCAACGGTATAGTTGGTTCTTCAGCAATAACCATCTTTTTACCATTAATTCTTGAAATCTTTCAATTGGTATGCAATCCTTCCTACTCAACCAAGGGTCTTAGTATTGATATTCATGCCATATTGAACCAGCTACCTTCAAATTTCGAGCAATGGTACGATCTCGCATTTGACCAAACTGTCTGGAAAGTATACCTTATTTGGTTTTTTGGCTTGGCTATCTTGGGCCAGATCTTACCCGGTAAACAACTTGAAGGTACGGAGTTGAGAGACGGAACAAAGTTGAAATATACAATAAATGGAATCTCAATGAGTATAGCTTTGGTTGTCCTTTTACTTGCACGCGCTTTCCAAGTAAAAGATTTCCAATTACCTGAATTGCAATTCATTTACGATCATCAACTACAGCTCACAATCACATGTATTATATTTTCATTTGTTTTGGCAATATTTGTTTATGTATACTCGTTTGTACCGCTTGCTAACCCCAATGGATTGGGAACTAAAGAGAAAATTCTCAGTGTTAATGGAAATACCGGTAACGTATTTTATGACTGGTTTATTGGTCGTGAATTGAATCCTCGTATTGGAACTTGGGATATTAAATTATTTTGTGAGTTGAGACCGGGAATGTTGTTGTGGTTCTTAATCAACTTGAGCTGTGTACATCAACAATATCATTTGAAAGGGTATGTTACTGACTCTATGATTTTGGTTAACCTTCTTCAAGCGCTTTATTTATTTGACGGTGTATTGAATGAGGCTGGTTGTTTGAGCATGATTGATACAACCACTGACGGGTTTGGGTTCATGTTGGCTTTTGGAGATTTGGCTTGGGTGCCCTGGAGCTATAGTTTACAGTCAAGATATTTGGCTATTCCAGGTAACGAGATCACTCTTGGCTGGTTTTATTTTACGGCAATCCTATTACTACAATTTGTTGGCTTCTACATTTTCCGTTCGGCAAATCAACAAAAGTCGGATTTCAAGAATGGGAAATTAAATCACTTAAAGTCGATCAAGACTCAAACAGGTTCCAATCTTTTGGTTGATGGTTGGTGGGGAATCTCTCAACATATTAATTACTTGGGTGATTGGTTAATTGGCTGGTCCTGGTGTTTACCTACCGGTTTCCAGACCCCATTGACTTATTTTTACGTGGTTTATTTTGCAAGTTTATTAATCCATCGTCAAATTAGAGACGATTTAAAGTGTCAATCCAAATATGGTAAAGATTGGGAAAAGTATAAGCAATTGGTGCCCTATAAGATAATTCCTTATATTTACTAAAACTTGAATAAAAAAAAAAAAAGAGGTATAAACGTTCTACAATATCATTACAAAGCTAATGCTCCGTTTTCTTTTTCTTTCTCCTTATTCATTCTTTTTGTCAAAGTCAACTTGTTTCTCAAACGAGGCGTAGGTAAGCTCTAAAGAAGATAACCAATCAATAGCAGCATACAAGATTAGTAACAAGAAACCGGAAATTATCAATCCCGACCAAATACCAGGTGTAAAAAACTGATAGTTTGTGAAGAGATTATTTGGCTGAGTTGTAGTTGAATTGATTTTATTGAAATCCTCTAAAATTGTGATTGGTTGGCTATTCAGTTTATCTTCTTCCAAGGCCAATTTCTCAGCCAAAGCAAAATCATTTTCTATTTCTTGTTGAAGTTGCGCTTCATTCTTTGCCTCGACATTATCCGAAGCGACACTATCCGAAGCGAGATGGTGGAGCACACTGACTGATTGCGTATTCTCTGCCTCTTTATTCTCTGCCTCCTTGTCTCTTTTAGAAACAATCACGGTGTCATAGTTATTGTACAAATTGCCCAATTTCGACTCAATCTTTTCCATAATGGAATAGGTTTCAAATGTAGGAACAACTTGGATGACAAAGTCATCAGCAGCAGTGTCGGCATTGTTGACAAGTATATCAATCTGATCGGCAGACAAGATTTCAGGCTCGTGCTCAAAGCTAAATGTGTCACCAAACTGTTCAAGCTCTTGCATGTTGCTATACAAGACATTAGGGAAAACCACTATAGTGTCATTATATTTGTTCAATACTGGTGATTCGCGCAGTTGCCACAATTCCCACTGCTTTTTGGGTACTCTATATAGCCTTGCCTTCTTTTCGCCTAGAGGTTGAAAACTGTTTACGAGCTGCAGATGTACATAATTTGCCTTTTCGATATATTTTGGAAAATATCCGTTTCTAAGGAAACCCCGGCTTTTAACTAGGACAGCCCCTGTATTGGAAAAAGCAACAACAAGGGAAATAACCAGCACAAACAGTATACAAACCTCAACTAAAAGCATCCTCTAATAACCTCCTTTACCCAATGAATACCCGACTAACAATAAACCTTTTCAAGTTGAAATGAAAATTGAAATTGGTGATTGATATTTTCGATGCAAATCTTGTATACAGTACCCGCTACATTTTTATTTCCACGACAAGAAAAGGAGCCATCTCAATCAACTTGAACAACTTGAACAACTTAAACAACTTGGACAAGTCGGTCTATATAGTCTACTCAAATTGTGCAATAATGGCGGACGTTCCAAAGTATGTGTAACAATTGGTTACAATTGATACAATTGTACCTTTGAGAAGATGTATACATAGTTACTAACCCATTACCTTACCTGGTCTCTCTCTCTCTCGTTTTTTTTATTTGGAGAGAGGGTAATCCCTTACTTGATATAGATCAGTAATACAAAAGCTAATGATATTCACTGGGCTAATGATTCTGTTCCCGCTCCTAACATTCTTTACAACTCAATTTTTTACTACAAATAGTATAATAAGCGGCGGTTTAAGTGCCTTGGTAGCTAACTTGGTACTAATTGGTTATATAGTAGTTGCTTTTACTGAAGATACCTCATCGCTCACTCCATCATCTGAATTACTGGCAAAAAAAGATTTGTAAATGGGTTCCTCCCCTTTGATATAATAAACATACCTTTGATATTCCGAGCAGATTTTTTTCAATCCTCTTATAATCTCTTTAACTCAAGCCCCTTCTTGTCATATCTCTTTTTCTTTTTTTTCTCTTGGTGGAAGGATGGTTCATCAACTATCGTTGGTGGCTTCGATACCTCATTCAAGTTACTTACAAACAATAGCTACTCTACAAGCCATCACGGGACAAGTTCAACCACAACAAATCTCGACATATACGCTAATTGCTAAACCAAACCATGTATTCAAACCGAAATTTGAACCCGGTAAGATAAACCAAATTGAGCAGTATTTTATGAAATGCACAACGACTTGGCTGCTGTTTTTGGAACTAGACTTGTCCAAGCCGGTATTGAATAACAAGATCAATGGAACACAGGATATTATAGCGAGAAAGTTGTTTATCGAGGAGGAGAAAACTAGTAGAGACAATGACTGCAACGTTGGCAATAGCAAAGACACTATCGAGCGAAGCGAGATAGTGGACCAGCACTGTCTAAACAGACACGGGCTTAATAGCAAAGACACTATCGAGCAAAGCGAGATACTGGAGCAGCACTGTCTACACTGTCTAAACAGACACGGGCTTAATAGCAAAGACACTATTGAGCGAAGCGAGATACTGGATCAGCACTGTCTACACTGTCTACACAGACACGGGCTTAACAGCAACGTTGGCAATAGCAAAGAAAAGCTTGCAAGTGAGGGACAGTTTGGTAATGAAAAAGTATGGACTTTTCAAATTTGTGATATACCTATTGCAGGAAAGAATCAAAGTTGTCTGCAGCAGACTATATATGAAAGTACCTTGATACACACGCACATTGCCGTCGATAGCCAAGTAGAGAATGAAATAAAAGTAAAGCTAGAAAAGAAACAGAGTGAAGCTGAAGCTGAAGGTGAAGCTGAGCAGAACTTTTCCAAAAAGAGCCAAGAAGAAGAAACAGATGCAATGCAGATTGACTCCATGGAGGGTGGGAAAGGCGGCGGCAATGCTCAACCCGCAATCAAGTCTGAAGATGAGCCCAAAACTGAACTAAAAATTGAACCCAGCACGGCCCCAAAAACCGATCCTAGCATGGTCCCAAAAACTGAACCCAGCACGGCCCCAAAAACTGAACCCAGCACGGCCCCAAAAACTGAACCCAGCACGGCCCCAAAAACTGAACCCAGCACGGCCCCAAAAACTGAACCCAGCACGGCCCCAAAAACTGAACCCAGCACGGCCCCAAAAACTGTCACCAAGCGTAGAAATGACTCCTTTTTGATATTCTTGAACGATTTAGGATACTCGGTGATAAATCAATACTGGGTAAAGGGAGTACGGTTCTTTTATGGTGACATCATAATTGAACTATTTAAAGTGTTCATTCGTGATGACTCTCAGTCAGAAGATGATGATCGAGGAATCAAGTTGAAACTTCTTGATGACTCAAATACTTTCCAAATTAAATGTTATATAAACATTGCCAAATCAACAGAGATTGAGTTGATAAACCAGGGTGTTAAGCATTTAGGACATTTACAGGATCTCATTAAGGGATTATTTTTGTTGGAGATTTCAGATAGAAGTTTTTTGGATTCAAGAGTAACAAATGTAAAGTAATTTCGCTGCGTCTCCTGAAACACTATCGAGCAGAGCGAGATAGTGTTGTAACAAGCTATAAAGTGCTCACTATTGAGAAACTTTCTTTTTCCCTTGGGTTTTGAAGTTATCACTAGTAAATACTCACCCACTCATAATTATACATTATCGATAATGAGTTCAACTCTTTTTTTTTTATACAACATTTGTATCACCAAACGGATTGCCTTCTAAAGACTCCGTAGTATCAGCCTTTTCAAGGCGTGGTCTTGGTTTTCTTTCATTAAACCCACTTTGTAGTTTGTTGGCCACTCGTGATAATGATGGATGTGATACCCTTTCATTTCCGTCCATGGTCACAGACTGTAGCCTTGCAGCAATCAGATCATTTTCCTCTCTTTCTTTCTTCTTCTCTCTCCTCTCCTCCTCCTCCTCTTCCTCTTCCTCTTCCTCTTCAGTGTCATCGCTAGTATAATAGCTTTCATCTGACTCACTTTCTTCTTCTTCCTCATCTTCATCATACTGTGAAGCAGAAACACGACCAGACTTGGCATCGACCTTCTTAAACGAATCAACTAGTTGTTCATTAGCATATATTAACCTAGCGAGAAATTTCTCTTCTTGTTCAACCATTTCGCTTGATTTCTCACTGGGATCACCAGCACCAACAAATTGTAGGTATTTCAATACACTGCGTCTTAATTTCTTACATTTTTCAAATATTTGTAAAATCTCGTCGTCAACTTCCGGTGAATAAATGAGTTTGTTATTGAGTTCAATACAACTAATATTGCATTCGTTTAACAATAAATCTATTTTTGGTGCTTCCAGTCTGTAGTTGATTTGGGGTATGCCGTACTGTTCATCTGCATAAATGATGCCGTTTTTTGATCTCTTTTTCTTCTTTTTCTTTTTTTGAGCATTTGTCGTCTTCGTCTTGTCATTCTTGTCTCTCTTTTTTAATGAATATGGAGATTTGGTGCTTGGACGTGGAGGCGGTGGTGCTTTGGGAGATCTCATATAGCGTGAATTGGAAGGTGGAATAGATGATTGAGACAGTTTTGATGAGCCTCGTTCAGAAATCTCAAAATCATCGGCATATGGGTCTGCACCATTATCGTTGTTATCATTATCATCATCATCGTCATAGTCATTATCGTCATCGTAGTCATAGTCTTGCTCAAAAACATCGTTTCTGTTGCGTCGTGACTTTTCAAGTTTCCTTATTGTCAGCTTTGGCAAGCACCTGTATAATTGTTGCGCAGAACTGTACCCTTCTAATCCTTCAAATTCGGTTTTCCAGCCAATTGCCAAGCCAAGTACACGATTGCGAACTTTACGGTCATAATTACCTCCGTTGGCCAATTTTCCGTGCCCAGTGAGGATTCCCTTCAACACTTCAAGAAGCTTATCGTCGCGCGCAATAGTGGGACCAACTTTCCTTCCCGAATTCAAGAGCAAAAGCTCCAATAACTTCAATGCGCGGAGCTGTTCACTCACCGAATTGCCATACTTGATTTTTTTCCTTATAGCTCTTGCAGCTTCCGTAGCTCCTGAATTTGGTTGAATTTTGATCAATTCAAGCAAATCCGCTAAATATAATTCCATACTATCATCAATATCATCTCTATTCTTCGAGAGCTGGTTAATTTTGATAGTGATGGAAGTTACAGTCTTGTCTCCAAAGATCGCCATACCTAGTAACAACAGTAAAAGCCTACTAAACCAAACTACCCTGGTCAAATTTGTTTGGTACCTACCTATATCTATATATAGAGAGAGATTAGAGAAAATAAATTGCTGAAAAATGTCCTAAAGGGGTAATCTCGTAAACATCATCACCAATAATTTTCAGCCGCTTTAAAACTACGAAACGAGTATATCACTCTTTCCCAATAGACGTTTGTCATAGAACTCTAGGATCTATAACAGAACTTCCGGAACCCCATCACCATCAGGCCTCTTTTTTTAATACAATAATATGTCTACTCAACTGCTCTTTGATATTTAACTCTTTGATGAACCACCAATCACCATATCTAATAGTGTCAGTGACAGCTATCACCGATCACCATCACCATCAAACCTCTTTCTCCAATACAAAAATATGTCTGCTCAACTGCTCTTCTCTTCGATATCACCAGTCCGAGTCTTCGATGCCCATGCCATGCCATGCCATGCCCATGGGGGGGGAAGGGCCTTTTACTTGTGCGAATCACGTGATTAGATACAGAGGAAAAAAAAAAAATTTTCAATGCTTTGGATGAAGCAAAGAGCAAAGACAAGATGACCTATCTTTACCTTGAGTTTTTATTGGCAAACCATAGCTGGGAATTCATAGCTAGGTGGGAAACAAGAGCTGAGAAGTCGTAAGATTGGTCAATATCTGCAATGTCGGATCAGTACAATCAGGACAAATTGAATCAAGACTTTCAAAACACGTCACTTGGGGATGGAAGAGATGTGCAGTACCTGCAACTGCAACTGCAACTGCAACTGCAAAACAGCTACAATCCAACTCAAGCCCAAGCGTTTGTACCATCTGGTGGGTATCAGCAATATCAAAGCTACCAACCCCAACAGCAATATGGTGCATACAATCAAGGAGGATATCAACAGAGTTACAACAGTAGAGGCGGTTACCAACAATATAATAATAGAGGTGGGCAACAACAGCAGCAACAATACAACAGCAGAGGAGGATATCAGGGTCTGCAACAATACAGCGCTTACAATCCGCAACAGCAATATGGTGGGTACCTGGCATACAATCCACAAGCCGCCACTTTTGGTGGTGCCCCTCCTCCTCCTCCTCAATCCCAGCAACAGACATCTATGTCCTTAGCTGATTTCGAAAAACAGAAACAAGAAAAACAAGCAAGTTTGAACAAACCAGTCAAAAAAACATTAAAATTGGCCCCATCCTCGGGAATCAAGTTGGCTAATGCTACAAAGAAAACAGAAGGCACTGCTCTTGCTTCTGGATCTACACCTGCATCCAAGGAATCATCGCCTGCGCCAATAGCCGAGGTGAAAAAGGATGACGTCGCTGCCCCAGCAACTGCAACTGCAACAGCTGCAAAGGCAGAAGAGAAGAAAGAAGAAGCATCTACAGATGGAGCTTCGGCACCAGTTGAGAGCTCATCTACCGCATCTGCTGCACCTGCCGCTTCCAACACGGATAACGTCCCTGCTCCGAAATCAACAACAAACGCATCAACCGCTGACACTTTAGTTAAAGAACAATTGGATGAAGTTGATGAAGAAGTTGTAAAGGATATGTTTGGAGGTAAAGATCACGTTTCCATTATTTTTATGGGACATGTTGATGCAGGTAAGTCCACTATGGGTGGTAATATCTTGTACTTGACCGGATCTGTTGATAAACGTACAGTTGAAAAGTACGAAAGAGAAGCTAAGGATGCAGGTAGACAAGGTTGGTATTTGTCATGGGTTATGGATACCAACAAAGAAGAAAGAAATGATGGTAAAACTATTGAAGTTGGAAAAGCATATTTTGAAACTGAGAAGAGAAGATATACAATTTTAGATGCGCCAGGGCATAAGATGTATGTTTCTGAAATGATTGGTGGTGCATCACAAGCCGATGTTGGTATCTTAGTCATCAGTGCAAGAAAGGGTGAATATGAAACAGGATTTGAGAAAGGAGGACAAACTAGAGAGCATGCTCTTTTGGCAAAGACTCAAGGTGTCAACAAGATCGTTGTTGTTGTTAATAAGATGGACGATCCAACAGTCCACTGGTCACAAGAAAGGTATAATGAATGTACTTCCAAATTGGGTATGTTTTTGAAAGGTATTGGATACAACAAGGAAGATGTTACTTGCATGCCTGTTTCTGGGTATACTGGTGCAGGTTTGAAAGATCGTGTTTCTCTGGAAGATTGCCCATGGTATAAAGGACCATCTTTATTGGAATTTTTGGACAATATGGATACAATGAACAGAAAAATCAATGGACCTTTCATGTTACCAATATCTGGAAAAATGAAAGATATGGGTACTGTTGTTGAAGGTAAAATCGAATCGGGTCATATTAGAAAAGGCGGGAACTTGATATTGATGCCTAATAAAGTCCCAATTGAAATATTGACTATATACAATGAAACCGAACAAGAATGTGATACTGCATTCAGTGGAGAACAAGTGCGTTTGAAGATCAAGGGTGTTGAAGAAGAAGATTTACAAGCTGGTTACGTTTTGACCTCACCTAAGAATCCAGTTAAAACGGTGACACGTTTCGAAGCACAAATCGCTATTGTTGAATTGAAGTCGATTTTATCAAATGGGTTCACTTGTGTTATGCATATACATACTGCAATTGAAGAAGTTAAGTTTGTTGAGTTGAAACATAAATTGGAAAAAGGTACCAATAGGAAATCCAAAAAACCACCAGCATTTGCCAAAAAGGGTATGAAGATTATTGCCGTTTTGGAAACGAATGAGTCCGTTTGTGCCGAAACTTATAATGATTATCCGCAATTGGGTAGGTTTACTTTGAGGGATCAAGGTACAACTATTGCTATTGGTAAGATTACTAAATTGTTGAAGTAGAAGAAATAAGAATAAAAACTACTAAACAGAAAGTTGAGACTCAAGAGTATGCATTTACAAATACACATAAATATCTACATATATATATCTATATATATGGTAATCTATACCTGAGATGCTTTTAATCTAAGTATTAGTTGGTTGAACACCTCAATCAAGTTTTCGATTCCCTTTAGAATATTTTCATCAGGGGCTTCTTCTTCAACATGTTTTGCGTGAGCAAAATCTATAAAGTGTAATCCGCTCAATCTCTTTAACTTGTGGATGAATGCTTTTTCACCATCTTTCTCTCTTTTTTCTTCTTCTTCTTCTTCTTCTTCTTCTTCTTCTTCTTCTTCTTCTTCTTCTTCTTCGCTCTCATTCTCTGACTCATATATTAAAGGGTTAACCCTATCATATGATTCTGTATCTACCAGCTCCCAAACTTGATTATCTCCCTCATAAGTAAACAATAAGCTTCCTGAAAAAACACGTATTTTGTAGCTCAATAAGCAATTATAGAGCAACTGTAGCCTTTGGTGAAATCTGGAGACTAAAAAAAGTGCTTCAGAAGGATTCAATGTATTTGTGAAATATAATAGCATCGCATCGACTATATTTTCTTTCCCAAGGGAGCGTCCAAAGTACTTGTTAAATTCGAGGTACGTGTGTTTTTCCAGCAGTATTGAACCATTTCTTGGTTTGACATTTTCCTTTTTGCTTGTCAAATTGATAGTATTTTCATTCATGTTTTCAAATAGTTCTTTGTCCGGTTTAGTTTGGCTAGTACCATTGTAGACCTTCATTCCACATATTCGGAACGATAAAAGTCCACTAGTTGTAGAGTTGCAGACTCTTTGCAATCGTTCAACTTTTTCCTTTGAAGTAACGGCGTCATCAGTAAGTTTTGATCCAAGCTTAATGTCTAGAATACTTGGATGTCTATAATTGTGGTAAAGATTTTGCAAAACTATAAACTTTTGTTCAACCTTGACTTTTTGTTGTGAAGTAACCTTTGGAGATGAGTTTGAGAGTGCAGCTGACTGGTTTGACAACTGGTTTGTTAGTGCCCCTTCATTCAAAACTCCATACCAAGTAGGCATCCAATGGGATAACAATGAACCCAACAATACATCTTCACCTTGTTTTTCAGCTTGCTTCTGTGTCTCTAGATCAACTGCTATCGTTTGAGCATAAAAGTCGACTTCCTGCTTCGTTGTCGGCTTTATGAATAGTGAGTCCAGTGTCATACATCCGTCGTGTCCTGCTGCTTGATGTTCAGAGGGTATGAATCCAGACTCGAACCCTTGCAGCAACCCCATGGCACCAATTGGAGCACCTCCTATAGCAGCATCGCCAATCGCAGCACCCCCTATAGCAGCACCCTCTATAGCAGCACCCCCTATAGCAGCACCCTCTATAGCAGCATCGCCAATCGCAGTACCCCTCATAATCCACCGATTTAAGAGGTAAAGATTTCAAACTAAAGCGCGGCCTTTCAAAAGAAATCAATCTAGTAAGCAAAGAGAAATAAAATGAACAAACAAACACAAGACAAGACTTTAATACTACAAGGACCCAAAAACACCAGATTGAAAGGGATTCGAGAGATGATTGCAAATCAACAATGAAGCTCAACTCTCAACAATAAAGCTCAACTCTCAAGTTGAAAAATACTCTCTAGTAATACTCTCAAGTTAAAAAGATACTCTCTCTGGCTTTTGTCTTGAATGTGTTTACTGTATTGCTTGTTTGTTTGTTTTTTGAGAGTTTTCTGGATGTTGATGAAGGCTCGACACTTTCGAGCAGAGTAAGATAATGTTGTAACAAGCTACAAAGTGCTACTCCACTATCAAGCAAAGCGAGATAGTGTTATAACAAGCTACAAAGTGTTGCTAAGCGAGATAGTGAAGCAACATTGAGTAGAAAAGCTGTTCGGTGCTGCTCCACTATTGAGCAGAGCGAGATAGTGGAGCAGTACTGACTAGCTTGTTATAATACTATCAAGTAACACCAAATGGTACCAAATAGTAACTAGCCAGTAGTATCTATATAGTACTTAGTTAATACTACTTAGTTAATACTACTTAGTTTATACTACTTAGTTTATAGTAATTAGTCAGTGTGCTCCGTTATCTCGCTTCGCTCAATAGCTCGATAGTGGGCAGCTAGTCAGTGTCGCATCTCTTGTGCTAAAAAAAGAAAACAATACAAAATGCGACTGTTGACATTACAAAAATCCTAATTTATCCGAATTCGGTATAAAGATTTCGATAGTGTCGCGGGCATAGAGAAGACACAAAGAGGCGCTCAGCAATGAGAGGTAGCCTTTGACCTCAGTAGCTTCGGACCCCTAATTGTAGTGTGGTTCTCCTCTCTCTAGTGCTCTCTCTCTAGTGCTCTCTCTAGCGCTCTCTCTCTAGTGCTCTCTCTCTAGTGTTCTCTCTCTACTATCTTGTTCCTCGATAGTAGAGACGGCAGAGTGAATTTATTGTTACAACTTTATTTTTATCAGCCGAGTTTTTACAGTGAGTGGAAAAGTAAATAGCAAAAGTAACTATAAGGTGGTGGACTCTAACCACTTTGTGATTACACTGTTTCTCTCTCAGTCTTTTCTTCACTCATCCAAGGCAAAGTCAAACCGGCCATACTGGCCTTGGCCCCATCGATTCGAGGACTCCTCTAATCTCTAACATAACTTGGCAGGGCTGGCAGTATTTTCCAAGGTCGTGTTATTCGGTACATAACCTAAGCGCTCTTTTTTTTTTTTTTTTTTACTTGTCAACGGTTAAACGAAAAAGTGAAATTTTTATGTTTTGTGGATATATAGAGAGATCTTTATAACAGGAGTTGTATTGTTTTATTTAGCTTTACCTTAGTAGGCTTTGACAGAGAGTAAGGAGGCTATATAAGTAGTAGAAAAAGGGCAGAGGAAGAAAAAGAAAAAGGGTAGAAAGTAGACAGAAGTAGCAGCATCATGAGTAATCCGTATAAGGTACAGGATTTCAATAATCAAAACTCGTATGAGATGAATAATGTTGGTGGTGACAGTAGCTACAACTATGACACGAAGCAGTATTCTTCATCGAATGAAGATGATTTTGTTCAGTTTATGAATGAGATACAGGATATTAATGCCCAGTTGGACAACTACTCCCAGATTATCAATGTAATTGATAATAAACAAAAATCTTTCTTATACAATATAGATTTAAATGACGAGGATACTGAGTATTCTTCTCAGCAGATTGATAGTCTAGTTGGTGAAGCACAGTCCTTACAGTTGGACTTGAAAACTCGTATCAAGAATGTGCAAGTACAAGCTATCCACTCAAAAGATCAGACCAAAGTTGATCAAGCAGAAACTTGTAGGAAGAGATTTCTTGATTTGATTCAGGACTATAGGTTAGTTGAAGCTAAGAACAAAGAACAATCAAAAGAACAAGCAGCTAGACAGTACCAAATCATTAAGCCCGATGCTACTCAGGAAGAGATCAATGCAGTTGTTGAAGATGGCGGAACTCAATATTTCCAGCAAGCTTTGTTGCAAAGCAATAGAAGAGGCGAGGCTCGTTCTGTATTAGACGAAGTTCAAGTGAGACACCGTGAATTATTGAAGATGGAAAAAACAATGGCTGAATTAACCCAATTGTTCCATGATATGGAAGAATTGGTTATTGAGCAAGATCAACCAATTCAGCATATTGAAGAGCAAGTTGGTACTGCACAACACGATATCGAGCAAGGTGTTGGCCATACTGATAAGGCTGTGTCCAGTGCCAGATCTGCAAGGAAAAAGAAAATATGGTGTGCTGTTATTTGCATTATATGTATTATAATTGTTGTTGTTATTATTGCCGCATATTTTGGATCGAAGAAGTAGAAGTAGTGAGAGAGGAGAGAGGAGAGAGCGTTGGGTGTTGTCGTTACTGCTGTGCTATTGATGTACTTGGTGGTAGTTTAGAAGTTGTTTGTTTACTTTTGGTGTTGAAGTTACATTTGTATACTAATCAGGAACAGTTTTTACAAAATTTTTAATATTGATAATATAATCATTGTGAAGTGTTTTTCTAGAGGAGAAAACAAGCATTCGATATCCTATCAACACTATCGAGCAGAGCGAGATAGTGTTGTAACTAGTCATCGCTTCGCTCCCAACACTATCGAGCAGAGCGAGATAGTGTTGGGAGTGGAGCAACACTTAGTAGCTTGTTACAACACTATCTCGCTCTGCTCGATAGTGTTGTAATTAGTCATCATCTCGCTCTGTTCGATAGTGTTGTAACAAGCTACTAAGTGTTGATAGTGTCGATAGTGTCTGTAAATGCTAGTCCTCATCGGTTGTTTGGTAGCGTTAATTTTTCGCGATGAGATGGAATTTTTTTTTTCTTTTTCAATTATGATCCATCTTTACTTGACTTATCCACCGTAAGAAGTTGGTACATTTTTTTGTCAACTAGACATAATGGGTAGGATTAAGAAGAAAGGTACATCGGGAAATGCTAAGAATTTCATTACTAGAACTCAAGCCATCAAAAAGCTTCAGATTTCTTTAGCCGATTTCCGTCGTCTTTGTATTTTCAAAGGTATTTATCCAAGAGAACCACGTAATAAAAAGAAAGCTAACAAAGGATCAACTGCACCTGTTACGTTCTATTATACAAAGGACATTCAGTATCTTTTACATGAGCCCGTTTTGGATAAGTTCAGACAGCACAAGACGTTTGCAAAGAAATTGCAACGTGCCTTGGGTAAAGGGGAGATCTCAGCTGCATCTAAATTGGATTCAAATAGACCAAAATATACATTAAACCATATAATCAAAGAGAGGTACCCCACGTTTCTTGACGCATTACGAGATTTGGATGATCCTTTGAATATGTTGTTCTTGTTTAGTAATATGCCTGCTACTGATAAGGTCTCAACAAAGATCATTGGAGAAGCTGAGAAATTGTGTAACTATTGGTTAGCCTATATTTCAAAAGAGAGGTTATTGAAAAAGATGTTTGTTAGTATAAAGGGTGTGTATTACCAAGCAGTGGTAAAGGGGCAAGAAATCAGATGGTTGGTACCTTATAAGTTTCCTACAAATATTCCTACTGATGTTGATTTTAGAATCATGTTAACGTTTTTGGAGTTTTATTCAACATTGGTAAATTTTGTTTTATTCAAGTTATTTAATGAGTCAGGGTTAATTTATCCACCACATATTGACATCAATAAGTTGAAAGGAGCTGGTGGATTGAGCAGTTATGTTATACAGTCAAAGGAAGGAAAGATTGCACCTTTGTTATTGCAGCAAAAGGCAGAAGAGAAGGGCGACGCGAGTGAAGAAGGCAAAAAGCTATCCACCGAAGAAATTCAAAGAGCTATGGAAGCAGATAAAAGTAAAGAAAAGGGGGGAGAAGAAGAGGAAGAAGAAGAAGGAAAGAACTCTCAAGAGGCACAACCAAATGTTGAAGATATTGAATTGGATGAGTTCCAAAACGGGTCAACAAACAACACAGCAGATACATTAATCCAGCCATCGAGATTCTCATCGCCGACATCCCAGCTTTTCTCTAAATTTGTTTTCTTTATTGGAAGGGAAGTTCCTTTAGATATTCTAGAATTTGTCATATTATCATGTGGTGGGAAAGTCATTTCAGAAATAAGTCTCGATGATTTGAAAATGAATGATCCAAAATTGTATGCATCCTTAGATATGGATTTGATAACTCATCATATTTGCGATAGAAACAAAATAGCACTGAAAATTCCAGGAAGAACTTACATACAACCACAATGGGTTTTTGACAGTATCAATAAACAAAGATTGGCTAATGTTGGTGAATACGCGCCGGGAGAAACATTGCCACCGCATTTGTCACCATGGGGAGATGCACATGGATACAATCCACTTGAGACTGAGGATGTTGAAAAGAAACAAGAAGAAAACAAGGAGAATGAGGAGGAGAATGAGAATGAGAAGAAGGAGGAGGAGGAGGAGCCTGCTAACCTTATCATGCTTAGTAAAAAGAAGAGAAAACTTTACGATAAGATTAAACATTCTCGTAATAAAAAGAGCGAGAGAATTGAGGAGTTGACCAGGAAAAGGAAGGAATTAGAAAAGAAGTAATGTAGAAAGGAAAGGATTCTTTTCCTTTTTTCATACTAAAAGAAAGCTTTACTTATGGGTGAAACCACAATAAACTCTTTTATCCCTTGACTAATCAATTTATAAACTTGAAAACCCTTATTTATATCGCTAACAATTCGATGTTGCAAATAGACAGAGCGGGTAGACTAAATGTCTCTAGTTAGCTCTAAATAGTACTGACCTAGACTTGCGGGAAGCTGTTATCTTGTCTCCAACCTCTTGTTATATCCATCCTCCTAATCCTCCTCCTCCTCCTCCTCATCCTCCTAGTGCTACCAAGTGTTCACGAATATCAATGCAAACGGAGAAAACGAAAGGTTAAAGGTTTAAACTATATGGAGAGAGGTTACTTTTACTTGTCATATTTATACCCAGCAAGGTCCTGGTACAAGTGTTTTTGCATGTCGACGTACAAACGACTACCGACGGGTAATAAGTATCTGCCAAAATTTCTTCAACAACCAATTTCTTCGTCTATTATATCTCTACCATCTATCGACCAGTTTCAATTAGACTATATAATAAACAATATATTACCAGATGAGGCAGAGGATCTTATTCATAACCTTTTAGCAGTTTCCAACAATCTCAAAAATGACCTTCGAGCGGAGATCAAGTACAAATTGTCAGTAGAACAGAAGATTCAATTCAAAAATATTGCAATCTGCAAACAGGCAGACGAACTACATCAGAAGATCAAAAAGAGGAAAAAGAAATTGGCAGCACAAGTTTATTTAAACAGTGGTGGAGAAGACATTGGAAGGAAATTATTGGATGCTGGTACAAGAACTAAAAAATTGATCCAAAAACTTCAAGCGATTGAGAAAAATAGGGGTCAGCTGGTTAAAAGACTGAAGTACCACCTTTCCAACTTAAAACTCGAAAATGAGACAGCACCAGAGGAGATTGTTGATAACAGCAATAGTGACACCGAGAGAGCTCGTAAAGTGTCTTCTATTGAAGAACCACTTGTTCCAGTTGCTGTAAAGGAAAACGAGCATGCACTTGTTGAGGTGCCCCAACGAGAAGCTAACCATGCACTTGTTGAGGTGCCCCAACGAGAAGCGAACCATGCACTTGTTGAGGTGCCCGAACGAGAAGTTAACCATGCACTTGTTGAGGTGCCCCAACGAGAAGCTAACCATGCACTTGTTGAAGGTAAAGATAGTAGCCATGTGATTCCTCATGAATCAACACCTCCAGAGGATGGAAAAGAGGCAAAAGAAGAAGAAGAAAATTTCGAGTCCAATTTTGAAACATTCATGTCAACCACTATTTCCAAATATAGGGACTTAAAAACTAGGAAACACTCCACTGATGATAGCAGCACTCTCAATGGCAGTATAGCCACAAAGTCGACTATCGCTCCCTCTCCCATGAATAATCCACTACATTTGCTTTATTCGCAATTAATAACCAATCCCAAGTATATAAATCCAATATCAAAACCGATTCCAAAACACCTAAATCTCCCATACAAATCGTCGCCCACTATTGAAGCCACGTCTCAAACAACACATTATAAGAAACTACGAATAAATGGGAATCTTCTTGATACTAATTATTTTAAACGTTTGCAACTACGAGAAACTCAACAAGCGGCGGCAGCAGCAGCGGCGGCGGCGGCGGCGACAGCGACAGCAGCGACAACAGCGACAGCAGCGACAGCATCAGTTGATCAAGAGTTTGATGAAATTACTGACCAAACCGGTGAAGATGTTTGGAACTCATCGGGAATGGGTATTGATGAGAATAGTCAAAACGGGACTCTTACACTGGATGAATCAATCAGCGGAAAGTCAAATAATTTCATAGAAGACTCATTATCTTCTTCTTCAGATGATGATGATGATGATGATGATGATGATGATGACGATAAAACAACCACTAATAAATACTTCAACCTTGTGAAACAGAAGGCTAAACGTAAAAGTAAAAAATCAATACAAAAAGAACAATCGCCTACTCCAAAACACAAACCATCACATCATATCTTAAAGCCCAAGAGGTCGATTTTGAAAACAAGCAATGGATTCCTGCAAAGGAAGCAACCAAGTTGCAGTCATCACACGTATATGGTGGAAACAAGCGCTCTATCAGAAGTGAGCAATGCCTATGGATCTATGCGGCAAAGTTCGATCACTGACTTCAATGCACAGGGGACAATTGTAAGTAGGGGGGACGCAAACACAAAAGTTACATCTGATGACAGAGGTAATTGCAAGGATAAAAAATCCGATGCCGACGAAAGTGACACTAATAAAAATAATTACTCAACATCACAATCCGTCTCACTTTTAAAGAACCTCATCTAGCATTTTGGTTTGGTAATGGTGAGATCTCTTGACCATCCTACTCAGAGTGACAACTAGGGGTTTGTCATTATAGTTGCAAATTTTTTTATTTTTCTTTTTGCAACTTCACCATTTTACACGACTATGGTTTAGGTAAAAAAAAAAATTAATGGCATTCCATCTCTGCTCAAGAAATCCACTTTGGTTAAAAGGGGAAGTTAGAAGTTGAGGAAGGAAATAACCCAACACGAATAGATATACTGCACAGCCATGGTATCTGTCAGGAAAAGAAAGATGGCCAGGTCATCTGTGAGGAAAAATACGAGAAGGAGGAAAGATAAGCAGCGTGATATCAACATTTATTCAAATCCAATTATTGCTAAAAACTGGGATAAGTCATTAACATTACAGCAAAACTACAAACGATTGGGATTAAGAGCGAAATTGGGTAGTATGGCAGGTGGTGTTGAAAAAAAAGTTAGGACATTAACAGATTTGAGAAATAATACCAAACTGTCTGGCAGTACTACGGTGACTCCTACTATTGAAGATATTGAAAATACCAATGATCCTGCAAGGATACCTCAGGGAGAGGCTAGAATTGTTAGAGATCCGAATACTAATGAAGTGTTGAGGGTGATATATGGTACCATGAAAGTCGACGAAGACGATGAGAGCAACGAGAATGAGCAGACAGCAGGAAAGAGTTCGATTATCAAACAACTAGAAGAATATGCCCAGCAGAATAGCAAAATCAAAAAGGAGAGACACCAATCGGAGAGGGAAAATGAATGGTTGAAATCATTGTACGAGAAATACGGCGACGATTACGAGCGAATGAAATGGGATAAGAAATTGAATATATATCAACAATCAGCAGGGGACTTGAAAAGAAGAATAACAAAATGGAAAAAGGCTAATGGTGTATAATAATAAAAATGGTGTTGGTTATACGTTTGAACTAAAGTAAATAATGAAAATACAAATATACATTATTTAGATCCGGGACGGTAGATTTTTGTCTAATATTTTTTCTATTATATTATTCATAATTGGTTTCAAGTCCAGTTTCTCATATAAATCAATCAACTTCTTCCCCTTTGTATCCTCCTGTAGCTCTACCATCTCAACAAATTGAGGATCGATTGGAATATTTGCCAAATAAGTCAAATCCAAGCTTTGTGCTAGTTCCTTCCCTCCACCGCTGGAGAAGATATTGGTGCATTCAGAACAATAAGGACATACAAACCCAGACATGTTCTCCACGATTCCCAATATTGTGAAATTCACTTTTTTACAAAAATTAATCTCTTTGCGCACATCAGCTGTGGCCACTTGTTGAGGTGTAGTGACTATGATTGCACCATCTATGGGCTGCGCATACCTCAACTCTTCAGCAATGGCGATATGTTCATCTGACGTTCCTGGAGGTGTGTCTATAAGCAAATAATCAAGCGGCTCGCTCTTAGAATCACTCCATACTATATCCTTGAGAAATTGTTTAATCATGGCGGTTTTCTTAGGACCTCTCCAAACAACAGAATTACCTCGGTCTGCTATCAAAAACCCCAATGACATGAGCTTCAAGCTACCTCCAGATTTAGTATCCGATTTGTGGTATACTTGCACGGGAACCCATCCTCTTGTTGATTGGCGTACCTGTTTCATTTCAACTCCAAACATACGTGGTAATGAAGGTCCTGTTAGATCAATATCTAGGACTCCTACGCGATAACCTTTATTGACTAACGTGATTGCCGCTTGTGTAGTTACTGACGATTTCCCCACACCGCCTTTTCCTGAAAGAATAAGAATAACATGCTTAACTAAATCGAGCGATTTCGGTATCTCCTGAGACATCTGAAACTTTCCTCTCCTTTCCCTTTCCTTTCTTTAACTTATATATCAAGATATATCATCAAAGGTTTTATGAGATGCGATAAAAACACAATTTTTTTTCCTCTCTCTCTCTCTCTTTCTCTTTCAATTGTAACACCACAGCGATATCAAACCCGTGTAACACCCAGCAGTTTTTTTTTTAATAGGATCTATGACATCGCGATATTCAGCCGATAGCGCATACCAGCGAGATAGGACTCAGTTATTTCCATCTAGGATACCGCTGAGAGCAGCCACAGCCTCACCATACGACGCACAATCTTCTAATGACAAGTATAGCGAGTCCCTACTCAGCACTCTAGAGTCTCAAAACGATGAGGAAATGGATGTAATGGGACAGAAAATACACATGTTGAAAAACTTGGGCGAAAGAATGGGGGTCGAAATAAACAAATCAATTAATATGAACCAAGATATAACTGACCGATTTGAAAGAGGTAAAATAACATTGAAAAATACATTTAACAAAATGGTGGTTATGAGTCAAAAAGCTGGGATAAGTTGGAAAATGTGGTTGCTAGTATTTACAATCGTGTTTGTCTTCTTCTGGTATATATGGTTCTTGAGGTGAAGTGGGTCAAGTGGGTGGGGTGTATGGCATTTTTCAAAGCATAATACATAAACTATTTTTTTTCTTTTATATATAAAAATTTTGACATATAAAAAACCTTTAAACAGGGCTTTAACCAATAATCTCATCAACATAAACTCATATTGCAGTTTCTTTAGCCGTTTCGTTCGAGTCGTTGACTGCATTCTTTTCTTCTACCAAACCATTGGATGCATCATCTTGTGGTTGTGGTTGTTTCCTGCCGCCTCTATCGCCGCCTCTATAGCCTCCTCTATCGCCTCCTCCATCGCCGCGTCTACTGCCACCTCTGCCTCTACCTCCTCTTCCTCTTTTCCGGAACCCAGGCAAGTTTGTCCTTTTTGGAACAACTTTGATTTCTCTACCTCTAAACTGTTTACCGTGCAATTCGTCAACAGCCTTTTGTACGCTATCCAACTTCTCAAACTCGACATACGCATAACCTTTTGGTAATCCGGAAAATTTATCAAACAAAATAGTAACTCTCTCAATTATACCAACAATATGGAAAAATTCCTCCAATTGCTCGGGCGTCGATTGGTACTCAACGTTACCGACATATATCGACCTCGAGTCGATTTCCTGTTGCCTAGCTAATCTTTCAGCTTTTTCTTCCTCAGTTTCTGGAACTCTGGTGGTTGATCCCCTTCTTACTGGTTGAGAAGCTTCTTTTTCCTGCGTTACTTGTTCTTGAGACATTTCTTTTTTTCACCAATTGTCTATGATACTACAACTTCCTACTGGTTTGTCTCTAAATCTCTTTATATCTATGAGGTCGTCTAACAAAAACACCTATGTTTTTTCAATTAATAACCCCCTATTATCCTTCCTTCTTCTTCCTTCTTTAGCTTCCCTCTAATACACGAAATCGCCTAAATTTCTCGTTCCCTGAAACAGACTCTCTTACCCAGAAAAGAAAAGAACTACAAAGTCACAGTTTTTGCCCTGATAAATTTAATACTCTCCTGATAATTCGTATCAATATTTTCCTTCTCTATTTTTCTTCTACAGCGAAAAATGTGTGAGTTTGGTCCCGCTACCAAATAATATAGAAAAAGGCCTGGCAATTCGTCTAATGAATGTAATCAATTATAATAGAGTAAACAGTATCAATGATTACCTCTGTTTCGTAAAATGGTATCAATTATAATAGAGTAAACAGTATCAATAATCTAATTCTATTTCACTGCATCGTATTTACTCTAAAGATTTTGTTCAAGAGATTATCCAATATTAAAATTTTTTTATGTCAAAATAAACAATTTCAAAATTGGGGTCTTGTAAGGTACAAAGTTTCCCCTTTTCCCTGTATCATCAGACTTCAACAAATGCTCTATAAGTGGTAAACTCTTCACTTTGATCCTTATCCGCTATCAATTCAATTTCAGTGTTGGGCGCAATAAAGTAGACATTTCCAGTATTGATTCTCTGTTTCTTGGCCTCCTCAACTCCTACTTGTTGAATGTAGCCGGTCCCGCTAGTGGCAATCATAATTGAAGGGCCATCAATGGCTTGGAAAGTTTCTTTACCGCCAATTTTGTTAAACACGGTTTGTAAAACGGAAAATTCTTCAATTGGAGGATCAAACAAGCTGACAGTTTTGGCATCACCTTGGGCTCTAGGAAATGTTTTTGGTTTCATCTTTTGTTCTTCTACAGGCTCGCAAGTATAGGTCAACATCTCAACTAAAGTTTTCACATCTTTGAACTTTGGGGTAAAACCTGCACGCACAACATTATCAGAAGCAGCCATACATTCAATAATGTCACCGCTGATATAAGCATGTGGATCTTTGGCTTGTAAGAACATTGCTTCTCCCTTGTTCAAATGAACGTGATTTAACAAAATACACCCACAGAATAATCCAATATCATTGGGAAATTGTTTGTTCATTCTCTGGATCAATTCTGGTAGCCTAGAGTCTAATTTGGAAAAGATTTCTGGCTCGTCTATACTTGATTGGACTAGGCTTGCTGTTTCCCTTTTCATTGTCTCTTCGTCAGTGTTCATTAATTTACCAAACACTTTACGTAATAGTTGGCGATTCGTAATATCCTCTAAAGATCCCTTTTTGGCATTTGGTTTTACCAGATCAATAAATTGCCTACTTATATCTTCACCAATGATTCTTCTCAATTCCTGTACAGTTTCCAAACTTTTTGCTAATTGGTCGACTGGTTTAAACCCACAGAATGCTTCGAAATCGGTAACAGCAATAGCCATTTCCGGCTTGTGGTTGTCATCGGGATAGTTTTTGGGATCCTGCTTATGTATTTGTGCAGCCAATTTCTTATCTGGATGAGCTTGAATCGATAATACTTTTTCAATACTTAAAACCTTAAATAAGAACGGAATCTCCTTTGATGAACCAAACTTGGCAATTATTGAGTCTCCTAATAATTCCTTTGGATGCTCAGTAATTAAGTCACGTAGGGTTTCGTTAAAATCAATAGCTTTTGATGGGACACTTGGGTGAGTTCCCATCCATAACTCGGCATATGGTTTATCTTCATCAATCTCGATTGAAGAATCTGAATTCTTAACAAATTGGGCTACAGCTGATGATGAACCAAGTTTACCCCAATCGTAGTTCTGATAACCGCACTCAAGTCTGAAAACTTTCTCTAACATATCGAGCAACCAAATGTAGAAACCAAAGTTCCTAATGATGTTTGAATACAAGCCTTTATCAAAAGAAAGAAAAGAACAAGTGAAAAAAAAAAATACTTCAACTTACTTGTAAACGAAAAAAATTATAAAGCCAAGTCATTGAAAAGAGAACGAGGAAGAGGTATTGAAGAAGACGAGAAAGAGGTATTGAAGAAGATGGGAAAGAGGTATTGAAGAAGACGGGAAAGAGGTATTGAAGAAGACGGGAAAGAGGTATTGAAGAAGATGGGAAAGAGGTATTGAAGAAGACGGGAAAGAGGTATTGAAGAAGACGGGAAAGAGGTATTGAAGAAGATGGGAAAGAGGTATTGAGAAAGCTAGATTTGTCCCTATTGCAAAGTAAAGGACAAATACTAATGTGTTCTATGTACTGTATTCTGTATTCTATTTTAGTTTGGGATGTTAACTTGTTCAACCATCCATCGAAAACCATGTTGGTCGCGCTTTCAACGAGTCAATAAGAATGTTACCATTACCAATATGGTTTTCAGGTAAACGCGCTTTTTTTTTATTTTTCTTTGAATCTCAACACTCGTGGATAGAGTAGAGTTTGATGTATGGTGTGCGTGCGTATAGGTAGGGTTGAGAGGGTAGCTCGAAAAAGCATTTGAAACAAAGAGCAGCAGGAGCAGTAGACAAGAGTAATAAAGTAGTAATACAGTATTATGTACAAGTTAGCTTTTTCAAAAGAGTAAGATGAAGCAATTGTCTCCTACACTATCGACACTATCGACACTATCGACACTATCGAGCAGAGCGAGATAGTGGAGCAGCACACTAGCTGCCACTAACACTAGCTATCACTGACACTAGCTGCCACTAACACTAGCTATCACTAACACTAGCTATCACTAACACTAGCTGCCACTAACACTAGCTGCCACTAACACTAGCTGCCACTAACACTAGCTGCTATAACACTAGCTACTATAACACTAGCTGCTATAACACTATCGACACTATCAACAAAGCTTTTTAAATGCTTTACTTTAATTTTCTCAAAAGGGTAGTAATACATGCAAACATTCTATCAACTGACTCCACTATCTCGCTTCGCTCGATGGTGGAGCAACACTAGCTCTTGTCAAATGTCTCGTTTTTAATCCTTCTTGGGAAGAAAACTATAATTGTTATTACCATTGTTAACTCCAATGATCCCCTGATGTCTATACTTTCTTCTCTTGAAAACCCTTTGTACACTAAGAGCAGTCACAACAACACAGTAAATAGCCAGAAGAAGCACAAAATACCCAAATAATCCCCAATCATGAACATAATCCATAAAATGGAAAACTCCTCCATATGGACTGCCAACCAACTTAAAATGCGTCTTCCCATCCTTGTGCAATAATGACATCAACACCAGCTTGAGTTGCTTAGGGTCATTTTGCAATTTATCCCCCTGCAAATCAGTATTCCAAAAGTACCTGTTATCTCTACTCAAAACAACTGCTTCTCCAACTCGGTAATCCTGAGGATTGATCTTCCACCCTTTAACGTATTTGAATCGTCTCGGTTTCTGAGACACGTCAATAAATGTGAAAAACACATCATCGTTATTCCAAATATGTGGTACTTCTCTCCGCATTTCCATCAAAATGCTGTCCGTGTCTGCATCATGCTCTTTCAACTCTTTTACTTTGTCTTCCTTTTGCTGCCGTTGTTCTAATATTTTTTCAAAATAATGCTGTTTTTTGAGAAAATTGTACTCGTGTGCAATTAATGACAACTTGTACAACTGTTCATCCGTTTGTTTTGCATTTGTCAAATCAACAAATATAATCACAACTTTGGCATCTTTAAGCAGAACTGGGTCATTCGTTGAAAAGTATGTCGAAACTAGCTCGGGAGTCAATTCTCCGTACAATGGATACTGTGCCTTGTTAAGGAATGTCTCAATCTTTTCATGTTTTCTCATGTCTTCGGCTGCAAAAGACTGAAAAATTTCAGGGATCAAAGAGTTGTCTTTAAAAACAAATAGAGTAGGTTTTCCCGTATGAGTAGTGGCCAATTCCATACCTTTTTTATATTCATACTTGTCGTTCTCATCATAGTTGATGTAGTCGATTAAGTTTTCTCCCATAGCTTGAATATTCTCCTCAATTTTTGTATGTTTTGCCTTGTACAACTGGATATTGAATGGAGATTTTTGCAACATTTTGAGAAGATACGGTAAAATTGCTTCGTCCTCGGGGGTTACTGTATTTGCATCATAGAAAAATAAAACAGTAACTTTACTTTTCAATGGATACAGTTGAATGATTGGTGTATGGGGTAAGCTTTTGGTATATTCCATCACTTCAGTGACTCTTTTAGCAGATGCCACTTCATAAACACTATTTTCATACAACTTGTGAACCCACCATCTCATTTTATCAATGTCTATGACCCCGTCGTAATCAAATCTGATAGCCCCTTTATTCTTGGGCAAAAACATAATGAACTTAGAAAGCGATGTTTTCATATTCTTGAACAGACTTAATTCTAATTGACTACACAATTCTGGATTATCTTGACACAATACGTGTCCCGAATCAGCAACTGTCAATATCTTGTTGCTCAACCTATCCCAAATTTGCTTTGTATGTAAGCAATCAGCACAATTGCTACCAAACCTCAATTTACCGCCCATGTCCACACTTGTCCACTGCTTTTCATTGGACTGCCAAAATGAAACAAACAAGGGTTTTTCAATTTCGCCGCTGATTGCCTTCAACATATCGTCCATATTTAAGGCTTTTGAACTGGTTGGTAAATTTATATCACCAGAATCATATTCAGCTAGAGATTCCTTCAAGTACTTGAGTACATTTTCCGTATTTTTTTCCAAAGTTCGTGGGAACGAGCCAACATTCTTGGATCTCCCAGTTGGTTTCTTTTCAAAGTCTAGGGCAGGTGCATATAGTAGAATATTGGGATAAAACTCAATATTTTCTCGTTCACATAAATCTCCATTTTCAACACAATTTACTTGCCTCATTTCAATATTCCAGTCGTCATGCTTAGTTTTAAGCTCCACATAAGCTTCTTCCCATTTGGGGGAGAATACCTTGCAATGATGACAATAAGGAGAATAAAACTCAACAATAACTAATCGTTCCCTGGTTATCTTGTCAAATTCTTCAGTAGATAGGCTTGCAGGTAACTTTATTTCCGGATTTTGCGAAACGTCATCTTGTTCCTGACCCATAGAAACATCCTCCCTATTTTGTAACTGCTTTGAAGAAGAAGTTAGAGCAGCTGACTCTTGACTTGTCTTTTCATTGATAGCAACAGCTCCTGTCACTAACAAAACTGTGCCAATTAAATGCAGCAACCTCATGTAGCAAAATCAATAGCAACAAAAAAAAAAAAACCACACCACAAGTGCCTAATCTTTATAACCTCCGTCCTAACTATTCTGTAAAACCCCAATATTGTATAAACTCGCCTGTTTCATGATAGCCTTATTTTTTCTTTTACTATTATTATTTCAAATTGAATTTTTCACCAAAAAGAGAAAAAGAAAAAGAAAAAGAAAGAGATCAAAAGAATAATAGAAATTACGAAACCGTATGCTACGTAATGCCCTATCTTTCTACTACATCATTCTATAAATAGATATAAAAAAAACTCCGATACGTGAAAGACATAATTCATTGAACTGAATCTCAAATCCCTGAATCTCAAATCCCTGGCTCTCAAATCCCTGGCTCTGATATCTGACATTATTAGCAAGGAATGAAAAAAAAAAAAAAAAAAAAAAAATAATAATAATCTCAACCCCCGTTTGTATCCCGATTGTATCTGTGTAAATCAATTTTTCAACTTTCGGCTTTTCCCACTTATGTCTAATAGATATGTTTTAAAGTATTCAAAGCTAACCAAAGTGACGGCGCTTGCGGGCACCGTTCTGGCCAAGTTTGTAAAATAACCTGCGTAAAACCCTTTCAATCCTTCACCATGGTATATTTTGGATATGATTTTCAATAGCGATACTCTGGTAAAAGTAGTATTAGTTGATTGTTTGTTAGTGTGTATATTGTGCCGCATTTGCATTCTAGTTCGAAGAATTTCATGTGGGTACGTTATTGTACTAGCCAACATCTTGGATAAGGAAGAAGCTGCAATTAATCTCCATAGCAATCCCGGCACTTCATGCTGCTGATCTATTGTGCTACAATGTAGCCAACTTTTTAGTTTTTCATATACTGGAAAGTGAATACCCACATGCAACAAGCCAAATAACGATGGAACTAATCCACTATAAAACACGCGTATTCCCTCTTCCCTGTACATCTTTTTAAATGCATCAATTGTACCTTTGTACTTGACATCTTGAGCGGATATTGGTTTCCCGCTAGTTTGAACCATTAGCCTTGTTTTGACTACCCATATTGGATTCACTGCTATTGAACTGGCCAGTCCGGCAGTTATTGCAGCAAAGAAATGGTTCATTGATGGATTGTAGATCCCCCAATGCTCTGAGAAATACCGAGGATAAAAGTCCTTTGTTTCTTCGTAAACCGTGAAATATATCGTCCATGTGGGTAGGTACCCAATCGTGATTGGAACCAAACCTCGATATAAGCCTCTAATACCCTCAGTGCGCAATATCATTTTTAATGTATCTCGAAACCCCAACACTTGACGTCCAGCACTACCACCACCACCACCTTCACCTTTACCGCCACTTCCACTTCCACTTCCACTTCCACCTTGTGCTTGAAGTTTAGTCTTGATAACGTCCAATGGACAAACAACGACCCCAGCAAGAAACCCTGATGCTGCTCCTGCTAGTGTAATGAGTTGACTAGCTGAGCATTGAGATAGTATCCATGGAGGCGATACGTGACCTAGAGCTTCTATCTTGTGTGTAATCGGGAATGCATGATCCATAGTTGCTCGCCGAATCTCGAGATCTTCTCCATGCACAATATCTGAAAAATCCGGTGATGTTGTGGGATGCAGAGGCTGTGATACTTGAGCAATTGTCTCATTTGATATTCGACTTTTTTCACTCATAGTACCAAAAAAGGAAGTGGTGCAACTCTAAAAATAAATACAAAAACAACTGATGAAGATGAAAAACTTGGGGTAAAAAAAAAAAAATGAATCTATTGCTTATAAATCAATGAGGTGCAATAAAAACCTGCTATAGTTATCCCAAGATATCTTTCTTTTAACTTTTTGTATATGTTTGCTAATGACCAATTTATGAATTGTTGGATTATAGACAACAACATGAGTATGAGCAGCTGGAAAAACTATTGGAGCTAAAGAGTCAAAAACAACTAGAGTTAGAGTTATTACAAGATGATAATTTTGTCAATCGAAAAAAAAAATTCTTTGCGAAAGAAAAAAAAAAAAAAAAATGAAAAAAAGAATCGGCAAAAAAGATACTGATTGTTCTACTTCTCTGGATCTATTGTCTCTTTTGGTTACTATTGTTTTGATGGCATGAGCAGAATGCTATCATGGTGGTGGAGGGTTCTCTCTCCTCTTTACATTGAATGTTTTGTTTTAATTGCAATAAATTCTGTCTACATAGTTCTATAAGATTCTATCTACCTTTAAAGGGAAAGCTGTGAAGTTGAAGCTGTCAAGTTAGTAACGGGTTCCGTTATAAAAAGAATGAGTTTTGACGATTATTTTGCCTTCTCTATATTACAACTGTGTTTAGATGATTAATTTTACGTTATTGTATGATTAGAAAAGTTTCTATGGAAACCGAAACCCTTTTTTTTGGGTGCAAAACAAACACTACCATGAATGCAGCTATACAAATTGGTAACAAAAAGCATTGTAGTCTCAATAAAAAGAGACTTCACTTTAGTCACATACACACACACACTCTCTCTCTCTCTCTCTCTCTCTCAAAGTATGTGAAATGGCTTCGCTCGATAGTGGAGCAGCACTGACTACACCGACACTAATCGAGAGAATGTAGAGAATGTAGAAATACCAGAGTATGTGAAATGGAGACTTGGGGGGCTCTAGCGACATTATTTCGCTTCGCCCGATATTGGCGATTTCACAGTTTTTATCGGTCTTATGACTTGTATGAGACTTGTGAAGTAATTAGCTACAAAGTGTTGCTCCACTATCGAGCAGAGCTAGTTAGTGGAGGTGACTGTCAGTGTGCTCGATAGTGGAGGTGACTGTCAGTGTGCTCGATAGTGTCTTGCATTGCCTGTGACATCTCAAAAATCCAATAAACTACCTGAAATTCTACATTATTAAAAGAGTAGATATTCTTGCGATATTATTGTTTTATTAAACCCTACTACACATACAAAAAACAACTATTCATAATAATCCTCAAAACCAGTGTATATAATATCGATCTTTGCTGCAATAATTTCCCTTTTCTGGAAAAGAAAAAATTGCGGAAAATCTCAAAAACTCTTTACTAAAAAAATTATATAGATTTAAAATATTTCTTTTTTTTTGCATCTTTTATTAGTATTCTTTGCCAAATTTTATATTGCCACTCCTTTCAATTCTATGTAGTAGTTGACTACATATACATATATATATATGTGTGCCTCAGAGTGTGTAAATGATCCACCAGACGAAAACTTGTAAGCAATACGGTCTAAATACTTCCTCAACTAGATCTACCCTCTTCTCTTTACTATAATAGGAAATAAGAAAAAAAATGCCTTTCTAGCTGTTTGGTTGAGATTTTTTTGCAGCTGTTCTCCAGCAAACAAAACAAGCAAGATCCTCTAAGTAATGTACAGATTTTGATCCTTGTACAAAAAAAAAATAGGAGAGCTTTGTAAGAAAAGGAAGGGGGCTTTAGCAAACGTTTCAATTCATTTTCTTCAAGTTGTAGGTGCAATGTTTGTACACTGAGGCATGTAAAGTGAAGTTGGCAAAAATTACGCCTCTAGCTATTACCACAACTTTCTCTCTCTTCCCCCCCCCCCTCCACACACACACACTTTTCCTCTTGTTCTCTTTTGACGTATAAATACCAAGCATTCAAACTCAATACTTTTTTTTTTGTCCCGGCCTCCTTGAAAAGAAGCTTTTATCATTGTGTTATAACCATTCATCAACCATTCATCAATTACAATGAAGTTCGCCAAGATATTAGCTGCCGTTGCTTTAGCTAGTACAGCAAACACTGCTACTATTAAGAATCGCGAACTTTATGCCCGTGATTTTGATCTTGTTTCGATTATTGAAAATGGTGTTTCCGATTTGTTAGACGCTTTTGGATGGGGCAGTAGCAATACTAATACAGGTACTGCTGCTACCGGCGCCGCCACCACCACCACTGCTGCTGCTGCTACTGCTGGTAATGGTGGATCAAATCCAACCACGGCTCCAACAACAGCTACAACATCTACCCCAAACACAAGTGGTTCTTCAAACAACTGGTTGGATGATTTCTTAGACAATCTCTGGAATGGATGTTACTTCCCAGACAAATTCTGGGTCAAGAGAGATGATGTTCCATCATCTTCTTGGCCAGTATATGTTCAGCCTGCTTTATTAAAAAAGGCAATTGCAGGTTATTTGACCAATGAAATCGAAACAACACCAAATGGATTTTCTCAATTGTTGGACATTTTAAATATCAGCGAGATCCAAGCTAGCGAATTGGGTTTAGGTGCTCAAAATTCGAGATACTATTTGATTGGTCAATTGGCAATAGTTCTTCATGCTGAGGAGTCTTCCACATAAAGGAGCTGGTCTCTGAATCAAAAAAGTTAGAAATAATAAAAAAAAAAATAAAACAGAAAACAAAAAACAAATAAAAAGAACTCACAATATCCTATTTCTATCTAGAAAGAATGTGCATTAGATTTCACTAGAAACTTTGTTCTCTTTTTCTTTTTTTTTGGTTTTCTCTGTGCTCGTGATAAAATGAATGCAAAGGGGGGAACAGGTTGTGAATAAAATTTTGATCAAAATTGGTGACGACGTTACAACTAAGGTAGTATCTATGATCTCGAAATCGTCCATTTGACTTCAGTGATAGATACTTCCTCATTCGTCTTTTCATCCACGTCATACCACTCTGAATCCTGTAAATCAATATCATTAAATATCGTGCCTGTCTCAGTCCCTTTTGCCTGGAATTTCCCATTTGGAATAAACTCGATCAAATCTAAGCCTCTGGCATCGATTTCAAGTATCGGCACTGGCTTGTTCTCGTCGTAATGTAATGTCTCTTTAGTCCTCTCAATATTGGCTGAATTTTCGTACTTACACTCCTTGCAGCGAAATACAAAACTTGCCTCGCCTCTAGATCCACCCATTTCGTGTTTTTCAAATCGATTGATTTGAATCGCCTTGTCATGTATTGTTCGACACTTGGTACATTCAATGCGGAAAGTGTATTCGAATGGTTGTTGTGGTGTATCCACTGGCTCTAAGTCCGTCACACCCTCTAACACTCCCGATACTTTAAATAAAAATTTAACCATCGATTGGGGTATTATTTGTTAACAATGAATGATTAATATTTGTAGAACACCTTTTTTTTTTCTTCTTCTTCTTCTTCTTCTATTTCTCTCTCTCAAAGATATCATCAAATTTGTTCTTGTTAACAAAATATCACTTTTCATGCAAAAGACAATAAGATAATGTTTAGGGTTTTAAAAAACTTGCAGAGTGAAAGAAAACTATGCAATCATGAACTTGCATGGGACCAAAGAAAACTATGCAATCATGAACTTGCATGGGACCAAAGAAAATAATTGCTCATCAAGAGTCATTTCTATCCAGCAAAGCCTCAACTTGAAATGCAACTATTGATGAGATGCATGCTGCAATTTATGTCTAATGACAAAGCCAAAACTCTCTCGCTATACTACAAGTACCTCTCATCCACTAAATCTATACACCTTTGTCCAGCTCTGCTTTCAAAAGAAAGATATAAATCAATAGTTGGCGGAATTGATAAACTTTTTTAGTCAGCAGGACAAGTGGAAAAAGAGTTAATTACTGACCTTTTTCCGCCAGCAACCCACTAACTTGTCCTATTCAGCATCCCCCTTGGCACTCCTTTTTTTTTTAGTGTCTCTTTCTTTTTCCTGGAACAAAAACCTCTTGCAAAGAAACTAGCATTCATACTTGACCAGTTTTGGTACAACAGATAGCATATATATCTCCTTTCCCCCACGCTTGGTTAACTAAATAATCAAAGTTTTTTTTTTTTTAAATTGTTTTTCCGTATCTTCTCCGCAACTCTGTTTTATTCTCATAACCATCTTACTTGATGTTCCAGTATCCATTCAAAAATTGTTGAGCCTAGTAAATGGTTGCTTTGTTTTTAACCTATTGTCATTGGGGGAATAGAGAGGACGAAGTGGGGAAGGGGAGTGTAAAAAGTTGGTTATTATGCTTCATAACCGTTAACGTTGAATCGGTTTATTACCTTATCCTTTTTTATTTTCTCAGCCTTCAAGTTCCGTTTTCACTATTACTAACAAGCTTTTGACATATTGTTCTGTTAACAAGCTTTTGACATATTATTTTTGTTGATGAGGTTTAAATTTAGGTTCTTACTTCCCCTTCTGCCCCTCCGCCCCTCAATGAAATCTGGTTTTTAGGTATTTCCGAGAACATAATACAAACTAAACTATATAGTTTTTTTTTTTTCTTAACTTCTGTTCAATAATAATCAAAAGTTTTTAGTTTCCTGCCGATATGCAGTCAATGGACCTTTTTATATCACTTTTGCCTAGAAAACTAATCTTTTCCTCATAACACTCTCCATCAAATGAAGCCTGGCATTCGGTAAAACCAAAAAAAAAGAGAAAGCTGATGAGTGATGACGCTATTGTGAAGTAAAAGTCACTATTTGATCTTTCCCCATAATTAGTCCCTAGTTTCTTCTCCCGGAATATTCAAACATCCTTTCTCCACTCCAACAACTTTTGTTTTGTATAAAAGAACAAGCTTCTTTGCTCTCTTGAAAGTTTGCTCAAAAGGCAAAATTAACTGAGATAGTAGAAAGCAATACCGATTCCTTTTTTTTTTTTTATTAGACAATAATGCCTCTTGATTCGGTTGGCACAAACGATATAGAAAAGACTACTATAAGTCACGATGAATGCAATTATGCAAATTCAACACGGCTGTTGAGTCCCGAGCATTATGACTACCTCATGCAAAGACACGGCACAGTTGATTTGGACCCCTTACCATCGTCAGACCCCAACGATCCACTCAACTGGCCCAACTGGCAAAAAAATTATGAAATATTATCGATTGCTTTTGGAACTTTTACATCAACATTCATGGCCTCAGGTATGCAACCGTCATACGAGGCAATGGCTGAGAAATACGGTGTAAGTATATCTGATGCTTCATATTTCACTTCGGTGCAGATTTGTGTATTTGGTATATTGCCACTTGTTTGGATTCCCTTGATGAACACATATGGTAGAAAACCATTCTTGACTGTTGGTGCTCTATTTTGCTGTGCTTTGAATATTGGTGGTGGGTTTTGCCAAACTTATGGACAGCAAATGGCCACCAGGGTGTTGAACGCAGTATTTATTTCCACCGTTACTTCTGCTGGTGGGTCCGTTGTTGGCGATTTAGCATTTGCTCATGAGCGGGGCAAGAAAAATGGATGGTGGAGTTTGGGTTTTGTTTTAGGTACACCTGGAGGATCGTTCATCACTGGGTTTATCCAGTACCATGCTGGAACCAGATGGGTATTTTGGGTATTTGCTATTATGAATTTCATTCAATTTTTATTGTGGATAGTTTCAAGGGAAACTGTTTATTCGAGGGGTTGCCCTGATACTATCCACATCAATTACATCGGGATAAGAAAATCAAGTGCAAGACCATTCTCGTGGTTTATGTTTATAAGACCATTGAAACATGCATCTAGTTTTAACATCACAATGGCAGTTATTGCTGCTTCGGTTACTTTTTGTTATGGAAACATTGTTCTAAGTGTGGAAATGCCTCAAGTTATGATTTCATTGTTTCATTTGAATGCCCAGCAAATGTCTTTGCAATTTATTTCATTAATTATTGGTTCTGTTATTGGCGAGATAATAGCAGGTCCACTTTCAGATTGGTGGATGAAAAGATGTACAGCCAAGCGCAATGGACGCAGGGTTATTGTTGATAGACTATGGCTTACATATGATGGCTATCTCCTTGTTATAGTTGGCTTGATAGTATGGGGTGTCTATTTAACGAAAGCAACACCAAATCATTGGTCAATCAAACCTCTTGTGGGAGCAGCCATTACAGCAGCAGGCAATAACAAAATTGCCACGGTTATTACTACCTTTGCAATTGATAATGACCCTAAACATGCAGGCGAAGTGAGTGTTTACATCAATCTTGTACGGTCGCTTTTTGGGTTTATTGGCCCTTTTTACTTTCCTTCAATGTTTGAAAACTTGGGGTTTGCAGGATCAGCTGGCTTGATGTGTGGTCTTGTTTTTCTTTTTGGTGGTTGTACTACTTTAATAGTTCATTTCTGCGGTTGGCGACGCGAGCGGCAATACGAGAAGAGCATCAAGTAGGTGACAACAAACTGCTGTTGGACTCTGTTCTTCTTCTACTAAAAGATTACTTCTTCCCTTATTAAGCTAATCTCCCCCAATCTAAAATTGTTGATTATGTAATTGCTACTTAGATAGAAGCTATTTTCTGAATGAACGATTTTTGTGTAATGGACACAAAAGTGTAATTTTAAAACCGAGCGTTGGAATTCTCCGACGTATAATTGAAGGTAAAAAAATATCGCAGCTTTTGGTAGCTAGCTGATCAATTTGTATTGCACAACTATTGGTAATTACAAGGAGCTCCGAATTGAACACCAGTTCTAGATATATTCCCAGACTGACTATAAAACTCCACTCATCCTCATTCTTTTTCATCCTCATTCTTTTTCATCCTAATTCTTTGGGTACAAATTCATTCTTTCGGGAGTCAAAGATAACCAGTGATCAACCGCAATGATTAAAAAAAAAAAAAAAAAAAAAAAAAAAAAAAAAAAAAAAATTACTGAAAATAACAAAACCCCNAAAAAAAAAAAAAAAAAAAAAAAAAAAAAAAAAAAAAAAAAAAAAAAGAAAGAAAACAATTTAGTCAGATATCGAAAACCCCAATATAAAGATCTCTTCTACTTTTCCAATTGAAACTTGCTCCCTTTTCTTCTTCTCTCGTTTTCTTTTCTTTATATCTTCTTGACTTGCTTTATTCACTTTTCCTCTCCCTATACTCACACTTTCTCACACACCCTACCTATTCAATTATGACCTCAACAATTGCATTAGACTCCTCTAAATATTTTACACTTTGTGGTTTGGGTGGTGCCATTGCTTGTGGTACCACCCATGCGGCAATTACGCCTTTGGATTTGATCAAGACTCGACACCAGGCTACTAACATAACTGGTGGCTCGTTATATACCGGTGTTGGAGCAACCTTCATAGGCTATTCGTTGCAAGGTGCCGGTAAGTACGGGTTTTACGAATACTTTAAACAGAAATATAGTCTTTTGGTTGGACCCAAATATGCTCACGAGTACAAGACTGGTATATACTTGGCAGCTTCTGCTTCAGCAGAATTCTTGGCCGATATTGCCTTATGTCCATTGGAAACAATCAAGGTCAAGACTCAAACGACATCTCCACCATTTTGTAATTCAGTATGGCAAGGATGGTCGAAGATTGTTAAGCTGGAGGGTGTTGCGGGATTGTATAAGGGTATTGTTCCATTGTGGTTTAGGCAAATCCCATATACAATGGTTAAATTTGCTACTTTTGAAAATGTCGTTGATAGAATATATTCATTTTTGGGAAAACCTAAGAAGGAATATACTGCATTGCAACAAACTGGTGTGTCATTTTTGGGTGGTTATATAGCCGGTATATTTTGTGCTGTTGTATCTCACCCTGCGGATGTCATGGTGTCTAAAATCAACACTGACAAAGTTCCTGGGGAATCGTCAAGCCAGGCCATTAGTAGGATTTATGGTAAAATCGGATTCGCAGGGTTATGGAATGGATTGACTATAAGAATCTTTATGATTGGTACATTGACTGGATTCCAATGGTTGATTTATGATTCATTCAAGGTCTGGGTTGGATTACCAACAACAGGAGGTCACTAGAAGAAAAGAACCCTTTTCTGTTTGTTTGTTTTTTTTTTTGGAAAGAAAAAGAAATGGTCGTTATACATTTGATTAGAAGAGCTGAAGCAAACTCACGCCCTGATTGACCTCGAGTTTAATCAGGTTTTCATAAAATGTTTTTTGTATATGCTGCAGGATTGAACTGTGTATTGGAAAATCTATAGTTATGTCCAGGTATTTATAAATATATATAAAATCAACTCCAGACATTTTTGAACAAATCGTCGTCTAATCCAATAGCGGTTGATTTGTGACTACTAGAAATTGAGGATGATGAGTCATTCCAGTCATTATTAGTCCATGAACTGCGAGTTACTTTAGCAAGTGATCCGTTAGGATCTGTTTGCTTCTTGATAGGGTTGACATTCTGGTATATTTTAGATGTGGAGGATTGTTGATGAAATTGGAGTCCAGCAAGAGAATCAGATAACAGAGTGAGTTGCAGATTTGTTCTTTGTTGTTGTTGTGGTTGTTGTGGTGGTGGTGGTGGTGGTTGTGGCGGTTGAAGAAAACTGTTTGACGAAGAAGGAGATGCGTATAACGAGAGAATGGACTTTTTAAGATCAGGTCTTGAGTTGCTTGACATGCTTCCACCAGTGGACTGAGCAGATTGAAATTGAAGCGGTTTAGTACTAACGGTTGGTTGTTGTCTCTGTGTTGGAGGTGGTGGTGGTGTGCTTTTTTCTGAAGTGGACATGAAATGTCCAAAATCATTATCTAATAAATTGACATGATTCTCTTGACTCGTTGGTTTTGATGAGTCTGGATTAGCATTTGCAGTAGCATCTGGTTTAGCAACAGTTCTTTTCCTAATAGTTGCAGGATTGGGTATATTGTGAGGAGAAGAACACCATTTTTTCATATCATATTTTGTTCTAATAAAGTTTTCAATTTTTGATTGGTCCGGTACATATCCCTCTGGTAGTTTCTCTTCCCAGAACATATTACATTTTTCGTTACCCCATTGAACCATACTTTCTATTTGATCGTCTGTCCATGCATCCAAATCAACTGATTTGACTTTTGAAATATGCGTTCCCATTGATCTATGAATTCCTGAACATCTAATGCATATGAAACAACCCAAGTTCCAAGATGCCCATCGAGGGTTCTTGGTAATTTTACAGTCTGCACATGATCTATTAGCTTCCTCCTTTAATAGTTGTTTAAGGATTTGCTTGTTTCTTTCCAGATGAGTCTTTTTCGATGAAGGTAATGCTGATCTATAACTCATTTCTGAAGAAGAAGAACAAAAAAAAAAAAAAAAATAAAAAAAAATAAAAGAAAAGGAGTCGAAACCAAAACCAAAATCTGTTGTGGTGAAAAATAAATTCCGAAAATACCAATTTTAATAATTTCTTTTTAAACACCAACGCCTTTTATCCATGTAAAAACTTGTGTTCCCAGTTGCTAATCAGAAAACTTAGAACTCAACTCCTCACCCTTGAAACAATCCATACAGATCAAGTAAATCGCTTTCACACTTCTTTTTCTTTTTTTTTGTTTTTTTTTTTTTTTCTCTTTGCTTTTCTTTTCTTTTTTTTTTTTTCGTAATTTTTCCTTAAGTAGAAAGTTCAAACATCTATACTTTTGACATTACTTGTAATACCTATTAATTTGATTGGTATTTTCTGCTCTACTATTTTCTGTTCTGGTATTTTCTACTCTACTATTTTCTGCTCTACTATTTTCTGCTCTACTATTTTCTTCTCTACTATTTTCTGCTCTACTATTTTCTGCTCTACTATTTTTTGCTCTACTATTTTTTGCTCCACTAATTTAATTTGTATTTTCTGCTCTATTGATATCCAATCGCCAAAATACCTTTTGCCAAAAAAGATCTGGTGTCAATACTTTTTAATTAAAGCAATGTAGAGTTTCAACTAATGGGAAATGTCCATAGTTAACGAAGAATGACACAGAAAATATATACATACATTTGTCACATTGTGCACTACTCTTTTTTCCCCCAAAAGCTCTTTGTATGCAACCAAGATTTTTTTCTTCTAGTTAAACGCTTTTACGAAAAGAAAGAAAAAGAAAAAGGACTAGAAGAAATTATGTCACTGCGATGTAACTATAAATATATCTTGAAATATCCAAATTTCACTCAACGTTACATTGGCATCCTCTGCTTATCAACAAGCAACCGTAGCAGCAGCAGCAGCAGTAGCAATAGCATTAATAACAACAGCATTATCTTCATTTACAAAAGGTTCTTCAACAGCCAGGAGTTATCAAACCCGTCATATATATATATTCAATTAGCAAACACACTGGAGCATTTATTTTTCTTCTTGTACTTTTTTTTTTTTTCTTCTTCTTCTTTAACACTTTGGCTTGGTGTGTCATTTTGAGTTTTCCAACGACAGAGAGCGGTTTCCATCAAATAAGCCTCTGTAACTTGCATGTCTTTTTTTATTTACATATTCACTACAATCTATGACTTGATATCTATTCAAAAACAACTGGAAATCTAAATATTCACACAAGATAAATATTCACACGAGATAAATATCTATTCAAAAAGTACAATTCTCCCCACGCATATTGCTCATTTTTTTTATAAATGTCGGGAGAGTCGAGGCGAGCATCATATATATCCCTAAAGGAGGTGAAACGACACGATAAACCAACCGATTTATGGATTATTCTATATAACAAAGTTTACGATGTAACTGATTTCACAAAGGAGCATATAGGTGGCATAGAAGTATTACATGATTGCGGGGGCGCAGATGCCACTGAAGCATTTGAAGATGTGGGTCATTCTGATTTTGCTGTTGATTTACTACAACCTTTCTTTGTCGCAGATGTAATGCCTAGCGAGTGTCGAAGCTACAGGTCAACTTTATTTATGGAAGAGCAAAAAGGATTGATAAAAGAAAAGAACCGCAGTAATGATAAGAGTTTATTACTGAACTTTGTTCGAGTCTTTAATTTTCGATTTAATGAATGGATAAGCATTTTTTGGTTGGCTTGTCTAGCCATTGGTTCGTTTGTTTTGTTGATCATAATACAAGGACTCAAATAGGAGACTAACAACACAGTTGGACCTTGAACTAATGATCTTTCAATGTTTTTGAGCATCAAAAACATTGAAAGCCAAGGTTAATTTTGTTTGTCTTTTTTTTTTCTTTTTTTGGGGTTTTTTTGGTTTTTTTGGTTTTTTTGTTTTTCCGTTTTACTTCACCTCCGTTTCATTACAATCCTCGCTTCCCAGTGAAGGTTGACTGGATATTACCCTTTTTGAATTTGAACTACGCAGGCGTGGCTTTAACTTATACATTATTGGAATTGATACACATTCATTCATTTATGTTGTTTTTTCCTTTTTCTAAAAATTAATACATTTTACTTTTAAATTGTCTTTTGCTTCCGAGTTGCGCTTTACTCTAGCATTCAATTTTGTAGTCTCAAAGTTGAAAAAACTTTTCATATTTCTTGCTTCTAGACCAGCAAAATCACAAGAAATAGGAGTAGAGGCATCGATAGAAAGACATATACATCTTTTGCACATACATCTCTCATATACATCTCTCAAAAACATCTCTCACAAACATCTCTCACAAACATCTCTCACAAACATCTCTCACAAACATCTCTCACATAAATCTCACATAAATCTCTCACATAAATCTCTCACAAACTTCTCTCGCAAACATCTTTTATAGCTCTTTGAGCTATTGTTGCCAGCTACACGCTGGCAGTCAGTGCATGCTAGTCAGTGGTGCTCCACAAGCTCGAAGAGCTTGTGGAGCACCTCCTTTTAATGCAAACAAACTCATCCACCGTTTAAAGTTTCCGTTTTTGTTCACACACCAAGGAGCTGAAATTTCTCTCCTGAAACCTTCTTTTTAAAGCCCTTTTTCAGAAACCTTCCCTTGAATTAGAGCTCGTACTCTCCAGTAAACTCTACATTAATTTGTTATTTACTACCCTTTTACTATTATACATATTTTAGTCAGAGTTTCAAACTAATAAAATCTCCCCTTCCCCCCCCCCCCCCCAA